GAAGGAGAAGAAGACCGCCCTCCTCGTAGATGTGAGCATCCCAGCCGATAACAACCTCCAAGAGAAGACCAGGGAGAAGCTGGAGAAATACTCCGAACTGAAAGTGGAAGTGGAACAGTTGTGCGGAATGAAGACCACCATAGTTCCGATCATCATAGGCACAACTGGCGTCGTCCTGAAAGACCTCAAGGGACATGTCAGGAAGCTGGAGTGTGAAATATCACTGGATATCCTCCAGCGTACAGCAATCTTGGGCACGGCCAGCATCCTTCGCCGTGTCCTTCAGAATTAAGACGAGTATGAGGTCTGGGATGTGGTTCATCCCCCCTCATATCTCCAATGCCGGCAGGTGCCGTGGAAGGATTTATTATATATATATATAGGTAGGGAAATATTGGAGCGGGTTATCGACCCGCGGCGAAGCAATATGCGAGGTTGCCGAGAGATGGTACTCTTATATCATGTACCTGTACTAGACAGGACAAGGGAACACAAGCCAGTAGATGGCCGTGCAAGGAATCGAACCCACGACACCACCATACCCACCCAGAAAAGCGGGTTTGGTAAGTCTGTATTTGAACGCGAGCTCACAATCCACACGGTTCGACCCTGCCCCAAGATCTACAATGGGACTGAAGCCTAACTCCAACTGGCCCTTTCCCTTTAATCAAAAGAATATTACTTCTACCTTCTGTAGTGATCCAGCAATGGGATTACCCCGGGCGGGGTACTGTAATGCAGGTGGCCGGGAGGGGAGAGCTGGATGAGATGAGAGGACGGGAAAAAGCAGGGGAATGCTGGGAATCGAACCCGGGCCTCCCTGATCACCGGTTAGGCGTGCTACCACTGCACCAATGAATCCAGGAGTCAATCATTCCAATCAGTGCCATCCCAGACACTACGGTACCCCGGAAAAGTACCCCGGCCGGGTGGAAAAATTTTGGATCGAAACATAGCCCTCGACCTACCCCTGGATGAAAGAGGAGGCCATGCAAAATTTGGTTGCACTGGTTCCTGCGGGGCCCGAATGCATAAAGGAACAGACAGACAGACGGAAAAACTTTCTTCTTTATACCCTCGTATATAGAGGGGTAGAGATAGAGATTAGTGGAACCAGAAAATATTACGTCCTCATCACCTACAAAATTAATTTTTCTCTACTGTGTAATGCCTAACAATGCTATTTGTCAGGAGAGAACCCCATGCACGTTTTTGCTTCGAAATCTCAGGTTTCGTTCTCTAAAGAGGCCAGGATTTCTTCAAATTCCTTGTGAAACTTGTTGAGTAAGAAGCATAAACATTTTTACCAACGGAGACAGTAGTGGTCAATATTGGCTGAAGTACGGGGAAATCCTAAATCATGGCCTAAATCATGTTGTCGAGACTGACGAGAACTACTGTCGCTGACAACAAATTTCTCCCTTCATTAACTTTTTCCCACTCCAGTTCAATTTGGAACCATTGATTTTCAAGAAATTTCTAGCCTCATCTATTTTATATATAAGAGTAACAGCTCGGTCAATATTACCTCCACGATCCACGGCTCCACGATCGCATTCAAACCTCATGCAGGTGTGCGAAGTGATATAACGTCTCTGCCAGTAGATTTTCATGCAGCTCCATCTAGTTCTTGGGAAATGTCCACTGTCCTGTACCCTAGTCTCTCCGTTATGCTTAAGTTATACTGTATAATACTTATGCTCATGCATAAGTATGACAAACTGATCACTATCGCACATGTCACATATCTTCATCTAAGCTTCACTGAACTTTTCTGAACGAGGACGGTGCCCGTATCCTACATTAATATAATTTCTCTCCCTGTTAAGGAAACTATAGATCTATGACGCGTTGCAAAGCATGGGTTTTTACAAGCTTTATATATCGAGTTCCCATTTAATTACATTTATATGGCACCAAATTTTTGAAAATTCAAGGATGTCGAATCAGAACTATGAGCAGGATGGGGAAGCATAGTTCGCATTTGGAAATGAAGCCATCTTACAATTGACGAAAAATGTGCAAATGCCTTACATTAGTAGCTCTTTGACAAGGCGAGGAATTTTATCCACATGAAATACAGGGTCTTTCACAAAGGCAAAAATTGCATTAGTAAAGGCGGAAATTGAGTGAAGGAGATTTAAGAAATTGGTGCAATCTATACATACAAATATCAAGCTACAGAAGCCCGTAATATTGAACATTTTAGACAGGTAAAATGTATGACAAGGCTTTTGGCTTTGCCTTCGTATGTAGATCATCGATCCAAAGGGAGGCTCACAGTTCGCAACAGAAGATGAGATAGAAGTGAGCATCAAGATCGGGTCAGGTGCTCCAGCTCTCGTCTATATTTTCTGGGATGATGGAACTGGGAACGACGTTTTGGAGACGACGAGTGGGTCATCCTTTCTTATTATTGACAATGCTTTTGGATCCCTCATTTTACATTTCTTTTTCGGCGTTATATAGATATCCCAAATACAGATTTGTTTCTCTCTCTTTCAGTCAATGAAGCCGATCCAGCCACATTGTACAGATTCAATCGATCCTACACTTCTGCTGGAGTGAAGAATGTTACCGTTGAAGTGAGGAATGAGCCAAAGCAGAAGAGAAAGAGACGGAATGCTGGTGACATAGTTGGCACCGGTCAACCGAGTTCTCAGAAGACATTTGTCACCTTTGAAGTTCTCTATCCTGTGAAGGGCGACTGGTACCTCGCAATTGCCAGCGGACTCACTCACGGAATTGTTCTCGATCCTCCAGGTACGTATAGTGCAGTGGTGCCCAACCTTTTCGGCTAGGGGGCCACATAGCTCACTCCCGTAGTCATCACGAGCCAGTCGCTAGTATTGAAGGATACTATTTTAAGGAAACTTAAGGGTATTTATTGTGGGTTAGGGCTTCGCGGGCCACTTTTTGCCGACGGGCCGCGGGTTGGGCATCACTGGAATAGTGGTATGGTGAGGGATCTTTCAATGCTCGTCCATATGATCTTCAAGTAATTCCTCACCTCATGGCATTCCTAAATCAAGTTTGAAAAAGAAGTATTTCGCTGGATTGAGGGTGGGATGATGGAGTGTCTGTATCATTTACGTTGTAGCAATGACGTATGTATTGACACTACCATTCAATGATGGGTTCCGGTATGACAGATGTCACCATATACTTCCTATCGAAATAACTATATTGCGCCGTGTCAAATTCCTCGAAATCGACAAAAATGTCACAATGTTTTCTGAATCGAGAGTATAAAATTATCACAGGATTTGCAGATCTAATATACTTAAATAAACTATTAGCATTATACCATTGAAAAATCTGTATATTCTTTGTGTCGTCTCTGTACTGCCACACTTTCAGGTGAGGTGACATTCGCGTTGAACTGTTCATCGTGCCTGGATCTCCCGACGGCCGCTGTAGCAGAATGGGACTTTGGTGACCAGAAGGCGAACAGTCAGCAAGTGGACTCGAATCAACTAGTCATGAAGAATGTGTACACGACTGTCTCTGGAACAAACCGCTCTTTGTACTCTGTCAGAGTAAACATGTCAAATGCTGTCTCATCTGCTGAAATCCACCTAAATATCAACGGAGTGGATAAACAGGTATTTCCCGTTGTTTCGTGAAACAATGATATTGAGGTTATGGAGTTTACTTCATGGAATGGTAGGGAAACCACGTGAAAAGAGCGAATTTGTTGCGCGACATAATGTTTATTTCAGAGGGAGCGTTGACTTAATCTCTCTTTGAACGACAGTAATAAGCCTTTTTGCTATGTTTCCTCAAGATGTTCCTGACTTAAGCTGAATAAACACCAAAGGCGAAGACATGGCTCTGCCATTTCATGTCTACAATCCAACCTGCATTTCTATACCCAGCTGGAGGTTTGGAGAAAAATTGAAGATGTCAGCATGGAGGTGAACTTCTTGGATGAGCATGGATCTCTCATTCCCGGCTATGGAGATAATGGGACATACTTTCCTCTGCATCGTCCAGTTGTGCTTCTTCCAAAATATCATGGAGGTAAACTGATCTCAAGAACGAGTTCGCTTTTTCTTGCTACTACCGTGCAATTGCAAGGGGAACTTCTGTATAGTCAAAGATGGACTTGGCAGCCATTCAGTGTTTTTTTTTAGAAGATTCGCTGATGTTCGTGATGCAACTTTCTTTCCTTCGAAAATAATCTCCTACCAGGGAGGGAGTGGGTTGATACAGGGGGGATTAATACAGGGAGTTGATTGATCAATCGGTCTGATTTTATTCCCATAGGAGTCATTTCGAAGTTCAGGTACAAGCAAGATAGCGGCACCATTTTGGTGGAATCGGACGTGACGGACGAGTTCAATCCCAATATCACCCGCTTGGAGAAAACATTCGATGAGGTATGACATCATAGAGAATCTTATACTGTCGAAGCTGCACGGGGCGCCAAAATTAAGCTAAGTTGTCCATATTATTATAGTTTATGTTAGCCCTCACATTCAAACGCATGGCCCACATCCGATTGGGCGTGACGTCATACGTAGTAGTTTACGCACATGATGAAAAACGCAAACAAAACATGCTTGTTCAGCAGTTTTTTTCTGCCCCTATAAGTGCCCAACGGTTTCCCATCCACGTTATTAGCTATATTCTCAGGAGTCTATGTTAATATCTGCGAAATTGCATCACAAACGGATGCTTAGTTCCTTCATGTATGTGGTGGAATTTTCAAAGAATTTGGATGAAATCATAGATGTTGTAAATTTTTTTAGAAGTATCAAAAGTCATCGTGGCGCAGCGTATTTACGATTTGGCTTGAAGTCAAACTGTTAATTGAAGTTATTCCCCTTGAAGAATCTTTTCGCTTTAGGCATGTCCCTGTTGAAACGTCGTGCCTTCTACAATGCACCATTAACTCTATTGTATAGGATGGCCGATATAGATTTGGAGTGGAACTTTATAATGAAGCACAAGGGTGGGTTCCTTCAGGATACCAAGAGGTCAACATCGACCCCTTTATCCCGATCGTCAATCTCCGAGTGAGTTTTCAGTCTTGAACATTGTGACAACGAAGTTAGTTGCCGGGTGTACAGCACCGGAGCACGAGAAGATTGCGCCTCGATGTAGAAATAGTATCAGGGCATTATTGGGAAAGGGTCACCTGAAATAAACACTGGTTTCATGGTGGTGCTGCTGACGTGAGACCATTTGTATACGGAGGTGCTACTACTAGTATTGGAAGTGCGTATAAAAAGCAGCTGTTAAGCGCGAAGCGGAATCCAATCCAGTAAAAACATTGCGCAATTTTCTTTGCTGCTTAAAGTAAATATTTTCCCAGGACCCCTCGAGAAATAATTGGCAGCACTTCATCCCCACCTGTAATAATTCAAACTGATAGCTGCACTATTGGACAAGAAAATGGTTTGTAATGTCATAATTTTCATGTCTGAGTGTTGTACACCCGTCACCCGACTTCCTCATCACTCCACATCGCACTTGCAAGCAGTAATCATGCTAATTTATTTTAAGCTTCATTGAACTTGTTTATTTGTAACAGTGATAAGAGGTCATCCTTTAAAAGTCATCATTGTACGAGTAAGAGCCTCCTTGTACTGTATATTCAGTTTCCTGCTTTGTACGAGTCACTGACAAACGTTATTGGTATGCAAAATTGCCTGCTATGTACAAGCGTTTAATAGAATATTCCCCTACGAGATTCCATATTGATTGTTACCCATATTGTGATTTTTGGCACAATAGTGTGAAGCATTCTGTATGAATATTCTTTCGACATTATAAACATTACCAGTCTCCTAGGAATTCTGAATATTTTTTTTTAAATACTTTGTGTCACTCTTGTTGGTTATCGAGCCCTGATGAGACGTGAAATGTTTCGTTGCAGATCCTCCAACCGAAGCCAAGTTCTGTATTTGCTGTCGGAAAAGATGTTGAGTTCGTCATCCAGATGGATCAAGGCTCCCCGGCAATAATAAACATCTTCTGGGATGATGGAACCGGGACGATGGTGCAGGAAGCTACCAGTAAGTCCTCATGGCCAATCCAGAAAGGAATATGTATATCATGATCTCGAGTCCCTCTTGCAATAAGAAGATGAGACTGTCCAGAGAATTACCAATTTTGTTGAGCAATTGACAATCTTTTGGTGTGCTCTTAATTCTTCCTGAAGAATCGAATGCAATATGGTAAATGATAGATGCATTATTTCCGAGTCCATTCGACCTTGATCATTGCTGGACTATGTCTGGAAAATTGGAAATAGTTACATGATCTAGTGCTTCTTGTGAAATTTTCATTTTATTTTCCTTCATGACCACTTCCCGAGTAAAATTCATATGAAAAAGTTATTTGTGCTCATTTTCTTTTTTCCTTTCCCTTTATGCTCATAGTTGCAGCAGTCGACCCTACTCAGAAGTACAACTTCAGTCATTCATTTACCACGACGGGTACTAAGAACATATCAATAGAAGCAAGAAATGCCGTGGGACCTCTCAAAGGAAAAGCGAATTCCCAGATGGTATCGACACAAATGAAAGTAATCAATTCACTTGGAGACGACTGGGAGCTCACAGTTGAAAGTGGATTGACAGACGGAATAGTCTTGACCCCTCCAGGTTGGTTTCGTGGCATTCTTTAATTGTTTGGTTCTTATTCAAAAATACAACTAAAGTTCGATAAGACGCCTTGGTAAGAGATCTCAGGCAAGCTGAAATGTACCACTAACGCAAACGAACTTATTTTCATGTATGCATATATCCAACTTAAAGTTAGATTTTGTTGATTGGTTACCAATCTAAATTTTTAAAAAGCCTATATTACTGATGAGTGACTTGCATTTCACTCCTGATATTTCTGGAATAGATCATGAACACATTTGTTTCTAGGAGTTGTCCTCCCTTGTAAAGTAGTTAAAAGACTTCATTGTAAATACCTCTATTGTGCTTGCATGCAACAGGTAAGGTGTTGCTTCAGTTCTCATGTGCTTCGTGTGCTAACTCACCAATATCAGCGACGGTGGAATGGGATTTTGGGGATGGCACAACAGCCACTGAAAATATTGTCTCAAATCGCCTCACGAAGACGAAGACGTTCACCACCCCTGCAGACAAAAGCAGCTCTTCATACGCTGTTAATGCCACCTTGTCAGATGTTCTTGCATCTCACACGTTCCCACTGAAAATCAATGGTACCGAAACTGCAGTGAGTCGAACTTCAGATCTTCACCATGAAAAACCAATACTCTTGATCGGAAGATGTAAACAATAGAATTTCTGAAGTACTTGAATTTCTTCATGGATTAATTCTCCATTGACAGCAAGTAAAGTTATTGCATGCTAATTGGGTATTGGGTGGAATGGTCCATGAACCACGATGCATCCGAAATAACTAATGTTTTTTTTGGAAAAATATAAAGGAAATTAAATCTAAGTACGTCAGCCTATTGGACTTAGCCTTCATTCATGTAATTCTCTGTCTCTTTTTTTCAGAGCCTTTATTAAGTGTTTTTGCGAATCGGACTATTGAAACCTTTCTCACTCCAGATGGTGAAGAAGACTCTATATATTGTATGTACATGCATGTATATGTCTTCAAGTCCCTTAGTCGATCTTTAGACAACAGTGAGGAGCTCTTGTCATATTTCCCTAAAAAAGAAGTCCTTATCTTTCCATGATGACTGCAGAAAATTGTCATTGTTTGGAAGGTCTTGTATTCAAATCCAAATATAATATCCCATGGAGTTCGATTCACAAAGAAGAGCGCGTTTAGGAGTGGACACGAAAAAAGTACAGTTTCTTCAGTGGAATACTATTTGCCTTGACCGCCTTTCTTTCCGTTCCCCAAAGAGGACTATTCAATCTTAGCTTGTAAAGTAGTGGCTTTTCCTGGTTAATCCCTTAAGCAGTGTCCTTGTCTACCTTTTCCAAGTATTTCTTTTGGTGTCATCCTATTCTACACATCACTCATGATAGGATAGGCTCTCTATAATAGGTATACAGATCTAGAGAATGTTTCCAAGTTAATTACGGAATGCGGATGTCGCAAATGCGTGAGATGGATCGAATTTGTGAGTGGAATCAAAGCTTCATTAAGCTCATGTACATTTTCGTGATATCCTCCTCACGTTTGACATCTCTATACACACAAAGCTCAATTCTCGTTTCTCATGTTCCTTTCTTTTCGCAGTTGGAAGTCTGGGATGCAATTGAGGGGGTTTCCTTAAATGTGACATCGGAGAGTCCCAACAGATCTGTGGCGAGAGGATCAGGGGATCAAGAGAATACTTTCCCTATCGTCAATACCATCATTTTCACAACTCTCGTGAAGAATGGTGAGGTGAACATGTCGCAAATTCTGATGGTCAATGTTGCGAATCATCGTCCTTTTATAAATTACGAAATCAGCGTTAAAATCGTAGATAAATGAAATGATGGTGCCGACGTTACTTCCATTGCAGGTGTTGTCAGCAAATTCCAGATTGTACAAGACAACAAAACTGTACTCGTTGAAAAGGAGGCAGCTGACATGTTCAATCCTTCCGGAGAAACCATGCGCTTTAAATTTGCAGAGGTGTATACTTTCAAGTGTGTTTCTACCAGGATAAGCATAACCGCCCAACGTGTTGGTTGCAGGATGGTGTAAAAAAGCTGATTTTGAACGCCTACAACAAGATCCAGGGCTGGGTTCAGTCTGCAACGTACGAGCTTGTACTTTTGGGTCAAGGGATTACTCTCGTCATTGATGATTTCAACATCATTACCAAACCGGTAAAATAAAGCAGGATAGGATTGCGTTGAACGTCTGCAGAATGAATTTAGTGGTTCTACCAATTGTTTTGCTTCCTGGCCTGATAGGGCGTTTTGAAGGAGATGGAAATTCGTTCCAGTTCATTGTCACCTACGGCCTGTTTAATCGTCGACTTCGGAGATGGATCATCAGCGTTTTCTTATGGAAATGAAGACACCTGCTCCAATTACCCCACTGCTTTCTACCAACAAGATACGCCCTTGACCAATCCATTGAAACTCTATCGCTACTATTGGTATGTGCAGCTTATTTAGTTTGCAAACGCTATAAAAACATTTTCAGGACATGAAGCTCAAATTTTGTAAGTAGAAAATTCTTTCGTGAGGTGCTGTTCTCGTAAGAATCTTTAAGCAAAGAGAATTAAATGATCAAAGCTGATTAGAAATGAAAATTATCTGCTGTTATGGCTTTGATCATATTCTCATCCCGAAGGACCAGTTTCCGCATTACTAGCACAGCTGATTTTGAGGAAAAGGGAATTTCAGCTGTCGAAATGGATCTTCCTTACGTGGTAGTGTGCCGTATGAAAACGAACCGTGGACATCATTGTGTTATAGTGAACGATTACACCGGGTGAGAAAAAAAACCGCGCCGCTCTTTGAAACTCTTTGGCTTTTGATATACGGCAGATATAATTAAATACCTTTTTTGCTAATTACTTCATTCTATTCTCTGAACATTTCAAATATCTCGTTCATTTTTAGCAATCCATTTTCCTGAATGAGCGATTTTACGAAAGCCGCTTGAACTTCATTTTTGCACTGGCTCATTCTCCAGCACTAATCATCACTTGAAGTGCTGGACGATCGGACCTCCTTTCGCCTGGCACACTGCTAACAGTCTCTTCCCCGTTGGAGAATAGACTTCCGTATGACGTCATTGGAAAACAATTCCCAGGCTCGAGTGACACCTTGTTTGAGGGAGTCCAAAGACGGAAACTTCTCACGCCGATCCCTGTACACGGCTTCCGACAGGGCAGTCTAGATGGAATAGTCGAGCGGGTTGGAGTCGAGGGAATTCGTAGGCCATTCGGTGTGTTTGATGAACTCGAAAGTATTTTGTGGCAACAAATTCTGGGTTGCCCAGCTTCGATGGGATGGGGCATTATCTTGGAGTAAAATGTAGTCATCGCTTGGGTACAATGTCCTGCAGGTAGGAAGAAAGTCTTTCCTGAGCATCTCGATGCAAATGGCCATGTTCACCTTACACAGTAAAAAGTAATGGTTCAGGCTGGAACTCTTCAATGGTTCTACACCCTTAAAAAGGTTCTAGGTACTGTAGAACCATATGAATTGGTTCCAGCACAGATGTAGAACCATATGAAACTCCATCGCTCTTGTAGAACCTCTGGAACTGACCATTGGTTCTAGGTTCTTGCGCTTTCTCAAAATGGTTCGAAAAAGGATCCCTTCAGGGCTAGATACATAGATATATTTTTTGCCATTCACTCAGAACTCCCCCTCCTCCTCACTCCCTTTCTTTTTTTTATATAGGTTTTATCAATCGGCGCCAGATGGTGTCTAAGCGCTGACTTAGCGAATCTCACCCTGCTGCCATAGGAATGAATCCCCTGTATTTTTCAGCACAATACCCGATCTTTTCCCATGTACAACTTAAGGGAAGGCTTTGGACTTCCTAGAAAGACTCGTTCAAGGAGGTAACCTGGTAGAAGGAGACTCCAAATACTAGTGACCAGGGTGTCCGAAGAGACATGCTCAATTTTCCTAAGTCTCTACATGGAGCAATGAAGGACTCAAGTTCTTGTATCACATTATGGGAGAACCTCGACTTGTGATGGTAAAGCCGATCGGGAGAAAGGTCACGTTTCTTCCCTACTCCGTACACTCGTTTTAACGGTTCGTGGGGACTTCTAAAGTGAAGTCTGTTTCGTCTGTGAAAATGATTCGTTTCATCGATTCTTCTTTGTAACGCCGGAAGAGCAGCCTACTTCTAACTTTCTGTCTGTTGATGGCATCGTGATTCACACTGTGAGTGATAATTCTATTAAAGGCTTTCTTCCTTAGCTCTTCAGAATTCTCCAAATTGATATCTGATTGATTTCTAAGTCTCTGGCAATTTCCCTCTGGGATTTGTGCGTTCCTGGATCCCCTTCTTGAGAGACAATGGCTTCCTCCACATCGGTACAGTTTTCCTCAGTTTGAGCTGATTTTGATCTACCGCTCCCACTCTTTCTCACAGAGGAACCAGTATCCCTTAGCTTTTGGACCTTTTCCCAAGAAATTCTTTCACAATTCCGGCTCCGCCCCATCCTTTCTCAGAATAGCAAGTGGTAATTACTGCTCTATTTTTCGCAAAAAGTACCATCGTCACCGATAGATCGAGGAGAACTGACGTGAAATTGGTGCGGAAAACGGGCATCAACCTTATTCCTTCTGTCGCTCTCCCGCGCAATAAAATTAAATAAAATAACTTCACTAAACTCGTTCATTTGAAATATGGTTGGAGGTAGATGAACAAGACTTTCAGGAAGGTTACGGGATACATTGACATCGTTATCATTAAATAATCACAATGATATAAGGCTCCTACTAAATGCCCAAGGCTTTCAAAGAGCGGCCCTTTTTTTTTGCCTCACCCGATATTTCGAGCGTTTCACAAAGCAAAGTTAGGCTTCATCCTATGATGATGCCCCCAATAAATCTGTTGCGCCATGCTTCAATCCAAATCAAAGGAGACCAAAGCTGTTGCATGTTTATTCCAAAATAATCTTGATCGTGAGGATATATCTTTCTTGGAAAGACAACTACTTCTGGAAAGTTACAAGCGCAAGGACACAAAGGTGAACCACCTGCGAAAATTATCCCTCGCGAGTTGATGAGAAGCAATAGTGATCACGTCGACAGTCATGGTGTCCACTGCATCCGGAGAGCCATCAATCGGGAATGGCAGGAAACATTTCCCCTGCTTCCAAGAAATCGAGACAAATTGCATTCTAGTCTCGAAAAGCTGGCACCCAAGACTAACCTGAGGGAAAATATGCTAGCGGTGAAAGACTGAAATGGTGGGATTATATTCACACGTATATCTAACATGCGGTTCCTTTGCGATGGTAATGAGATGGATTAAGATGGTACCTTCAGATACTGCGCCAAATTTGTCTACCAGTTCCATACTTTGTAGCTAAAAAGGGGCATTTTGATTCGGTTGTTTCCTGGCTACTACCATCGAAGAGAGAAGAGGATGTACGTGCAATGCTTCACTATTCTCAAGGAAGAGTGCGCAAAATTGTCTTTGTTGTTGAATGTGGCACACATACATAATGAATCGGAGAAAGAGGCTGACAACGCAGTGGCATCGGCCAGGTCTCACGCAGTCATCGAAGGCTGCCGATTTCATATAGGAGAGGCATGCCTCGCCAAGATGCAACTTTTGGACCTTGGTAGGGATTCCACTCAAGCGACAACAGGTGTGGGGAAAAAGCTGGTGAATATATTTGGTGTTCCGTCCCTGGATCCCCATGACGTTAGAGAGTGTTTTGGTTTTGATCTCGTCCCTGCATTGGCGTTTTATGAGTGAGCTAAAATGTTTTCTGATTATTTGGTGGGGAATTTCATTGTCGATGACGATTAACTTCCATCGATAATGTGGACTGAATCATTCAGCACGTCAACATGTAATGTCTGAAACGTTGCATATTCACTTGCATCATTCATCTCATGTTACTCATCCGCATGTGTTCAACTTCATTGAGACCGTGGTCGGAGTGCAAGCAATGTTATACCTGAATATGCGGGAAGCACGTAAATGGCCTCTTCGAGTGATTAAGCAGGATAAGTTCCGGTCGATCTTTCTTGATCGATGCATCCAGTAATATGAAAAATCCCATCCCCAGGTTTGATTTCGTGAAGGCTGTTCACACGAGGCTGTTCCGTTCCAAGGAAAATTAGTGCATCTCTTGATGGGGAAAAAGATTACTTCTCGACTAAGTTTTTTGGGATGATTGGGACAGTTTCTACGTCTCATGACACTATGCTGGGAATTATGCCGAAGAGGATTGATGAACATGCCTTGATTATTCTACTTGAAGGAAGCGTATTTTGACTTCTCTTTCTTCGAAATTTGCTGTGTGCACAAATGGGCAACTGAACTTACCGCAAGATGTGCACATATGGGCTACGTGTTTCACACTCAAAAATCTTGGTATGCGCAGTTGGGCACTGCTCTTCCCAGGGTCAGCAAGAAGTCTCTTGACTTTTCTGTTTGTTTATTTTATTTGCTAGGTATTTAATATCTCGCTCTGATTGGAAGATCGCGCGACACGATTCAAAGCAGTTATTTAACTAGTTAGGACAAGGAATTTCTTTCAAATTAGGGGATTGCGTGATTCTGAATAGCCACTGCAGTTCCTCACCCAGAGTGACTATTCTGTGCCTCCTCATCTCGATCCTCATATTCTCCCAACATCAAGCCATTTTATAATAGTTTTGCAGGGAATTGTAACAATCCACCAAAAGAAACTTGTCCTTATTTTGCAGGAAGGATGGTTCTTACAATGTGAATGCTCGTGCGGGTGACGATAAGTCAAGCGCTTCAACTTCTCTCATGATCGTCGTGGCGGACATGGATTGTTTCTTTCCCAATGTTTCCATCAGACCTCACACTTATAGTTTTCCCAAAGGAGAACGTTTCACCATCTCAGGGGTGACTCAAATCAACTGCAGCGTGGACAGCCTCTCAAGGTATCTGTGCCTCTTTTCTTCATTGCATCAACAAGAATCGCCAAGAACAGGTCCGGTAGACCATGCGGCACAAACAATTCATTCAGCAGTTTGGAACATAGAGAATTGCCTTGGATAAGATTGAAACACCCGACAGGAACTGCAAGGAATGTTATGATATTTCTATACCGTGGGATCTAGAAACGATTGCTAAGAAAGCATGGTCCTTAAATGTCTCTCACTTTTCAGTGCTCTTTATTTGCAATAGAAAGTTTTGCTGTCAATGAACACAAGATTCACCCCCATGATTTGTTGCGTCCAGGTAGTAGAGCAAATAAGCATGCAAGGAAGGTTCTTCTACAATGTAAATTTCTGAAAATGCTGAGAGATAAAACACATTCCAAAAGAGGGAAGATCTCACGAGGAAGGGGCCAGATGCTTCTGTTGTTTCTGATTCAACCATTCCTACTTTCAGGAAACGGTGGCAAATATGGTTAGGGGCAGACACGAAGGTTATTCCAATAGAAGGTGTCTTGGACAGCTGGAACAAGTCTCAACTTACAGTGCCTCCCTCATTCCTTGCCTATGGAGTATACAAAATCCGTTACACCGTGAGGATGTGGGGTAGGTTGACTCATGCTTTCTTTTTAGTCAATGCTGCTTCTCCTGGGCAGTCCCGCAGTGAACCTGAGAGATAGCCTGCAGTTTGTTTATCTCGTGTGTGAGTGTGGTCCATCGGCAGACATCAATAGTGCATTCGGTGTTTTAGAATTGCAAAGGTGTTCTAGTGGCCAATGCCGGGTTAAAAGGGAGAACGGCCGCTGGTAAGACTTAACAAGACATTATTCGCAAGAAGCTTCTGCCAAGATTTGCAAGAGGGCAACCGTTGGGAGATGCAAACTCATTTTTAATGCGCTATGATACTAAATTGAGCAGAAATTATTCACGAGTTCAAGGAGGAAAAGGAAAGGGAATTGTTACTCCATGTCCCTTAATCCCCAGAACAAGGGCCATATTCTATTAAAATCTTAAAGTTAGTTGAAGCAAATTGCTCAATATCGGCCATGCATTTGAATGGGGAAAATATCAGTTAAGCAACTTGCTAAGAGGAAAATCGCACTTAAGAACGTAATAGAATACAACCCCTAGTCTCTAGCAGAATTCCCCAGTGACTTCTGCTTGCTCCACAGGTCCAAGGACAGCTTTGTGGCTCAGAATATCCAAATCATTCAACTTTGGAATCGACCATTTCTCAAAGGATTAAATATACCCCTGAAGAGTACTTTTTTCCGGAGCTCTTCAAAACGAACTGAAGCGGAGTTAAAAGGGAATAATGAAAGGAGATAATGCTGAGAAGTAAAAATTAATTATTACATTTATATTGAACAAATGAGTTTTCAACTTTTTGAGTTCACTTTGTAGAGTGAGACGCTTCCACAAGTAAGCAGTTAGCTCCGTAGGAACTATTGAGGATGTTGGAAGAGCGGTAAACGTTGGTTCCTTATCTCAGTAAGGCCAGAAATTGTTTCATACAGTGATTCAAACCTTAACCTTCATTAGGAATATGCAAACATCTGTAAAGGAATATAAGCGGAAAAAGAGCAAAGAAGATTATGAAATACTACGAAGATGTTACCAGAATGAAGAATAAATGGTGAAAAGCACTTCGCACGACAATCAAGTTTTCCTTAGACAGTTTGAATTAACATTAGGTGCGATTTTGGAACGTTCAAAATTTCTCTTCATATCTACACCCTCCACATATTGGGATCTTGATTCCCTCACAATAAATAGGAGAAACAGCTTTAAATTAAAAAAAAGATATTAATTTTGTTCACACTATACATACCTAGGTACTGCATGCAATACATTTGGCACTTGATGTTCTATCGTTTTTCTGATAGTGAGCGTATTTTTTTATTTTGCAGGGAAACCCGAGCTGCAAGTATACCCGGTGGAAAGATTTGCCGATACTTATGTAGAGATCACTTCCACGCCGCTGGTCGCACTTCTCTCCCCAGGAGGGATGTCAATGAGCGAACGCTTTCTGTCTACCCAAACAGACTTAAACCCTTATGCTTACTCCTACGACCCTGACGCACCCGAGGACAAGACTGTTTGCACCAACTTCGCGTGTCTATCATCGACTTACGGGATTTGAAACAAATATTAATCTCAATATCCTTCATTCATGCCAGGGCATGACGTTCGAGTACTTCTGCAAGAGGGAGTTTGAATCCTTTCCGATGGTCAATGGAGATTATGATCATACCACTCATCCCATTCCAAAAACAATGCCCACTTCAGACGGTGGAGGATGCTTCGGCAACGGACCTGGTTCGTCCCCAATAAAATGCATTCACTTTGCTGTGACTCAATCCGTATCAATCCCATTTAAATGCACAGCCTGAATACGTCAAGTGATTGTGGGGTAGCAGCTTCGCATGCACTTGCTAGGGGTAATTGATAAGTCATTCGACAACATTAATCTTCCCTTGCTTATTTCAGACGAAGTTCTGGACAAATAATTTTATTATACGAGGGATGTTTACAAAGTTCTGGGAATTTTGTTCTATCACTGCAACGGCTGATCAACGCCTACCGCAAAATTGGTCACACGTGCATGGGCTTGTTATAAACACGACTTCAAAATATTATTTACTGGGCATGTCTCAGTAAGAAGTTGTCAGGGTTCGCGTAGGGTACACTTTGTCAGTCATGGAATACGCGGTAAATTCTCAAAGAGCTATCATTTCCTTTTTAAGGAAGGAAGGTGTTAGGACGTCTGAAAATATTCAATGATTGAAACCTGATTTTGGTGAATCATCTGAAACTAAAAGTACCGTCTATCGCTGGATCGATCGCTTTAAGAATGGAAGAACGAGCCTTGAACATGACCCCCGCAGTGGTCGACCAAACACTGCTGTTAACGAATAAAATGTCATCGCTGTGGAGAAAATGGTGATGAAAGACAGACGAAAGATTCGCGAGATTGCAGTAAGTGTATGCATCAGTTCCAGAAAAGTTCATGAAATTTTACGTGGCCAGTGAGCAAGGTTTCTGCACGATCGGTACCGCGGCTGTTGGGGCCAGAACAGAAACTCGATCGTGTGGAGGTTTGTTCCGAGATGTTGGCTCTACAGCAGGGGTTCTTAACCTGGGGTCCAAGGGCTAGGTCCAGGGGGTCCGTGGAGGGTCCATGGAAGATTAAATTTGTAATTGAAGGTAGCTCCCGAAAAACATAATTTATAATCACAAATTCAGGTATTCCAAAGTTTCTGATAACCGGGGGTGGGGGTCCAGCAGGAACACTTGAAGATCTGGGGGGTCCGTAGGTGCAAAAAGGTTAAGAACCCCTGTTCTACAAGAATAATATGGGGATAGTTTCTGGCAACGAATCATCACGAAAGATGAGACCTGGATACCTTACTTTGATCCGCAAACAAAAATTCAGTCCATGGAATGGCGACGACCTTCTGATGGCCCTCCGCTTCAAGCAAGGACTAGGCCATCAGTTGGTAAGGTCATGATAACGGTGTTTTGGGATGGCCAGAGAGTAATCATGATTGATTATCTGCAAAAAGGTTCCACAATACATGCAACATATTACTCTGATTTGCTGAAGGGACCACCGCGTGAGGTACTCGAGAAAAAACGGCCAGGAAATTCCCGACCATTATTGCAGCAAGTCGATGTGAGGCCGCACACTGCTCGTCTTACGAAGGTCGTCTTGCCAGATTTGCGCTCGGAATTGCAGTCACACCCTCCCTATTCTCCAGACCTGGCTTCCAGTGACTATCATCTGTTTGGGGAAATGAAGAAACCCCTATGAGGAATCCATTTTGAGTCTCTATCTGAATTTAAAGCAGCGATAAATGAGTGGATTGAACGTATTCCACAAAAGTTCTTTGAAGATGGACTAAAAAAATATATATTATTCGCTGGCACAAATGTATACTGCTAAATGGTGACTATGTTGAAATTTGCACTGCAATATCGAAGAAAGTTAACCTAATACAAAATTGGCACGCAAATTCCCAGAACTTTGCAAACACCCCTCGTAATTCAGCGCTTGACTATTGTCATGCTTCATAATCTCCATCAGCCGGCTCAAGCTCCGGCAATATTTGAAACTTGTAGAAGCCATATTGAAGAGCAGCATTAGTAGAAAAGTTCCTGAAGATCTTTTAAGAAAAAATATTGATGATTGCATCAGACGTTTGAGCAGGATGGAAATATTTGGGACAGAACCTGAGTGGAAGTTTACAGTAAAAGAACATTGCATGTACGAGGTATAAAATCTTTCGAAGGTCAAACTTTCCATATTAAGGGCATCCTTAGGAAACGGCATGAGCTGCTGTTCTATTGCAGGAATCCAATGTTTTCAGTAGCTGATTGCGTTACCTTGTTGGCTTTACCTTGAAGCAACCATTACAAAGTTTCAACTGATGATTTTGTCTTGAGATATGAAAACCTTTTTGAATAATGGAGCTTTGAGGTCAGGAGGATGGTCTTCCCTATTAAATTATTCCTAAGTTTAAGATTCGTCGCGTGGCTGATAGTGTTCAGTAGGGACACTCTATCCCTACAATTGGTTACTTGGCGACACTTCACCATACCTCTTCCCCAGTAACACGGTATCTTGGAACAGTTGTAATATTGATGTAAGACTTATGTGCTAGTGAGGTTTTGCCGTTACTGCTAGTTGTCTTACGAATAATTGAACTGCAGCGAACGATCTACAGAAGAAGGTTCCAAATGTCACAAATGAAATGGGCAAACTTTTGAAGGATTTTTCTCATATCTTTATTAATTAGTTATGCTAGATGAGGTAGAGTCTCTCGTGTAATGTGTGCAATGGGATTTATATTTACATTGAGGTGCAAGAGTCTTTGCCCCCAGTATTTCAAGTATTTCTTAGAGTGGATGGGATGAATATAAAAAAAAATAAAAAATTTTATTCACAGATAAGGCATGGTACAAGGTAGGAAAGTATCACAATTAATAGTTGATCCTCTCTCCCTTCGAGTCAATGGAAGCCAAACATCGCGCTTCCATCAACTCGACCAAACGATTTAGAGTGGCCAAGTCGATTCTATTCCATCCATGCAGTCCAGTTCGTCGAGATTTGATGGTTTCCGCTTCTCGACACGCTGTTTAAGGATAGACCAGAGATTCTCGATCGGATCGACGTCTGGACTGTTTGAGGGCCAGTCGATCGTTTCGGGTACTTCCTCGAGTAGGGGCTACTTCGTCACTCGAGTTCTGCGTTTGGGATCGTTGTCTTGCTGCAGTCGCCAGCGTCGACCGAACTGCCTTCTGGCGCTACGGAGGAAATGATCTTGAAGGATTTGAACGTAGTATTATTCGAGAGAATTATTATAGTAGTATTCGAGAGAATTATGGATGGCCCCCATCCATAATTCTCTAGAACGAACGACAGCCGACTAGGCCCACGACACTGAAGCTGTCCCTCACCATGATCTTCTGTCTGTTCTTCAGGAATCGCTCGACCTCACCTCTTGGATTCTTTGGCTATCGACGAATCGTGTTGCTGAATAATCGGTAGGAAGCCTAGTAATTGAATACCGCTCGGCTCCAATCGTCGTTCACGTGTCGAATTGCCCACTGGACGCACACATCTTTGTGTTTCTGTGTCAACATCAGCGTCGCATGGAAAAAAGTACTATTTTAGTCTATCTGTATGAGCTGACGTCGAACCGTCCATCGGGACACGTGCCGGCCTTGGTCCTGAAGCAACTTTTGCGCTAGTTCTTTCGCCGTCGTCTCATGGTTTCGTCGAATCCACCGGCTGAATGTCTTGTCATCACAGCGGTGATCTTGCGGGGTTGGCCACTACGGCGTTTGTTCTCTACCGTGCCTTGTTCTTTGATCTTGGCAATATTTGACTTGACCGTCCGAACGGAGATGTTTGTCAGCCAAGCTATTGTGACAGGAGATCGATGGCCGTTGTTCCAGAAGTATAAAATATTTTATCACTTCGTTTTCGACGAAGTAGAATTTCTTTGTCGAGGCGTTTTCCCCCTACTGTAGAATGTTTACGACGATTTGCGGTTTCCACAGCTATACAGGGTGAGTCAAAAGTCCTGTCCAACCTTTGAGCGTGAATGACTCCTCAACGCTTGATCTCTTCGAGATGCTGCTTTAACCATTCGGAAGACTGGACATTTCTGTATCGAATGAAAGATTTTCGAATTATTTTGCTAATGGTATAATTCGGAAAATAAATTCCTATTCGGGGGTTATACAAAGGCATTGACTCGTGAAAACACCCATGTCCCACCACATTCAATTGTCTGTTCTAGTATGAGAGTTATTGTGCAATGTCTGTGACCAATTCCAATTCATGGAGGATTGAGGAAAGTGGCTGATAATTGATTGACCAATGATGAGCGAATTGCAAAAGTTCGGTTTTACTCTGAATGCGACGGAAACCACTCGACAATTCAGGAAGAAATTGATCGGCGAAACCGTCAGCCGCAAGTTGTTTGCCCTCATCGACTCAAATTTTGACAAGACAGGAAACGTAGCAGACCTTCTCCGATCTGGACACCCTCTGAGAGTCGAACAGAAAATTAGACAGTGCTGCATGCATGCTTTGGGTGCCAATACTTTTATATAACCGAAGAACAGGAATTTAATTTCCACTGGAAAAATAATGCAAAAATATTTCCTCTTATATAGAATTGTCTTGCCTTTCGAATGGTGAAAACCGCATCTCCATGAGATCAAGCGTTGAGAGGTTATTAACGTTCAAAAGGTGAACAGGACTTTTGACTCACCCTGTATATAGACCTTTCCTCACCTTCAAGAGAGCTCTCGAAAAATCTCTCCAGAAATTTCCAGAGATATGCCTCCAGAAAGTTGGCTTATGCGAGGGGGAAGGACTTTCGCACCTTAGTGTACATCTCAGTGCTGATAGATTGATATTAGCTCATGGTATGTTTTCCTCAGCAAATAAAAGCGCAGCATTTCCATACAAGCATAGCTTCCCCCATATCGTTCTTAGTTACGTAGAGCAGGAGAGTTCACGTAAGATTCAAAACCTTCATATTTCTATTGATGACATGTACCTCGTAATTGAAAGCTGACATATTCGTCGCACTTCATGTTTTTCCAAATAATCAAGGCATATTTTGAGACTGTTTTCTTTCTTGGGATTTACAACTTAAGGAAATAATGTGCTGAAACCTGTGTCACGAAATCTCACTCTCGAGCAGGTGCGTTGGATTTTACGGGTGGCAATCTAACTATCCCAAACACCTTCTTCTTTGAATTGGGCTTGCATAATTTCCTGGTTGTGGTGAGGAAAGGGAACAAGACAGGAGTGGCCTACATGGATGCCTTGGTCACTTCGAGAACGGCCCCAACATTTCCGGTTCCACAAATTGCGTAAGAAACCTTTTTTTTCCAGTTACTCGATATCCTCCCTCTTTAGAGAATTACTTCTTATGTCTCATGAGCCGCGATACGGATTTATTTTTTCACTGTTTCCCATGTACCCAGATGCAAAATGCCGTCATTATGCCAGCATCCAAAAGAGGTTGGGATTTACATAAATCCAACAGCACGATTTGCCCTTGAAGGAAAATGCCCTGTATCATGCAAGGCTCTCAACTACCATTGGACTCTGCGTATGGTGAATTGCTCAGGGGATCGATGCGTAGCCAACAAAGATCCTGTAAATGATCCCAAACTGTTCCCCGGTGAGTTTATTAGGTATCATGGCCATGCTTAGACATCGTCCAATAGTAGTTTAGAACACCCAAACGATAGTAAGTGGGTGTGAAAGTCACAGCTAGCTCCTGATATAGACTTTAAATGTATCATTTATAGACTGAAAGGTAAATGCACTGCATCTAAATTTCTTTTTCAGTCGGTACTGACCTGAAGGAGATATCCCTGTCTTATGACATATTTACGCAACTTAAGGAGAATGGAATGAACAGATTTCGACTCAGGCTGGAGTCAACCGATCCAGTCACTAACGTGTCAGGTATAGTGATCAGCAACACGGTATTTCATTTTTTAAATAAATTATTTGGATCATTCTTGAATTGCAACAATCGTGATTTACCCTGTAGCACTGGCCGAAGACTACCTCATTTTGAACGAACCCCCAATACCAGGATCATGTGTGGCAGATCCTCCCAGTGGATCCACTCTAAAAGCATCAATTGATGGCATTAAAATAACCTGCTCTGATTGGTATGACAAAGAGACTGACATTGGAGAATACAACTACTACTGTGAGTTCCTGTAATACACATGCCAAAGCCTTGACATCGCCACGCAATTATCAGTGCATTTCAAATATTCAAGTGTCCCCTACCAGCATAAAATAAATTATTGAATTCAATACTTTGTATTCACAAGCACGGCCGCAAGTTTCCCGCATGGAAGCCTACCCACTCGGCGCAACAACTTAGGGTCAGCGTTGACCAAGGGTTGATTTTTCAATGTAGCGATGTTGCCACAATGTTGTGTAAAAGGTGGATTCAATGTTGCCGCAATGTTGAAATGAAACAGTTCAACAGAAAATATGCAGTGCCAGCGTGGAATTGTCAACATTTGGGCGTTACCTCCTCCTTTGTTTGAGCAGGAAGGACTCTAGTGAGTACTATCATCCCACGGAGGAGTCCTTTATTATTATTATTACTTCCTTTACTGAGTCGGCATCCGAATTATGTGCTTGAATAACACAACTCATTCTGTTTAGCAAGGGAGTTACGTGCCTAGCCGGGCATAAATATGGGGATGATTCCTCAGTATCATCCCCACATTTATCTCCCATGCAGGCGAAGAGCCAGACACACCCTCGGTGGTCGGTTAACACGCTCCGCCATTCTCGAGAATGATGCAAGAGCTCAAATCTGTATACAGGTACATAGGTACATGCTGTGTAGTGAGGTAGGAAATTTCGGCGTGTCTCCTTGGTGACCGCTTGTCTCGCCGACTACAACTCACCGAATGTTCATTTCGTGGAATGACGATTCACCGACTTCATTCGGGATTTCATTGTTGTTGATTCCTCGCTTCAACCATGGCTCAACATTTCAACCTTTCGTCAATGTCGATACAACGTTGTTGTGCTGAATGGGTATGGGAACAATCGCAGATCCCCCATATGAAGCATGTCTCCTTTATACTGTTATTGTTCTAGCGGTTTAGTTAATATGGCAAGAGCAGTATTACGATTTCGACATAATCCTTGGAGGAAAACGAAAAGAGTCTGCGCTTAATACGAAACATCAAACGTGGTGCAATTGCAGATCTGCATCTTTCTTTTAATCATGTAAATAGATGTGATGCTATTATATCTGTACCATACAGTATATTACAGCAAAATATGTAACTCGTCAATCTCCGAATGGGCAGACTTTCTTCATATACGGCCTCATGTGTCAAGGTTGCTTTACAATTAGACACCCTAGGTGTAGGGAATGGAATATATGCTAAGAAGTTTGTAATTTCTTATTTATAATAAACCTTTATTTCTTACTTATACTTTACCTATTTTCATCCCATAGTATGGGTTCAAGGTCTACATCGCTCCAGTATATAATTTTTTAGTTGGGAACCTCAAAATGATATGAAAATACTTATTCCAATACTTCTTGTGGCTCTACCACAAGAAGCAATATCAATATTTTAAGAAAGCGTGATGAATAGGAATCCGAACAGAACTTCAACGATACCCTCCTAAGTACGCCTCACGATACGATTGCATAGTGGAAGTCCCTGTGAGCATTCCTATCCATACGTGCGCTTTTAAAGTTGCTCGTCCAACTTAATATGGACACAGCTCCAGCAGGCCCAGAAGCATCTTCCAGTGTTAGCGATCCTCGATAACGTACTCAAGCTCAGCAGGTGGTATACAAAGCCTTTCGTGCACTCAGAGAAATCGGTAAATCGAGATAAAATACTTCTCTCAATTTTCGCGTTTCGATTTATTATTCTTAATAGAAAAAGACATCAACTGGATTTTCGATTTATATCTCTCGCTTCCCGACCGTGCAGGGTCGCCTGAAAGGCGTTCGCAAAACCAAAATGCGTCTATAGCTGAGACGGAAGGGTGTTTTGAGTGGCTGCGCATCGTCTAGACACATGTTAACCTCCGTATTCCACTTCATCGTGAAGAGGGAGCTCCCTCCCTCCCCCCATGAACCCTCGGGGCAATGCATTGACAATCGAGGGATTCACACGCAACCGCCTGAGTGCATGGCCTCATCGCAACTTCACCTTCCCTCCGACCCGTGCGAGTGGCTCGTGAGTCTCGAAGGGATTCCCATGTAACCGCTTACTTCATTCTTCGAGTCCAGTTTCATACGGTGTTTGTATTCCGTTTGGTGCGTTGGTGGTGCAACACGTATCGCCAATATGAGATCCGACTGTTAACTATGGATATTTAACAGTCCTTTAAGAATGCATGGATTACTATGGGAGAAAAAGAGCTCCTTCGCTAAAAGCCCCGTTGTCTCCCTTAAATGAGGTTCGTGTATTCGGGCTTTGAGCTCAAAAGCCACTATATTCTCACGATTCCACGACATGCAAGGCAAATTTCGATGTGACTGAAGTTCATTAGGAAATGTTCAATGCGGCAGAAGCGCCTAATATACCTGACCTATACACGCAGAATCAAATTAATGCATATTCGTCTAGAAAAAAGTTGTATTCCATGTGATGTGTTTTTATCGCATCCAACATTTGATGCGATAACCGCATCCAAAATTCGATGCGATAAAGACGCATCACATGCAGGACAGATTTTTTCGCGAGAAAAATGCATCGAACTGAGGCACTGAATTTTCTGTGTGTGGGAAAGATTTTAAAAGTAGTCCGACCACCTTCCACTAGCCTTACCGACTGGTCTACTGCTAGTCATTTTGGATTGAAAGAATCTATTTGGGATTCTCTCGGGCAAAATGCAGGAGACGTGTCCAAATCAACGGGCATGGGATCTCTCGATCCGAATGCGTAGCTGCTCAAGCTGTAGGTTCTCAGATGGGGGCACTTCGCATCCTCCCAATCGGCATGCCATCGGCCGCAAAAACCTCATCGAGGCAGCTTTTATCCGCGATCTGATTCTTTCACCCACTACCCAAAGTTCATGACAGTGAGTGAGGGTTGGAAGGCAAATGCTCTTTAAAACTGGACCCCGATTTATTTAAATATATTCACCTGTTCCAATGGGGCGTCCTGATATGTGGGATGGAGTGACTCGCTCGCTGATCGGTTTTCATTCGATCACGCTGCCTGCCCACCAGGGACTAATGAGTATTCCCACTGTCGCCTGGAAAAACATAGTAGAATCTACTCCGCTCCAGCATAGGGTCAATGAAATAATGTGAAAACCAATGTTCAATAACTTTCCCTTCCTTCAATCCCCCCCTCCCCCTTCTCTACGAGACTCACAAACGTTTAGCCTATGCCTAACCGACAGACTGTCTTTAGGTTGCGCCAAGGCCTACCCTTTTTCTAGCAAAAGAAACTCATCTCTTGACTTACGGGGCCAATTAGGCTCATATGGGTGAATCCGTGGTCTTCCAGACATCTCATTGAGGACGTGTAACGTTAGGCCTATCGCAGGTCTATTCATACTTTCACGAACCTTTTCAGAGCGAATTTGGTACTTTCAGCCTATCTGGAGCTCCTTGAACCATCTCGACTCTAATAGGTTTGAGAAGAGAATGCCACCAGGAAGCATGGGATCCATGGTGCGCGCCATCCTGTTAATTTAGAGATGTCTGGATGAGATGTCTCCATATCTCACCAAAATTGATCAGCGACAGCAAACCACCGTTTCAATCTCAGCTCATCTCATGAACTCAGCTCAAAAATTGATCGCACATTAACAAGCTGGGCAAGCCCAGTCCAGTAGTGGGCCTCCTTTCATTTTAGGAGACCTGCATTTTAGCACCTAATTGAACAAAATGCATAGGCTTTCCGGTCCTTGGCCATCAAAAACCCCATTTCTCATTTACATTTGGTAAACAGACAAACGGTGCCCATGAAACGTTTATGGGAGGATGGAGGATGGTGCGTGGTTGGATCCATCCGCCACGAAGGTTGGTAGGGAACTGACACGGGGCCGCGCCAAAGGCCTGAGTCGTGCACGTATGCACATTGTGGTCCAGAGCCTGAAGGGCCCACGGGTACAAGTGCCTTCCCCACCGTGACCAAATTTAAATTCCGAAATTTGTAATAAAAAGGCCAATTTTGGTGCGAATTCACCACAAAATGAACTCAACTTGTTTATTGTTCATATCTACTCGCTTGCCAATCTTTGCTTGATCAGGCCAATATTTTTTTAGTTATCGTCGGACAACCAAAGTGTGACACACGGACACACGGACGGACAGGACGGGACCATATGTGGTCTCTTTCCTTTCAGGAAAGGAGGCTCACTAAAAAAACAGAAGATCCTGCACAGATACGAGGGGCGAAGCAGTCATGAATCTGGCATTATTTTGGCACGATATCTGGCAACACTGTGCCATCACCAATCGAGCCATCACGCTAAGCTTGAATGAACGACAGTTAATTTATATTATTATAGCGAAATGATGCATTGCAAGTAACAAAAAGGGCACTTTTCGTCATCTACAAGTCAATATATTTCATGTGGTTGGTCTCTATCCTCCGAAAATCCCCTGGAGTGGCTACTAAGGTAAGGGAGAAAAAAAAAGAATGAAATTCACATCTTGAAAAAGCAAGATTCAAAAGTGTTCTTTGCAACCCTTGGGAGATGGCGCTTCAAATTTTCTGGAGCAATTCTGTGTTCAGAGAGGAAGAAATATGCTCAATTTCGTTCCTCCAGAAGCTCCAGAAGATTGAATTTCGTTACGAGAAGAGGGTTAGGGGAGGTAAAAGGTGATACCGCGCCTATTGATCGGTGATGTAGAGCCATGGAACCTATGCCTTTTTTATTGGTCTATACAAGACCGGCTATATCTAGTCGACGTCTTGCTTCTTCTGAGTGCCGGCTCTTTACCGCCGAGAGTTTGCACGCTCTAAGTCCCGATGTCGTTGCCTAGGTCGTTTATCACTTCGTTCCACTCCTGGTCTGCCCTTAGGGCATCGTGCTGAAAATAAATTATGGCCGGTGGCAGGTTGACTGATAGGTCTGGATATCGTTACGACGGGGTCTGACGCACTCAGTAACATCGGATTGCCCAGCCCCCTGGGGGTCAACCTATCAATAATTACCCCGTCAGCGCAATGACTAGGCCTATTGTGGTCCTGCTTTCCCTGTGCGGCGACCAATCCAATATGAAATTTCTGAGTCGAACGCGTCGTGTAAGTTTTGGTTCGTCTCGGTAACCCTCAACCGAAGCCCCTGTACCACGGCAGGATCTGGGAAAGGGATACAACGACCTTCCGAATTACTGGGGTCCAACCTCGCGACGTGCACGCGCTAACCGTAGGAGATCTAAGTACTATCTGATTTAAAGTCTATTGTACTCTATTTGGAGACTTTTGCTCTTAATCTCTGCATTACTTCTTATGCATAACTTATGCTATTCTAGCTACTCAAATGGATGCAAATGATCAACGCTGGGACCTCGTCACGACGGACTTCCCTGAGCAGACAGTTTATCTCAACCTCGGTAACCAAAGCTTAAATGTGATGGTGAGAGACACGTGGGGAGCATTCACCATTTTTCACATAGGCAACTATACTGTGAGTGAATACGATGTATCCTGTTGTACTTTGAGTCTCATTTTTGAGATAAAAATATACATGGTGTCCCAGAATTGACTGTATATAGGACCTTCCACCTGGCCTATGGCATAGAAAGGCATATTCTTGTAGGCCTCGCGTATTCAGAGTAGGTAGCAGAGGTTTAGGCCAGAGTGATCCTTGAAACTGTAATAGCCACTAGTACTCAAGTTTGAGTTAATGTCCAAGATTTCATAAAATCGTTGAACGCCTTCTTGGTCGTGGTTGCTTTGACGATAAATTGTATATGTCGTAGGGTTTTGTGGAATTCAGGGGGATTTGGAATCACCCTAGGAAGAGACAGGATTCCATTAAAACCGCGGGTTTATCGGAATCCTCTCAAAGTCGTGTCAATGTCGCTACACCCTAGGAAGATTCCATATCTCCCTGGCTTGAAAATTACCCTTCCCACGGCTTGTCCCGCCGAGGGCAATTCTCCTTTCGTTTGCGTTTACGGATTATTTAAGGCTGAAGAATACCGTGTTATAGTCTGTTCCCGACCAAAATTCTTGGATATGGAATCCCCCTCCCACTTATTGTGGGTACCAATAAAGTGATTAACTGGAATTGACGTGTGAGTGCCACTGTTTTGGGATGCGCAGGGTTGTCAGATTCTGTTAGAATCCTCCCATGGCCGCCACGACATCCGCAGGACACTCACGAAGAAAATGCATAAAAATCCATATCACGCGTTGACAACCCTAGCTATTTTTATAACCCTTCCCATAATGGGCGAGGGCAAAACCCTAGAATTTATTGCTCAAAATCTCATCCGTCAAACTTATTAGCCGTCTTTATTTGGAAGTATCCGAAAGACTTTGCTCGGGAATAGACTAATTGGTGCCGTGAGAATCAGTGAGAATGCCGCGCCTGATTCTGCCTGCACTAACGAAGAAAGAGAAGCTTGGAAGACAGTGGTTGCGTCAACGAAGGCGAAGGCTTTGAGGGCAGAAACAAGCTACGCCAGTAGGGGTGCAGGATCCATCTGCAAGTTCGACAAGTCTTGTCGCACTAACAGGTGCAGTGTAAAAAAAATAGGCAGAACATGCGATGCGAAATTTCCCTGGAATTAAAAATCTCAAACATATTAGAAGGCAGTACTAATATTATCTTTGTCTGTGTTTAGATCTTTCGTGCTTAATCTGTCGAGCTTTGTATCAAGCAAAAACTGCAATCCTATTCGGACTGACTTTTTCGTTTATTTGCAGATGGAGATGCCAACAAAAAATGAATTTGATGGAAGTGAGCGGTTGCTTCGTTTATTGGATGGTGAGGGTGATGTTGATCAAATGAACATGGTATCTCAAGCCAGAGCATCTGTCATGCATGTAGCTCCATGGCTCAGCCTTGATTCTCATGCACTGGCTAATCTTCCCGCAAATGACACCGAGACCCGTATATTGGCTGTGCAAACAGTGAGTTATTGCATTGTAAATGATGGGTTTAATGTTCTGAAGAGAAGTATATTGTCAAGAAATACCATAATACATGTTGTAATGGATTTTCTGTGATATTGTGCACAGCTTTATACATCCATGTTGATGGCAATAGCTGAGCAAGCGACTACGGTGACTTACGGACAAGTCCTGAACACCCTCAGCTTTCTAACCGGAGTTACCACGGGAATCCGCATGAATGATGCCAGAACCTTATCTTTAGGACTGGAAGGAAGAAGAGCTGCGAAAATTCTTATCGACGTTAGTCCTCTTGATCTCCTTAGTCCCAATTATTTTTTGCATTTTCCCCACCTTCGAAAGCCCAGAGGTTGAAAGGAGTCTTCTTCCACGATAGGAATTTTTTAGCTCATATATAGCATATTCATTTAACACGTTCAAGTCGGGGTCGAAAAACTTGTGCGGTGCTGTGTTATAGCGGGCGCAGGTCACTAGTGTACCCCGCCGACCTGAATGGTTTATATACCTTTCCAAGTTTTACCTTTTGAGATAATAAACCATGCAAAAATTATTGGTCCTATTTACACGAATGTATTCTGCAGCAGCTCGGGTATAACCAGTTCACATTTGCACGATGCAGTCGAGCTGCCGAAATTGCTTTGGATGTAATAACTAAAGGGGATAATGTTACAATATTAAATACTTACTTTTGAGGTACAATTCCTTTCCGTACGCTCCAATCACAACAAAACAGTCAATCGAGATGCGGTAAAATATGATTTTTAAAAAGGGGGGCGTTATAACCCACGTCCTCCCGTTAAAATTCTAAATTTGTTCAGAAAATAGGGAAACGACGCAATCTCTTGAAGCGACAGGGTTGGTGGTTTCCATGCCCCTCCCCCTTTCCCAAGAATCTTTTCGTGAGAAGTACTCGCATCAACTACCAAGCTGACTGGAATATGTAGTGCAATTTCAAGGTCGACCGCTGACATCCACTGGCTGCTCCATAAACTTCGACTCAGACTGATGAGCTCAACTGGCTTAACCACTCTGGAACTGACAAAGAAAGATAGGGGGTGGCCGATGAATGCATGAATGGTTCTGAAGAAATAAATATTACTGTAATGTATGGAAAGAAAATAAGGCATTCCCACCACGTTATTGTTACGTTGTGCTACAAGCCCATGTGAAATATGATTGTTAATCATGAACACCAACTCGGAAGAGGTAGAGGATTAACAGGAGCACATTCGTGATTGTTTTAGAAGTATTTTTATCCTCACGATGAAGCGGCCTGAAAATTGTCAATAATCAGCCATTTTGGCTGGAATATCGCTAATATTCAATAGCCCTTATCGCAAACGGCAGTGTTCAGTGTCATTCAAATGCTTTGATCCAAGCTGAAATCAAGACATTATCATAACAATCAATTAGCTGCCTTACCATCATTTGACTGGCAGGGGCAAAAAGTTACTCTTATCAGTAAAGACATACACTTTTTTTTTCACTGATCTTAGATTGAATTTCTTCAGTGCATCGAAGTGTGGGTTGTATAACCAAGATTATCCCTTTACCATGCATTGCCCAAAAGAAGATATTGGAGACACAATCAAAGCATTCAAGTTTTCAGAAGTGTACTGTCATCATTCCAGAGTATCATGAACAATATGGACGGCATTGAGTTCTCAACTCAAGAAATGGGGATACCAATAATGGCAAGCCTCCTCATTGTTGGCCCGAATCTGATGGAGGTAACCAAGCCGCTTCCTTTGAGGGTTTCGAAAAAAATTCAAATTATGGCAAATTTCGTCTGCTGGGAACTTGCAGGGAGTTCTGGGACAACTGGAGAGTGGAAACTGCGACGTGGAGGCGAATGTGAACATGTCCCTTTGCTCTCCCATAGACAAGCAGCAAGATTCCCTCGACTACTTCTTCCCGCCACCCAGTAAGAGCATTCGGATAACCCTCTTTGATCATCATTGCTTGTTTTCTACTCATGCACCTCCCGGCAGTAAAGAGGTGCACTTGATGATTGCAGGCCCGTTTACGATGGAAATACTCTTTGACAAGACAAGCCAGCCAAAACGGAAAAATAATTAATGGTAGTTTATTGCTCACGCCAATTTTTCATTTGAACCTGAGAGATTGGTTGGAAGATTGGTATATTTTGTCCCGAGCTTGGTCAAGTCGATTAGAACAGTGGTGCACAACCTTTTCCCCCTGGATGGCCAAATTGAGATTTCGGCTCATGTTCGAGTGGTTCGAGGGCCGCAGACTCTCGAACATGTGCCGAAATAAGCCACATATAAATATGGATCTTTAGAGACCGGAGGCATCCAAGGGGCCGCAAAAAGGTCTCCTCGGGCCGCATGCGACCCGTGGCCCGCAGGTTGTGCATCACTGATCTAGAACATATCCAACGGATGACACTCAGTTTTCCAGTTTTACATACCTGCAGACGGAAAATGATAAAATTTAATAAATATTTATATTTATTAAGCGCTCATCCTAAACTAATGTGGTTACGGCTCGAGCAGGCCCAGAAGCATCTTCCAGTGGCTGCCATCCTGGGCAATGGACCCAAGCTCAGCAGGTGGTATACCGAGTCTCTCGTGGCAAAGGTTCCCGATGTAGTCCGACCACCTTGCACGAGACCTACCTATGAGATATTATTTTTAGGCAACCATTTATGGGCACAGTAAAATGATCGGCAGAAGACCAGTCGGTAGGTCTCGTGCAAGGTGGTCGGACTACATCGGGAACCTTTGCCACGAGAGACTCGGTATACCACCTGCTGAGCTTGGGTCCATTGCCCAGGATGGCAGCCACTGGAAGATGCTTCTGGGCCTGCTCGAGTCGTAACCACATTAGTTTAGGATGAGCGCTTAATAAATATAAATATTTATTAAATTTTATCATTACCAATACAGTTTCGTAGTAAGGTCTTTTGTCAGAAATATCCATGTTACGTGTAGTCCCCCACATGTCCACTGCCTCGCTGAAGGCACAATTCCCTACCGTACGAGAGTGCAGGCCACGTGCTCGTTAACATTCCCTGTGTAAGGCTCGTGAATGCTTCCTGTATGCGGTTTTCCAGGTCTGTCACATCACACAATCTCTCGGCACAGACCTTTTCTTTGATTGGGCCCCCTCGTCCATACCATCACACGGGGTCAATTCCCTGGCCAACGAACTCTCAACCTGAACACAACTTGTCACAACGGAGATGTCAGGGCAACTGAACCCAAACACTGGCCCAAGTGGCATTCAACTAAGCAGAAGTATGAGTACAAGGTATAAAGTAATAAAGGCGGTCTGAACAATACAATTGATGTCGCTGAGCTATACGCGTCTAACATCCGCGGCGCACACGCTGCGCGGCATGAAAAAGAGCATTCAACACCCAACTGACAAATGACGTCCTATTCTCTCCAACTCCTTATCATTTTCCTATGTATTAGGTTGTTGCAAAAGTCCTGTCGGTATTGACAACTTTATTTTCTCAACTTTAGAGCTTTGCAACAAGCGAGGCCTAATCGACCACATATTCGCCATAGTTGCAGATGACCTTCGTCCATCTTAACTTCTCTTCAGAACATTAAACCCATCATTTACAATGCAATAACTCACTGTTTGCACAGCCAATATACGGGTCTCGGTGTCATTTGCGGGAAGATTAGCCAGTGCATGAGAGATGATGGGATGAGTGGGATACAACAGACTGTCCTTATATACCCATACCTACCACCCACTCGCCAGGAATTGTCAAAGCCTGGAAGTCTTATTAGAACATGTTACATTCGACACCGACAGGACTTTTGCAACAACCTAATAATATGCTAAACCAACTTGATTCTGACCCTACGTGTTAGGAAGAGAACCTCCTTCCCCGATGAGATGAGCTGTGGGTGGAGCATTCCTCCTCAAGGAATTCATGTCTTGACAGTGGAGGAAAGAAAGAAGAAACTGGATGAAACCAGACAGTGAACTGAAGTAGCTCTTCCTTACTCGGCATGGAAAGAACGATTTTATTCAGCAATGACTTCAGTATTCACATATTCTGTATTCAGTTCATGGAATTGAACAAGTACGCTCCGCAATATAAATTGGCAGAATAGACTCTTTGTATTGCTTCGCGCACAATTTGATCAAGAATATTCATGCGATAGTGTGCTAAAGACACCTTGAGCAGTAGCAAGGTGGCTACCAGCAATGGAAGCAGATGAAGTATCCCACTTGTCTCCTGACCTCAGCTTTGAATAGAGAGAAATACTGGGTTGGGCCACCCAGTATTTCTTTACTCAGTATTTAAAAAGAAGATCCCGAACTTAGCATGCCTGCAGATGGTGTACCAAATGAGTTATCAACAGGAAATTTACAGACATTTACATGCAATGTTTGCAAGTAATTTAACAAAAAAGATAATTGAAATAGGTAGTAAACTACGTGAGTAACAATTTTTCTCCCGTGCGATGTCAAAGAGCAAGTGTGGAAAGAAACGCGCCTGACCTCAATTAAATAAATGTTTGATGGGTCCTCCATGGACCGCGGGATCGATTCTGCGTGGTATCGATTCTGATGCTACGATTTACGACAGTAGCACTGTTCTACGATGTGTTGAATACTACGATGAGAACTGGCATACAAAGCGGTATTTATGACGTCAAAGTAGAGAAATCATTCGAGCGGTCCTGAAACTCCATCCTCCTCGAGTGCGGAAAGGTCCATTTTATGATACCACTTTGGGCGACTGTCGATATTTATTCAGACAACTTAGGTTCATGAAACTTCATAAAACAAATTTTGTGGTGTTTCCAACGTAATACAAAAATATCGCTAACCTAGATCATCCACGACGGATTTTATAAGGCGTCAAACACGACGCGTTTTTTTTGCGCCACTCGGTATATTGGGTATGACACCCTGGAAATTTCAAGACGATGCTTAGCATGGTGTCCCATCTGCAGACGCACGAAGTTAGGGACTTTTTTGGGCCACCCGGTATAATTCGATGGGGTTCAAATAGGAGCTGCATTTCGGAAGGAATTTTATATGGGACGGATGTCGGGGGATCAGACTTCAGTTAGCCATACAGGAAAAAGACAACAGAAAACTTCAATATGGATATTGAAGCAGAAATCCTCAGGAATGCAATCACTTCCTGAGTCTGGAGTCAATATCTCTTTCTTGTAGAAGGGTGGATATCCATCTATTGATAGATACTGTTCGCAAGCAAATCAATATTTCCTTGCGTTCTATCGCTCATGAGGAATTTCCGCTTGTTGTCTCTCTTTATCTGATCAGCAATTGGCGGAGGCAGGAATTCATCTTTTTCATAGAGGATGTCCTTTTCTGCATGCAAGACTGCAAACATGCTCTAACACTTTGCTATAGACATGTCAGAGAAGAAAGGCCATTCTAAATAATGTCTTTTTATGTCGAAGGTGGGAGAGTGATTTTGTTTTCAAAGTCTGATTACTTATTGCCTATCCTTCCTCCTCTGTCTGGATAAGAATACCTCGAGGACAAATTTTCTACTCATCACAACCATCAATAAGGTTCTCTCTTCTCAGTGCATGGGATCCAAATAAATTTGGTTTGGTATAACAATGATGCACATTCATTTCTTGTCAAAACATATAGGAAGTAATGTGGTCCATCATACATTTTATATTTTCGACTCGCCTCACCGTGTTGCAATGAGAACTTGAGCAGTAACTTATTTTCGAGAGATATCCTGCTTGCACGCTTTCACTTAGCTGTAGACATATCTTGATTGCCATTCGCAATCGTGTCGATCTGAAATCAGGAATCCCTCAATTTTTGTCACTATTACTGAAGTCATTATTTTAGTCATGAAACCGGAATCATGGGAGGAACTATACCAATACTAGCATGAACAAGGGTATTTTAGTGGGAAATCCTTCCATAGCAAGATATGTTGTAATGGAGACCGTATTTTACGAGAAAGGAAAGAAATGAGAGATAGATCACAGGTGTGAAAGAGAGCAGTAGGTAAGGGGAGGAAGTGAAATAAAGCTTGGAGTCGTGACATGACCGCCTCACGGCCTGCATTCCATTTCACCCCGCGACTGAGGGATCCCTGACGTTATCCCTTATAATTGTAGTGCCTAGTCTGACCCGAAACCTGACCCTGAAAACGGAATGTCAAATTCGTTCAATTATTTACAGCGGCGGTTCTCATACTGTGTGCCGCTGCACCGAGGGGTGCCGCGAGAAGCTGGCAAGGGTGCCGTGGGTGTTGAAAGAATTTTCGGGCATTTCGACAATAAAGCCAAAAGCCTATGGGCCGATTGCATGAACGATGTTTTCCCGGTGTTTTTCGAAATTCATCGTTTAACCGATGTCTAAGGCCAAAAATGGATTGCATGAACGCTATCTTCCTTTAACTATTGTCTAACCGATGTCTAACAGAAGCTGAAAAATGTGTCGTTTCCAGATAAGGGATGGGGCATGCTTTGCCAATATTTATGCCAGCGTTCGTGTACCATCTCGCTGAGTATAGTGCTGCAGTGTACTGGTGAAGCACAATGGATTCTGCTTATAGATCCGCTGGATAACGGCGATGTTCTCTCTTCGTCGCATGGGAGGAATAAACATAGGTTCTGGGCTTAATCCCTTTGAAGAATATGTCGATTAGAACTTCCGCGTGAGATACCAATTTGGAAAGGGATCTGGGTATGATGTCGATCTGCTTCGCGCTGAACTCGAAAGGAACGAAGATCGTGGAAGAGATCCCTTAACTTTACATCGACAGATAAGAGTAATCACTGTTCGTGTGCAATGAATCGTGATTTGTTCAAGTATCCATCACCTGAGTAATTAATTAATATGACTCGAAAGTAAAGTGAGTATCATGAAAGCCTTTCGATTTGTATGTTATGCTGACCCTTCGATTTTATGTGGCGTCGATTCCTAGAAACGGAATGACGCAAGCAATTGCCCATTTGCACCACTCATTACATTCCTAGGAGGAAAACGGAGTAGTTGTTCGAAGATAATTACTTGATATTGTCGGATTTCCAGGAGTGATCGGTGTCATCGACGACTGTCGTATTCGAATAGAATCCCCAGACAACTTTTATCAATCGCAAATGCTTTTATTTCATCGATGTCCAAGCAGTGCGAGATGCGGAAAGGATTTTTATTGATGTTGTCATTACGTGACTAGGATCCACATGCGATTCTCGAAAATCCTCATTTTGCAATCGTACCCAAATGATACTCCTATTTTTCACATTTCCAACTTCTCCGTGTGTCCAAAACGAATCCTTGGCTTTACTTTTGATGTATCGAAATACAGAGTAAGGTCAGAGGAGAACTCACCACTTTCCAGGCATGATTATTGTTGTGCAAGGAAAATGTATTGTGTCTCTCTCTCGCGCGCGAGGTTCTCCTTTACAAGCTCTGCGAGATGTACTTAATAGTCTGATGAAAGGTTCTCCTTTGTCACTTGATTCGCTCGTGTTTTTTGTGGAGTCCGAAGTGTATTACGCGGCAACCGAGGAGTCAGAATGTGCTATATACAGTATATACCATGAGGGGTGTTTAGCCATCGTCTAACCATCGGCTATGAAAACATGGCTTAGGGATGGTTCACGCAATCGAAAGAAGACAGCGGTTAACCGATGTTTTCGTAGACGTTTAAACAATGACTATCAATAATCAATGTCTAAAATAAACATCGTTCATGCAATTGGCCCTATAATGCTACTGGTGTATTCGAGATATACGGAGCGAGCAGGAAACCTCGGAAGAAGAACCGCTTCAAAAATGCGACAACTTCTGACTTGATAGATATTCCCTTAATAAAAGTGCATACAAGGAGTATGCAATATGAGTTAATTTTGATCACAATCGACTCATATTGGGTACTTCTGGTATGCACCTTTATTTAAAAAATATATACTGCATCTATCCAGGAGGAATGTCAAGATCAATATTTTTGCAACAAAGATACAGATTCCATTTTACAACCAGATACGTATACATTTTTTCTTATTCTTGGTACTAAAAAACCCGTTCATGTCTCGTCTAAGCATTACAAGTGAACTGCGTGAGGTCACTCCAAAATTTGAGCCGCATCTTGATTTTTGGAACAACCAAAGGCAGGCGCAGATATTGCGTTGGAGTGAAAAAAGAAAAGTTCGAATACATTTTTTAAAACGATTTTTCCAGGTAACCTGTCATGCATGAATTCACAAGTCCTGGTTAGGCTCATTTTATCGGTTTAGCATATATAATATTATTTATATTGGAGTTTCGTGGATGCGCAGGGGTGCCGCTGACGTCTCGCTGTCTGTAGAGGGTACCGTTACAAAGAAAAGGTTGAGAACCGCTGCCATACAGGGTGGACACGATGCCAATTGGAGTTTAAAAATCATATATTTATTGAGACGAGGCATCTTTTTTCTGGAAATCAATGCAGGAAATTCACAAGCTTCGTATTGATGAAATCTTGACTTAACCATGCAGACTTTGGATAAGGTGATTCTTTGGATGGACGCGTTTGAAACACCATAACCTTTTGAGATTATTGCAAATCCCCACCAGTGAGTATGGGAAATAAGGGAAACTTTCAAGATTTCACGCTTCTGACCGTGAGTGCAGTTTTGATGAATACGCGAATTTTTTCACTTTTTTTTTTACTTGAGTCAACTGTCTAAGTATCAATACTAAGTCAGTATTGAGGCGCAATTTGTTTCTTATGAATGTTTTTGGAGAGCGGACAAAGCCGCGCTCCCCAGTTAAGGGTTTAAGGGAAAGATTTACATAAAATTCAAAGCTCCAGGATCTGTAGCACAAGAGGTGCTTCTCATGTGCTACAGAAAAATGTACTATATGTACTGCACTTGTGTTTCCACATACTATAATACTTTTATTCTGGGATTCTTATATATATCAGTCAAAATTTTTGATGAATTAAAAGTGTTTGAGATTGGGAACATCATGATCACATGCACAACGTGACATAAGGAATTCGAAAACAGCAAAGCAATTCCTGCCATGCGTATCACTCTTCAATGGTTTCAGTCCTCTTCATCAGAGAGCCAGTCTGCATTTCGGATCAACATGTAATTGTCCATGTCAATGGTATGGCAATGATAGATTGCATATCGAAGTTTCTGGGTCAACATAGCTGCTGATGAGTATTGAGGAAGCCTGAGCTGTGAAAAGCAGGTTTGTGCTGTGGGCAAGGAATCAACTGGTCTGTCCACTGGGATGATTTGGAGCCGCTGAATGGAGGAATCTGCAGGGGATGCAGGCAAGCGAGAGCGCCCAGAAACGAACCTCAGGAACAGGACACGCTCGCCATGAGTGAAGCTTTCCAGAGCAGACCATAGCCATTGAATTAAAGAGCAGTCTTCTTCCAGGTCTCGATAGCGTGCCATCTTCTTCAAAATAGCCACTGGAACATCAGGCAAGCCACAAACTAATCTCTCAAAGTGCCCTGGAGGGCAAAGTTGGAGTAAGGGGATGGGAACAATCCAGGATATGCCCTCTTGAACAGCTGCAATCTGACGATTCATCTCGGTCATCCGATACCTGATGGCAGCCCTATAGTACTCCATTCTGTTAGAAAATGTGAGAGGTACACTGGAGCCTCCTGAGACAACTGGGATGTATTCACCAACTAGATTCACACCAAGGAAGTTTTCTGTGGGTAAGACATCATGAAACTCTCGTGGACTGATTCCAGATAAGTGAGCATCTCTGACTGCCCTAAGACTCTGAATATAGAGGCAATCAACGTCTTCCAAGTCCTGTTCTGTGGGCTCAATCCCTGCCATCAACTTCCAGACGATTGGGGCAAGGTTAATGTCCAATGGCTTTCGTGTCCGAATGGCAACTCCAAACAAGATTCCAAGAAAGTGAAAGCACTCAAGGTAATGAGGAGCAGTCAGTGTTGGGTTGAATAAAAATGCATCTCTATTGAATCCCACCTCATTCCTTGAATTAGGAGTTGGGATGAAGAGTGGCACTGTTCCTGACATGAGCTCCACGCACATCTCAGTAATGGTATCATCAAACACTCCTCCAGCATCATCTGCACCTTCCCCAACCAGTTTCACCTTCCAGGACCGTGATGGGAGTCGAAGGTCTGAGGGCTTCATTTTCAAAACCTGATCTGCCACTTGTACGAAAATTGGCTTGGGAGATTTTCCAGCTGGTGCAAGGCGTCGAATTATGACAGTGGGACCATAATTGCGGCCCTGGATCATGGTGCCACTGATGCAGCGAATGAGGGGAAGAGAATAGATACGAGGATTCAACAGAGGTTGAATGATGCCCTTCTTGAGGCCAATGCTACCACAGGCATCTTCACACACAGAATTCAGCAGAGGAAGAAGCCTCCATGAACCATAAAAGATCTCAGAGAAACGGTGAAGCAAGCGGAGACGATGGCGTATCTTAGGCAATGGGACTTCTTGTAAGTGTGGGTAGTGGTTGGGTATACAATTTGGGAGGCCAAATGATTCCATCATGAAGGGTGCAGTAGAACCTGGTGGTGAGGTTGATTGACTCATTGCATTTTGTCTTACCAATGGAGGAGCTGTCCATGCTGCATTGTGCTTTCGTCCACACGATATCTGTCGGATCTTCTTGCCCTGAAGTTCTGGAATGAGGACTGGTTCCAAAACAGGAAGTGTGTGCCCAAGTCCTAGAAGACCCTCACTGTTTACACCCCATCCATAGACATCGCCATTATTTCTCAATGCCAGAGTATGTTCTGCACCCACAGCAATATCCATCATGCACATGTCAGCCAGAGATTCAATCAGCTGTGGTGTGTGATATGCAGCAGAACGATGCTGGGGCTGTCCAATCATTTTCTCCATGCCACATGAATAAATTAGTCCTGTTTGGGTGAGGAATATGGTGCATTGAGTTCCACAGACAACTTTTTTCACTCCCATACCTTCAAGAGCAAGAACTTTTTGAGGATGAAGCTTTGATGCTGAATTACCCAAGCCGAGTTTCCCATAGTCTCCATCTCCAAATGCAAATGTGTGAGCACCATCATCAGCGATGCAAACAGTATGATTCAGTCCACAAGAGACATAACTGACTTTATAGTCCTCAAGTTCAGATACCTTCTCAGGCACCTTCTTGTTTGCAGTGGTTCCAAGGCCAAGTCGCCCATAATCTCCATTTCCAAATGTGTAGAGTTTGCCATCTGAAGTCACAACGGCACTGTGCTTGTACCCACAAGCAACTTGTATGACTTCTTGTCCTTGGAGAGCCTCAATAAGCCGTGGTCTCCTCTGACGATCAGAATTTCCATGACCTAGCTTCCCATAATCTCCATCACCCCAACTAAATACTTCTCCAGTGTCAGTCAAAGCAAGAGTGTGTGCATCACAGCTGACAGATGTTGCCACCTGGACAATGATGTACCCCTGTAAGGCAGTAATGATGGTAGGGACATACAAGTCATCTGAGTTCCCCTGTCCCAGCCTCCCATAACTGCCTTCTCCACATGACAGTACAGATCCATTCTGTTGAACCAAGAAGGTGCAATTGTTCCCACAAATTATCTGCAGAGCACAGGACATACTTTCCACAACTTTTGGGACCATGACTATCTTCCCAGCTTCTGCAAGCTGACCATGTCTTCCCATGCCCCAGAGATAGGCAATACATCGCCCTCCCAGCTGCCAGTCCTGAGGTTGACTAGCTGCCCATGATATGATTTCAGCATCTTGTGTGAGAGTAAACTCTGTCATGGAAGGTTGATCTTCCTCAGTGATGATTCCAGAGTCCCTCAAAACAAGAAGGAAGGAATCAGGCAACTGAGCCCTGTTACTGATGGCAGCAGCTGTTCGCATCACCATGCAGAAATTATGAAGCCAAAGCCACTCATTTGATAATTTTTTCATTACCTGAGGTGGTGAAGGGTGATAGCAGAGAACTTGATCCAATTTGAATGATAGGACCAGCGATGCTAAGCTCTGCATGTACATAGAATGCAGAAGATTATCTCCTTTCAATACAGATGGCTTCTCAGTGAGGAATTGGTCCAAGAGCATGCTGGCTAAATGCATGAATAAGTGACAGAGATACGGTGCATCCCAGAGGTTTGTGAGCCCACGTAACAGCAGCTCCTGTCTTGCAACAGCTAGTACATGACACTTGCTCACATGCTGCTCCAAGTTGACAGCACAAGAAATGTCTTTGGATCTACTGCAGGAAAAGACAAAACCCAGGCCTTTCAGAAATGTGAGGCTCTGTGATCCTCCTGGCCCTGGGAAAGTTTGAACAAGTGCACCTGAGTGCATGTTCCATATATTGATTACTCCATTGAATCCTTGTCTTGCTCCTGAGGCAAGCAGGAGACTGGAGTCACTCCATGCAAGGTGAGTCACTGGATACAGGTGTCCCCTGAGATCATACAGAAGGGCTGTGATGTTATTCTTGGGATAGATCATATAGATCTCTATAATACCTGTGGCATATCCAAGTGCCAAAAGAAACTTCCCTTGTTGTCCTTGCACAGGGGACCACATTCCTGCAGTTGGTGAAGATGGAAACTGGTGGATAATTTCCAATCGCAGCTTGCTGGTGGGACTTTCTCTTTCTTCCATCTTCCAGATAAAACAATACTGTTCCCCAATGGATAGCAAGAGTGTATTATCTGGAGACCATTGGACATTCACCACCTTCCCTGCATGGGCTTGGAGAGCAAAGGGTTCTGCATTCAAAGAAGTCATAGCAACTATCACTGTTCCATCTGAGAGTCCTGCAGCAAATTGAGAATCAAATTCAAGCCATGAGAGGCATGTCACAGAACTGTATGCAGATAACATGGTAATGTGGGAGAGCAAGTCCACAGAGCACTCTATCTGGTTAAAAACAGCTGTACCCAGAGTACCATTGCGGAAGCCAATTAAGAGAACATCAGATCCCCTTTGTGGCCAGCATATTGCAGATACCCATTCCCTCAGATGGACCTGGATGGTGTTGCCACCAGGGAAATACCAACAAAGAGCATTGCCTTGCTGGATTGCAGCCAAGAACTTCCCACTGGGGCTCCAGCAAATTTCACTGACTCCATCACTTGAGTCGAGTACAATCTGCTCTTGTGAGGCATGCTGAACTGAGGACTGGATGGACCAAATGCGGACTGTCCCATCAGATGAAGAAGAGGCCAGGAAGCGTTTCTTTGGGTTCCAAGTGCAAGCATCAATGCGATCTTCATGGCCTTGTAAGCTGTGCACACAACACATTGGCAACACACCTTGAAGATCACTAACATTTGTTTTTTCTCTAACATCTCGGCCTGCCTTCAGTGTCTGAATGAGGGTTTGAGCAGCCCACTGCTTATTTGGTGCTGCTACCCTCATAGAAAGGATGCAGGCAGACAGGGCATTTGCAAGGCTCAAAATTGATTCATCTGCATTCACCTGAGAACTCCTCATCAGTGCAGCTGATCGTTTTGAGATGCTGTCTAAAAGGGTCTGAATGACACTGAAAACAGGCTGAATCTGATGACCCCAGCCATACCCACCAGTTGACATTGATGTCAGTTCCTGAACACAGAGATTCATTAATGTTGGGAGAGAGGACGGCCTCAACTGGACAAGAGCTTGTATTGCTTTGGTGAGATCCTTCAACTGAGTTTCTAAGGAATCCTCAGACCTAGTATCCTTATCTTTCTTGTCCTGGTAACTCCTTGCCACAAGGCACATGAGACGTACCAATTTCTGCACATCAGCCATCCCAGTTCCATCCAAATTTTCCACTAGTGTTGCAGGAGATGTGCAAACTGACAGAATGCTCACAGCACGCAGTACAATGTTTCGGGAAACCAGGATCTGCTGGGCTCGAGCCAGACGCCACAAGGCAATCTGATGTTGCCTTGGAGTCTTAATCAATGCAGCTTGTTCTCCCAACTTGGCAGCTGGAGAAGCGACTTCTATGCAGCCTGTCATCACCTTACCAACAGTGGGTATTACACGGGATGCTCCCAAAGGATCAGAAGTTTTCAATACTATTGGATCAGGAACAGGATGTCGTTCAGTCAGTCCTAGACTTGGGAGAAGATTCTCTTCTTTCTTGTCCTCAGACAATGATGTGTGCAAGCCAAGATCACCCTCAGTCAGTGCCAAAGATGCAGTGAGTTCATTGTCTGAAGCAAGTGGGTGTTTTTGATAAGCAGCAGCATATCTTGTGTGGCAGGAGTTGCACAGAATGTACCCGTGGTCTCGAATGGAGCCACACTTAACATCAGGGTCCACCTGAGTGCCACAGCCTGGGTGCTGAATGACTGCATGACGTAGAAAGTGACTAGTTCTAGCAGTGCAAATGAAGCAGAATCGTCTATCTGCATGGTGAATCTCTGTGATAACTTTGTAAGGAGCTGGTCTATCTCCTGGTATGATGGGACAAGTACTAGTTTGCAACACCTCTGAGATTTCATCAGGTTCAATTTCCTCTTCTGCTTGAGGACACACAAGTGGCTGAGCTTCACCTCGGACATGTTTCCGCTCCTTTGACTTGGCTACACTTGCTCCATGTGTATTTGGGTTCAGTAAGAAATTTCTTATATCTGTAAAGAGACGCTTCTGCAACTGCATGATTTTGGACTTTGGTTGACTGCTCTGGGGAGAAGAGCTTTCATCAATATCCTTGTTTTCCAAAAGCCATGTTGCCAACATATTCACATCATTTCCAGATATGCTTTCACCAGCAATCCCTGTCATAACAATGGCATTTGTGATTTGTGGTTCAGTGAAACCCATCTCAAGGAGAGCAGCAGGAATTTTTGGGTGGGAGGCTGCAGCACCTTCAAGGCCTGATATTTCTTCACCCCCTGTTTCTAAGTATTCCAGATCCAGAGATTGAGCTCTCACAGTGCGTGGCAGGTCCACATCTACCCGTTCATGTGTTGGAGTAAGACTTCTTGATCGAGGTCCAGCCTCAGGGGCAGGCCTTGGAGTCATGAAAGGTCCTTCACTTGGATAGTGCCGATGCAATCGGAATATAAGCATGGAGAGGGCACGTTCAATTTCTCGATTGGGTACAATGCGTACCAATGGTAGTGGACAGTCACATAACTGAACACAGAGATTCACCACCTCATACAATGAATGCTTCAATTCCAGATTATGGGAAGGCTGTTCATCATCTGGGCCCTCTTCCTTGGCCTCTTCATTTCTTCTCTTGTTGTCACTATCACCACCTTTAGCTTCATCAGAGAGAGATGTAAGAAACATCTTGGCCAAGGGACTTCCTTGGAGTAAGACATCCAATGCCTTACAAGATGTTATTTGGAGAGATACCAATTGTGTTGCCATTGTCAACATGAGAAGGGTGTTGTGACTGAGAGGAATGATGCCTGAAGAAGGTAATGAGAAGGGTTTCTGAGGAACATAGAGGGTATCTCCATCCAAGGAGGATCCAGTTACTTCTCCCATGATGCTCTTCACCAATCGATCACTGAGATTCTCAACTGACTGTGGCTCGTTCTTCTGATCTTCTGTTGGTTGAAGTGCAACAGGGGTCACAGCAGTTGGAGTTCCCACAGGTGTTACTGTATCAGGCAGTAGAGGTGAAACCTGCAACTCTTGAGACAATCCTCCCAATCTTGCCAACTCAATGAGAACCTGTCCATCCATATGCTCAAAGCCACTTAAATTCAGGGGGTCTTCTTCCTCCAAATCCAACTGACTTGCACTCACAATGCTGAAAAACAGAACAGTGAAGACCCAGTTGGCTAAAATAAATTTCAAAAAGCCTTGAGAGCATGAAGCAGAGCAGTGGGTCAGAAGTGTTGGAACAGTAAATTGCTTTGTAGACAAGACCCAATTGCAATTCAACTGCTAAATAGAAATAAGACCATTTTGTAAAGTAAAAACCTTGGTACAGTTTTAGAGACAAGTCTTGCATTATGACCTCTTGTACTGACAGCTTCAAGAAATTGCATTCTGTCAAGTGCAGCAACAGCAATGCTTTGAATGCAGTATTTGTGACTTACAAACATTATCAATTGATCTAGAAAAGAATCATATGATAGAGAAATATCATCCTAGGAACCTTCACAATCTATTCACTGCATCATTCAAGAAGGTAGCACAATGCAATTAAGGCCTAGTCTTACTCCAGGAATGTAACATTAAACTTAGCTTCCAACTTCCATCATGTAATTAGTGGACACAACTTCCTTCTTAATAGCTTCCTTCCTTTGACTGCTGCTTGTCTTTCTCACAATTCTTTCCTTGTCAGAATCACAAGCATGAAGTTCAAATGGCCATTTTACAAAATCCATTCCATCAGAAGTAATCACAGAGTACTCCCTGTTAAGGACAATTTCCCTTCACTTTTCTCACTTGTTTGCATTGAATACTTAGCCATCCACCTTCAGTTAATGCTGATTAAAGTTTGAAGTCACATGTTCCATTACCAATCGCCCAAATGTACCAAGCAACTCCACAGCTGCACTTAACTGAGTGTGATGTTTCAAAGCTGTCAAATCTGGATGAGAACCTCCAGCTTGGTAAGTGTTAATATATTCTATTTGAGTAATGATTTTCTGCAACACAAACTCCTTCAGCCAAAAGCTGTTATTCAGCTAATGGTCTGTGAAACAGATCTATTGGTGAATCAATTTTCTATTACCACTGTCTCAGTTAAGAAAAACCTTTTTTTGTTGTTTTTTTGTCATTGAAGAACTGGCAAAAAGCATGATGTCAAGATCATCTGCTTCCCCGTTGCCCATCCAATGCTGAATGTCATCAAGCCTATTTGAGCTCACGTCAAGACAGCTATTTGTCACCAAAACCAAAATTTTACCATAACAGATGCTAAAAGACCCATCAGAGAAGAGTTGGGGAAGGTGACAGCAACCCACGTGGCTGCAATTGAAAAGAATCGAGTGATGAAGGAAGAAGAGCAATTTTCCAAAGCTGGTGAAAATCAACATTTGGAAAATGATGGTAGCTCCGAAGATAAAGATGATGGCTCAGAACAAAAACAAAAAATGTGGCATTTTTTACTTATTTTCTGTCATGTGGTTTGCTTGGTCCGAGAGGTGGGGGTTGGGGAAAGAGGAAAAAAAAAAAGGTTTTACTTAACTGAGACAGGGATAAATGTCCTGCTTCTAGAACAGGGCATTCTTTAGTAGTCTTACGTGAAATTGGCACTAGCTCTGTCAATCCACTGCAACTTGAGGAAGGATGAGAGAGGTTTTGTGGCCCCAAGGATGGTACCCTTGCGACCTGATTCCTTGTGGTAACACTGGCCTCCAACCCGCAACCCAGAGTCCACTCCTCCCAGCACAGCTATAGCAGGCCACACCTCCATGGAAAAAACACATCAGCAGACTTCAACTGCATGCCCCTGTTAGTAGGGGATATCCCATGATGTCTCAGGTTTTTACCTCTTTGCATAACTGGTCTATCACAGCAGCATCCATAAGTACTTGACTAGTTTGATTATCACATGGTTTGCCATCATCATCTACAAAAAGAAGAATAAATTCCTCTATAAAGCCTTTGAAATACTGACTTTGAGAGATATCCAAAAGGAAAACCAACAGCAGGACATTGCCTGACCCACCTGAGAGGGGAGACATCTTTCTATCAGGCATTAGATCCTTGAGGAGATTTAACCTTTCCAAGAGACTTTGATTCACCTGCAGGAAATCACTTGAGGTGAAACATTCATCAATGAGGAATGATATCTCACTTCAAGAAACCAATTATGCCAACTAGTGCTGATGCCTTTTTTTGGGAATAATAAAAAAAGGAATATCAGCAGTACCTGTTCTGTCCACTGGGGTACACGATTGAGTTTCTGAAGAAGATTGACTAGTGGCTGGACAGTAGCAATTGGATCTGGTGAGCATATTGGTTCCCCTGTCACATATTCTGGTTCCCCTCCCTGAACTTTCACATCATCTATTTTCACCTGTTTGTAACAGAGAGTAATTTGTGGAAGCCATAGCAATACAAGTGATAAGGCACTTCTTGTGATAAAAATACCTTCTCCCCAGGGTTGACACTGTAGAACACAACACAAGGATATAGTTCAGGGGCATCAATGTCCTCAAAGGCCAAGAGGAAGGGCCCACCATTCTTGCTAAAGCTGAGTGTTCTGTTATTCATGTCCAGGTTTACTCGCATGGTGTCGCCTTCAGTGAAACAGGGGAGTGTGCTCCGGTGCTCTCCGCCATGATAAAGATTTCCACTGTCAGAGAAACAAATGCAATCTTGGTACATGACCTCTCACAAATGAGTATAAGCACAATGATAGAGAAGAAAATATTGTACAATTCTCTCTCTGACCTGTATCCACGGTAGAGCCACATGTCAGATGTAGTGCGATGACTTGAATCCCTAACTGGGTGTTTGCTCACTCCTATGCATGTCCCCTCATTCCCCTTGTTTTCCTTAATTATTTTCATCTTCCACTGGTAGCATCCTATGAAGAAAGCAGATGTGTTTGTGCGACATCTACCATTTGTTGGCATATGTAATTGATGTAGAAGACACACCAGAGGAGATTTTGAGGGAAGCAAGAGCATATCCTCTGCCACCCTGGCCATGGACAATAGTCGATGAATCTTCAAGACTGCAACACAGAAGTTTCCCTGCATCCCAGCCTACTTCAGGTAAACTCACTTGCTCCTCTTCTGCAATCCCATGCACACTCTTCTCTCCACCTTCCAGGATTTAGGAAATTGATTTAAAAAAGCCAAGGAAAACTCAAATAAATACTCCAAGGAAACAAGTTAAGGTAGAGGAGCTTTTCACCTGACTTTCTGAAGCATTGATGACTAAAGGTAGGGATAGACCACATGTTTGTGGCAATGATTTTCAGCAGCTCACATACAACCTAGAAATAGAGGATTTGAAATAAGTAACCTTGACAGTGAATTCATTAAAAAAAACAAATGTTAGACATTTACCAGGTGGATAAATAAAAAAATTTGCCAGATCCATCACACTTCACAGCACCATTTCTAAAGAGTTAGCAAACATATCAATAGTGTTTCTGAACAGAAAATTCATTCAACTTTCCATTGGTATCAACAGATTCATGATCCAAACAAGAGTTTTCATGTTTTTATATAAAGTTTTCATCAGAGGTAACACTTGGTAACACTTCAAGAGTGTACATAGCAATACCCTTTAAAAAATGCTCAAGCAACATCCATGCTTTCACTTGCACATTTGCAATCTTGGTAGGACCTTGTCAACTGCTTTAGTGACACTTTCAGGGTCACTAGGCACCTAGGACCCTGGTAAAGGATTCTCTGCTTCAATTCTTGCAAGACTTGCCCAAAAGGATTGCATCTTTTCAACAGATGTATACAGAGAGAAGAGAGAGGTAAATGGTATTCATCAGACCAAAAGACATTACTCAAAAACTCTCCATCATGTGGGACGTTTCCAAAGATTTTTTTATTTGCATATTTTTTTTTACAAAAGACAGGACAAGTGGCAGACACAAACGGCAATGAAACTATTACAGTACACAGAGAGGAAGGGAGTGCCCGCTTGGCACAGGCACCACATCTGTAAACAGTCTCTCAGGTTGGGACATACCTAAATGGTCCAATAGGAGGCCAAAGGGGCAGCTCACGGTGCCTAAGCCCATGACTGGCACGAGTGACTTTAAGGTGTACTGCACCTGTATCTCCAAGACGTGGTGCACAAAGTGGCATGTGTGTTATCCCATGCTAAGCAGACACTCCCCATGAAAGCAGGTGGGTCGCCTGTTGGAGGAAGGGCTCATTGCCACTCAGACTCGTTCCCTCGCCTCCTGGGTTTCACCCGGAAGCCAGAACCACTTGGCTACTGAGCCCCAGTCCAACTTTCTCAAAGATACTTCTGAAGAGCAAACCCATTACCGATTGACTGATCAATATCTTATGTACAGCGATTCTATGAGGGAACACCTGCAGTTGTTCATGCATAATTTGCCTGCAGGACATACTGGGTATTCTGGAACAATTGGCAAATTGCCAAGTTTTTGGAGCATGTGAAGCAATGTTGCTGATTTGTTCAGTGTCACCCTGTCATAATTGGGCTTCCTGATTTCTTGAATTCAAGTTCTCAACTTTATTAAAATAACTTCAGCAAATCTGATATGCTTGAGAACTGGTGGTTCTTTGTGTCAAATGCATCTTGGATCTACTGCTGCAGATCTCTTGCATCAAAATGATCAAGCATAACTTTTCACCTTTGAACCTGAAAGTCTTTCCTTTTTGTAAACTGAGGCTTGTTGCTTGCAACATTACTTTATATCAGGAGTGGCTAGTAGAGTAGAGTACCTAACCTTATGAGCACCATAACAAAATATTCATTTAGCCAAGAGCCACATGAAACACACCACTTGACACATGCATTCCCTAGTGCCAACTCTACAATTTAACAAAAAGACTCACATCCTTGCGAGCCACATTTGATCTGCACAGGAGCCTCATGCAGCTTGTGAGCTGCAGTTTGACCACCCCTGCTCTACATGTCTAATTTTCCTGCCAAATTAAGGTGCACTACATGCACGTTGCATTGAATCAACCCATGCAAGACAAGCTGGCAACCTCTTGCATGCATAGAGCCAACATAACAGCATAGCACCTTCTCATGCATTGCCTCTTATAAGCATGCAATTGTATGAAAAATAAGACATGGATTTCAAATTTGCTAACCCAAATAGAAAACTGAATAAAATATTCTACAGAGAGACACAATTATGATTTTAACCAACCCTATGCAATGCTACAGATCTTCCAAGCTTTTTTTGACCCACTTTGTAGAGGGATAAGAACTTACTTGCTCCTTCACATCCTTTGCAGGTTGTACAGTGAGTAGGACAGACTCCAGAAGATGGATAGCAAGGAGTCGTGTGCGAATGGACAAGGAAGGATGAATGAGATTGAAGATCGTCTGGAGCCATTCTGGTGTAGATATCACAGATGCAATGCTTGAATTTGTGCTCAGGACTCTCAAGACAACCAGGCAATCACCCATTTGAAGATCACGACATGACTGCTTCTTCATCACAGTGAACATGAATGACATCACAGATTCAAGTATCTCCTCAGGCAGCTGAGATGAAAATGCACTGGAACAACAGGGAAGAGCAGATACATCAAGAGTGGTGCCATTAATTTGTTACATTATACAATTACACTCCATTTACCTGGCACAAAGGGCAAACTGGGCATAGAGTTGACTAGCACTAAGATTGAGAGCAACAAAGGGCTTCTCTATGAGCTGTTCCGCTGTCAATGATGGGCATCGCAGATTCAGTTGTCCAGATGATTCCAAGACCTTCTGGATGTTATGCAAAAGATTGGCCTGAACAAGATGCCTAACATCTGCTGCTCCCAAGAGAGTACTCAAGCCAATAGAGCATAAGAGGGAGAGAAGGGTTGTTGAGCCTGAAATGTGGAATGTGGACTCAATGAAGAATGACAAGAATGTCATTGGGATTCAGAGAAGAATGTATAAGAGTCTGAACAGGAAAGATAAACATACCGATTAGAATGTACTTGGCAAAGAGAGAATACAGAGAATGCATTGCCTTCTGGAGCTCAATGAGGACATCTCTGGAAGCAGCTTCAACCCCAGACCAATAATGGACTTGTCGATTATATGTTGCACAGTCTCCTGGTTGAGGGGAATCTACACTTGGAGTTGCTCCGTACAATCCCGACAATACTTGCTCCAGAGCCTAAAGTGGTGTGAGCACTTCTTAATGTCAGGGACTCCTCCAACTATTTTCCAATGGATGCTAGCTCCAATTGCAACCTTTGTTGATGGTCTGATCAAAGGGTAAATATGCTATTCTGAACATTTCTACAGTGCAAGATTTTTCTCTTTTTTAAAGCTGAAGAATAACAACTGAGGAATATTCACCTCTGTACCAGGAAGATGAAAAAATCAGGTATCCTGAAACAAAGGGACAAGTATTCCTCAATTACCATTCTTTATTCAGAATAAACCACAAATTCTTACACTCCTGATATGTGCAAAATTGCTAATTAGCTCCATTGTTGGACAAACAATACAGACAGTGTAATCAATGGAAGCTTGCAATATAAAATATATAGTCAACTCTCATTTATCCAAACACAGGTAATCAAGATCTTTCTGTAATATGGACATAAGGAATATTCCCAGCAGAAGTTCCATAGAACCAATAATAAAATTCCCTGTTCAATCTGGATGCCATTATTCCATATTTTTCATGTGGACAAAATATATTATCCCCAGAGCCATTTTCCCCTATTAACCTGAACTATGTATCATGTCTTTTGCTTACTAGCAAAAGACATGATACAACAGAAAAGAAAATTTTCCCTGTCTCTCTCCCACAATTTCACTCTCCCTCACCCTTGGACAAAAAAAAAAAAAGAAGAGAGAGAAAACGTTTGATCTTTTCCTGGAATCATAATGAGGAATACTCTCTTCATTGACACTTTCACATTTTATTGTCATGTCACTCAACCTTTCAGTCTAATCCATACTTGATCAATTTGGAATTTCTTCTATGTGACTGATTAAAAGAATAGAGTCCAAGTTTTCCAATTTCCTTGCAAAAAATGGAGGCCCTTTTTGCATGTTAGAGGTTCAATTTTCTTCTCCAGAAAAAAGGAAGAAAAATGGTCACTAGGGCAGGTTCTCAATAGTCTGGATGAGCTGTAAATCTGGACAAAACCACCAGTCCCCTTGAGTCCAGATTAATGAGAGTTGGCTGTAGTAATTAACCTTTTCCAGTCCACTGTCAGAGCCCTAACCTTAGACTTTTCTCTTATGGGTCCTATGTTGGGCCTCCCCTGACAGTTATGGTAGTACAGTTCTGTGCCAGGTGAGGTGAAAAAAATTCCTATGGCATATGGTGAGAAGCCCAGATTTGGGGGCATCTAAAGTGGACTGGGCTGAAGATAAATGTCAGGATGTACAGGCTAAAAAAAAAGGGGGGGGGGAACTATATCTTATGCAAAATTATAACTGAACAGAAGGAGAAAAGACTTTTTCATTTTCCATTCTTTCATGTTCCATTATGAATCAATGGTAACATCCTGCCTCTTTATTTCATTTGCACATTTTATTTTTCTCCTATTTGTATAGCCCAGAATGATGGAATTCCTACCATGATCATGATCCAACTAAAATGGAGTGGAAGTTAGAGTTTTCTTCTTTCATTTTTGAAAAAAATATAGTATCCATGAAAAAAGGGCAACTTAAGAACAAGACAAGAAGAAACTAATTAGAACCAGTCATCAGTACAGAATAGAATCTACTAGGCAGCTGAGATTAATCATAAACTGAAGGGATATGCCCATATCCAGAACTACACTAAAACTGAAAAAAGGCATTCTTATCACACCTTAGATTGTCAGATCTGGCTGGTTCACAATTGAGGAGTTCTCTGGAAAAAGGGCATATGTGTAAAAGATGCAATTCAAGATAAATGGCTAAAACTTTCCATAGCTAATCTGTTGCTGGTCGAAAGTCAGTTTTGAGTCAAATGGTATCTTAGACCTTTTGCCAATTCAATTTTGGGTTTTAATAAATTTCTTCATTCTACAATGCTAAGATGCAAGCTGAAAGTGTTGATGCACATACGCCCTTTTTCCATATCTGTGCTGCTGGAACTTTTTCCAACCAGTCTTTCATCATTTCTTTTCTTTTGAAAATCATACTTTTCCAATAAAAGCATTTACAGATTTGAAATCAACTCTTACTCAAAGAATGGCTAATGAATGAATAAAGAATGAATAAAAATGCGAATATTCAAGACACGTTTCATTCACCAATGACTCATCAGTGATACATTATTAATTTATTCATCTGAATCTTCACCTGATTCATGAATATTGCCAACTTCTCGCATCTTTCCAGAGGCTTGGATGACAAGGCCTCTTTCTTCCCCTTTCCTCATGTCTGGTTTCTTCCTCATTCTCACTTTTGGTTCATAAGAATGGAATTATTCCATAATAATCATCCAGCAATGCAGATGCTAATGGAATATTCATGGAGGCAGCCATATTGAAATTGTCAAGCAGTTGGCCTGCCACATAGCAAAAGCATAGAAAAATCTGCTTTCTCTTTGCTGAATATGCATCTTAACTACCTGCTGACCACCCTATCCTATGACAAGTCACCTTAAGCAGTGCATAGACATGTATATGGAAAAGGGGCATATGAGCACTTACTCCCTTTTTCCAGAAAACTCTGCTATTAATGAGCAGGCTGTATAGGTCACCAAGGAGCATATCAATCAAATCTGACAGGCAGAGACATCAGGACAACAAGAATTACGCCTGCCCTAATTATGAATCACCTTGTCAACATTCCAACCTTGTTTTACCTCTTGTTGCTTGATAGGTTCTGTCCCTAAGCTCACTTTTTTCAGTATAAGGTACCTATTATGTTCATCAATTTTTTGAAGTCACCACAATTGTCATTTCTCAGTCCATGTATAGCATTGTTCAAAATTGAAGTATGTAACATGATTTAAGGCAACTCCAAAATATTGCAAAAAGGCATTCCAAGTTTCACACTGGCTCCTATATCTCAAAGGACTGCATACAGGGGGTCCCAGACATGAGGTAACTCTCAAAATAATTTTTGGTTGTTCATCCTTGTTCATAAGCCAATTGAGGAGTTCTCTAGAAAAGGGGCATATGTGCCCATACGCCCTTTTTCCATATCCGTGTCCATGTGCTGCTTTGCTTTAGATGACTTGTCATCAGATAGGGTGGTCATCAAGTAGTTAAGATGCATATTCAGCAAAGGAGAAGCAGATTTTCCTATGCTCTCACTATATAGCAGGCTAACTGCCTGGCAATTTCAATATGGCTGCCTCCATGAATTAGCACATTAGCACTTGCATGATGAACAATTTTGGTGGAATTATTTTGTCCTTATAAACTGAAAGCGAAAATGAGGAAGAAACCAGACATGAGGAAAGGGAAAGAAAGAGGCCCAGTTATTCAAGCCTCTGGAAGGATATGAGAAGTTACAGATATCCATGAAATAGTTGCAGTTCAAATGGTGAATACATTAATACTGGTTCACTGCTGAGTAATTGGCAAATGAAACATGTCCTGAATATTCACATTTACGTTGCTATTCTTTACGAAAGAATTTATTTAAAATCTGTAGATGCATTTATTTTTTATTTTTTATTTTTAACAGGAAAGAAGTGGTGAAAGACTCTTTGGAAAAAGTTTCAGCAGTGCAGATATGGAAAAGGAGTGTATGTGCATAAACACTTTCTGCCTGCATCCCAGCAATGTGAGAGAAAGAAATTCATTAAAACCCTAAGTTCCTTTTGAAAAATGGATGAGATTCCATTTTACTGATAATTAAGTTTTGACCAGCTTCAGATAAGCTATGGGAAGTTTTTATCGTTTATCTTAAATTGCATTGTTTGCACATACGCCCTTTTTCTAGAGAACTCTCAATTAAATGTTACATTTTGAGAAAGAGTAAAATTTTCGTTGAAATCATTTACTTAAACATGCTCAAATAAATGGTTTTATCCATAGGATGCATGACATAGGTCTTTAGGACTCATGCCAGTGAACCTCTATTTCCAAAACTATTATACTTGAATTATGAGGTTTTTTTTTACAGTCATTCCTTTAATAAATGTATCATTCTTTTCAAAAGTCTAAATAATGCATTTTATTTTGGCAGTAGGTCTCAGAGACCCAACATGGAAATAAGTATAATTTAGTCATGCGTCCTAGGGTTAAGAATCATATCACAGGGTAGTAGATGATTATATACAATGAAATGCATGTGAAACCAATATTTGATGATAAGAGTATGTATGGTTTTGCTATATTTCCAGTAAATGAATGTCTAAATTCATTTGGGTGATGTAAATAATTTTCTAACATTTCAGAGAGAAATTCTGCATGCAAAGGGTCAAGATTTCCACTGTGTTCTTTTGGAATACACACAGATCCCTCACCTTTGGAAAGAGGCAAGGAGAACTGGCATCTAGGGAAGGAGCAGAGATGGCACAAAGTTCAGTGAGAGTTGATAATGATGAAACTTTGAGGGAAGCAAGACTTGAATGCTTGGCCATGGTCAATGCTATAGAAATAGGTTCTGGATGATGTTTGTTTGACTTGGGAAGGCTGAAATCCAGGACTTGATCTGCACATTGTAATAAAGACTCCACACTAAAAAGAAAAAAGAAAAAAAGAACAAGGTACAGACATACCAAGCAGAACTCTAAGTCCTTTGGACTTAGTCATCAAAAAGTCTAGGCCCACTGGCTGCTGAATATTTAGCATAGGAACATTCACATAATCATAAGCCTATCACCAGAAGAAATAAATAGGCAAATCTCAAAATGGGTAAATATTGGCCTGGATTATACTGTACAGTACAAGATTTATACAACTGCTCTCATATTTCAACATCTTATCCAAAGGCTTAGAGTAAAAAAGAATACTAAGGCCTAAATGCTAAAGCCTTGTTTAGATAAGGGGCCTTTTTTCCCCTACAGGAGTCCCTGGATTCTAAACCCCTTGCTTGGGGAATTTAAATCTTCTCTCAGCTCATACACATAAGAAATTTTCCTTACTGAGCCTGACAAGTAACATACTGCTTCATATAATAATTTTCACATATTCCACTGGAGGAAATGTTACATTGATATGAGATCCTCAATCAACATGTAATACATAACTTAAAATTAAGGTGTCACATCCAATAAGTGAAAGAAAGGCAATGACATCTAAAGGTATCATACCCAGTAAAGAAGAATAAACTAAAAGAGGTTTCAGTGCTTGGGTCTAAATTTTTGGATTTATTGAAGCCTACAAGTCAACAATGAAAGCAATTGTTTGCTTTTTTTTGCAGAAAGACAATGGAGCAACAAGGGATTACCATGCTCTTGCAAAACATTGTTTCTGCAATTATTACATTTGAATGTAACAGTTTTTGGAGGAAAGCTGCAAAAAATGCAAAGTGGTTAAGTGAAACATGCTTCCATTATACTCAATATTAAGGATGAATTGACAATATCAGCAGGAAAAATATATTATGGGATGTTGCCTAAACATCAAAATGCACTTCAATCCTTTACAATTTAAATGCTACACATTGTATGGTATCACTACTATTGCAACATCACTGATGAGACAGAACTCACTCTTGAACAGGTTGGGAACTCCGAGGTATCACTCCAAGCAACAGAAATAAGCTCCTCCTGATAGCAGACTTACACAGAGATTCTTCATCCATGAATGAAAGTTCAACTCCTTCCATTTCTAAATCTGCAAAAGAAATTTAATAAGCTTATCTTCTAATTTCTGTCCCAAAATAAAACTCAATGTACCCTTAGGATACATACCCATAAGCCTCCATCTTACCTAAATCATCAGCAATACCAGACTGCATTAGTTCTTGCAGTCTTCGATCAAAACTTTCTCCAAGAACTTGAAAAGCTGCTGCTTTTTCTCCAGATCTTCCAGAATAAAAACTTTAAACATCCTATTAGTAAAACCATATGATGACAAAAAATTATAATATATACCCTGATAGAAGGGTGCTCCTTTCTTGAGGTGATGAAGTTCCTGAATGCTTTAGAGCAGCTGCCAGCACAAACATATTAGCAGCCTCCTTCCATTGCACTACATTCTCCTCTCCATCTGCAGTCTTGATTGCCATCATAAGTTTTGGCATACAGTGTTCCATGGCAACCTGCAGAGCTCTGATGTTCTCTTCCTTTGATAACTTGATTTCATTGATGTCCATGAGATGGGCCACTTGACCAGAAAAAACTTTTGCCAGAATAGTGCTCATGGCTCGATCTACATGAAATTAAAAAGCAGCACCTTAGTGTCAAGATTTTGAAAAAAGTTGAATTTCTCCAGATTTGGTAATCAGGTATGATGTATCATTTTTCATCACACATTTTGCTGCATACATTGCCAATTCTTCAATATTATGGAATAGGGAACTATCATTAAGGTGAATGTTAAGGAAGAGAAGGTTCTTGTTTTTTAACTGTCATTAAACCTTGAATTCATACATCAATTCTTCATATCTCCAAATCCTCTTTTTTTTAAATGCTACAGTTATGTTTCAAAGGTTTTAGGAATTATTAGGGGAAATAAATATCACAGAATGTCAGTTACTAGTCTATATCTTTCCTTGCCAAAAGAAATCTTCAGTCAAATATTTCCTCAAGAAATAGCAGAACTTGTATGTATACCAAAGGCCACTATTTCCAAGCAAATAATTACTTGCATACTTCACAACCTATCAACTTTTTGGACTATCAAACTTATAAAGACAAATTTAGGAATAATTCCATGAGTGGAATCAGCCTTTTATTGCTGGTTATGTACAGGAATTACCGTATTTACTCCAGTATAGTGCGCCACCGTGTATAAGACGCACCCCCACTTTTGATGTCCCATTTCGTGTAAAAAAAAAAAGATTCCTCGTGTATATGGCGCACCCCCATATATCGTAGCGAGAGGGACGTCCTCAGGGACAAGGGAAAGGGAAAAACCGGTCATTAGATCGGTCGAGCCTCGTTTCCCTTTCACTTTCCTGACCTTGTGTGACAGGGGGCACATTTCAGTCTCATTGTATCAGTCTCTCCGACACATTTCATTATCCGTGAAAATGGACAACGAACGGCGAAGTTACACTGCTGGTGAAAAACTCAAAGTGATTCAGGAAGCGAAGGAGTTTGGCATCCGCCCAATAGGTCGAAAGTACGACATCGGGGAAAGTTGCATACGGAAGTGGATCAAGGAGGAGACGAAGTTGAGCGGGGCGCGAAAGACTCGCATGGCCTTCCGTGAGAAAAAGGAATCGTTTCCGGAAATTGAAAAGGAAGTGGCCGAATATGTCAAAGAGTGAGTCTGTACTTCTGTAATAAAATCCTCGGTGAAGCATACCGTGTAAACATATCGCTTCGTTCCTAAGCATATCGAAGTCTTCATTTGGGCCCTTTGTCGATTTTAGGTCTCGAAAGGATGGTCTATGTGTAACCATAGAGATGATCCAGACGCGAGCCCGCGCAATTGCAAGGGCGAAAGGGATATCGCATTCAGAATTCAAAGCTTCACGAGGATGGACCACGCGATCCATGAAGCGGGCTGGATTTTCCCTTCGCCGGAAAACCTCAGTGGCGCAAAAATTTCCAAGAGACATGGAGAAGATCTTAGAATTCCAAAGAAGCATCATCCGTACGAGGAAGCACTATCAGCATCTCATGTCTCAAATCGGGAATGCCGATGAGACCGGGGTCTGGTTTGATATGCCATATGATCGAACCGTTAACGACAAGGGAATGAGAGAAGTCCGCATGAAAACGAGCGGCGGAGAGAAGGAGAGGTGCACTGTGATGTTAGGTTGTCTTGCTGGTGGTACAAAGCTTCCTCCCTTCGTCATTTTCAAGCGGAAATCTCTCCCGGTTCGCATGACCTTTCCTAAAGGGGTTCACGTCCGATGTCAACCGAGAGGTTGGATGACTGAAAGTCTCATGATTGACTGGATAGGAACTGTTTGGGAGAATCGCCCAGGAGCCATTCTTGTTCAAGCGAATGGTGAATTGCGAAGCCTCCTTGTCCTTGACAGCTTCCGTGGACATACCACTGAAGCTGTGAAGGAAAAGTTGCGAAAGGGAAAGACAGAGATGGTGGAAGTCCCAGGAGGCCTAACAAGCGTTCTCCAACCACTCGATGTGAGCTTGAATCGCCCTTTCAAAGTGCACTTACGTCGATTGCTAAATGAATTTCGAATCGAGAATATTGCCAATGTGACTCCGACGGGGAAGCAGAGGAAGCCGACTCTCACACAGTTATGCGAGTTTATTCAACGCGCGTGGAGTATGGTTGATCCTGAAACAGTGAGAAAGAGTTTCAAAACGTGTGGAATATCGAATTCACTCGATGGAACTGAAGACGATTGTCTCTGGGAAGACCATTCCTCAGAGGATGAGTGCTCCCCGAATCAAACTTCCTCCCCAGATATCTCAAATTCTGACTCCGATACTAAATGAAGTGGAGAAATAGCGCAGCCATCCCGACAGTTTGCATGTTATTTTTATAATTTCACTGTTCTGACTGCCTGTTGATACTGTTTCCGTCTAAATAAATGACCAATGAGTTATAGGTATGTTGAAAAAATGTTTTCGGAAAAAAATTTTTTTTTTTCCCCTAGTATAAGACGCACCCCCTCATCGATCGCAGGAAAAAATGTTTAAAAAATGCGCCTTATACACGAGTAAATACGGTAATTTTTGAGCCAGCAGCCTCTACCAGAACCTGACAATACCAACCAACACTTTGAAACAGAATTCTCATTTGCTCATTTATTGTAATGGATCTACCACACCAAATTTCAATCAAATTCAACTCTTCTTGGTTTTACTAAGAAGAGTTGAATTTGATTGAATTGGAAGACTTTTTATGGCATACATTTAACAATACACTCAAAAGTGTGTAACCAATAACAATTTTTTGAACAAAGTATAGGACCTCTAAAATTCAGTTATTCACAATCAGAGTTTGAAGGAAAAATTCACCTTGCAAGGGGGACAAGGTAACTCTTGGACCTCCTGTCTTGGCTTGACTCTGGAATCCCAAGGACCTTCAGCCTTGTGTACATCCTTCACCTGAACGAGGACTGCAGAATGGCAGTTGGCAAGGCACTTGTGTGAGCAAGGCAGGACCTTATCACATATGAGCTTGCATGGTGGACATGATCCAAAGTGACAGCGATGTGGAATCAGTTGCAGGTGATGACAAGGTGGAGGGAGTTGGCATGGTAAAGGACAGCGGGGTGGACGTGTGGATTTTTCCCGTCCACACGGGACACGGATGGATGTTCGCATGCAACGGCACTTCAGTTCCACCAGCTGTGAACATGGAAAGCAGGGTCCATGGTGGCAGCGAGATTGGCACTTGTGGTTCCGGCAGCTCAGTGTACGTCCACAGGCCTGCTCACATGAAGGACAGTCTCCAGGGCAGCACTGGATTGAGAAGAGATAAACAGTGAGACTCTACACCATCCAAGGTCCATATGATTTCCAGTGAATCAGTATCCTTGGAATTATGGGATTTCAGCAACTGTGACAGGGAATATGGTCACTCTCATCCCTCTGTCATTACTTTCTGGTTATATAAGGCTTCAATGGCAATTCAAGGCTACTTTGTCAATACCTTCCATTCCTAATCTGGATGTAAATGACTTTTATTCTTCATCATGAAGCAGGTGCATCATGATCTCATGCAAGGAATGAAACTTGCCTTTATGAAACTCAAAGTCTTTAGGAGTCTATACACTAGGTAGTGGTAAAAATAAATCTGAAACTATCTGTGATTAGCAGATCTCACCTTCAATGGTAACTGACATCAAGAACAATGAATAATTCAAACATGAACCTCTCTCTTAACATTCTACACTTAAAAAGAATTTATAAATCAATTATGAAAAGCATGTCATTGTAAGAGGATTTTCCTCTGAGGAATGAAACAAAAAATGAGGTATCACTCAGATTTTTAGAATGAAATTAGACAAAATCATCCAGTCCTGTGAACTCCAGATTAACAAAATCAAGAGCTAACTCTAGCTTCTACATAAGGCCAATGGGCTCAGTTTGCTTTGTCTCTATTATGACAATCCTCTGGCTTATGGCCTTTGCTCACTGATGAACTCAGAAACTTATTTTTACTCATGATCTGGAGCAAGATACCTTGCGATTGCAGACATGTCGTCGGCAGTCCCGCATTCGCTTGCACTTGGTATCACAGATGAACTCCTTGCTGCAAGGCACTTCTTTATGCTTGGATCCACATCGACATTGCTTGTCACTCACCTGCAAACACTACATAAGGCTGAGAGTCATTAACATGGTACAAGGCATTAGGCAGCCATTAACACACCTTCATTCCTGACTTTACTTAATTGATTTCAAAGCCCAACATTGAAATTCACCTCAGTCAAGGCCTTGATACCATCTATAGTACATTACTCAATGTCATTAGGTGCCTGATTAAGAAACATACCAAGTACACTGAGCTACCAGCATAGCAAGTGGATTAAAGCTGAAGGAGTTTAAACATGGAATGATAGTTTATGTCAAGTCATCCTTGTCCCAGTACTTTTGGCAATCCAGTGTACACATGGTGGTTGAAAAGTCACAGGACAATGAAGAATGTAAAAATATTCTACAAAAGCATTAAATGGGTAATGTGGATATTTCTCAATGTTACAAAAACTGCAGCATGTAAAGTATACATTAAACATAATAGAACAAGATTGAACACAAAAATCAGATAATTACTTTCAGGAACATCACACAAGATACTCAAATTGTTTGCCTTCATTAACACTTTGAGGAATGGTTTTTCATCACCTGCAAGATGTCCCATAGTATACTGTATAAACAGAGGACAAGATAGCATCAGCCCATAAATACATGGGCTTACTCCACAAAAGATTAATGACATTTTCCAGTTCTGTAACATTCCAACAACCCTGTAGATGAAGACATAGAGTGCTTTTATCTCACAAAAGTTTGCAAAAGTTCATGTGACATGAAAACATGTGCTTCAGAATTGTGCAGTGATGCTCTAAGCAATTGGTGAATAACAGCAATAAAACAAATACCAATAATGTTGTGATATGGATAGCATCAAGTATCAGGACCTTAACAAAGCTAGCATTTGAAAGATCAGTAGGGTAAAGGCACCAGTTTGTGGACGGTTAAGGAAATTTTCCTCTTGAAAATTGCATTTTGGTCATTGGGGTAACCGAGAAACCACTTGATTGGTTTCAATGGGAGACAACTTATCATAGTTTGATGCCCAAATAAAATATTTAAAATATACTTTTCCAAAAATAGCTGATTAAATGGATTGATGATGGTTGATTTGAGTGATGAATGATGGTTTATTTTCATGTGGACTTAATTTTCTATTTGTGGACATCCATGGACCTAGTTTGTGGACACCAGTTTTTGTCAAAAATTATGAATGTGCGTAGGCTGGATACAAAAATATGGGCATGAGATATGTACAGCAGTTTTATTCCTCTTCAATGATGTCCTGTTAAGAAATATCATTGGAAAAATTAAGGGTTTCAGAGGTGTTAAGTCTAAAACTAAGCAAAAATGTCCAAGTTCATTCATACTGATGAGTATGCATAATTTATATGGTGGTTGACACGTATGTGCAAAATATGGAGCATTTGAGGAAATAAATTTTCAGCATGAATTTTTTAAATGGCAAAAAACGCCAAACTGTCCACAAATAGGCACCCGTCCACAAACTGGTGCCTCTACCCTATATATATAGTCTTAATATTTTTCAATGAATCCACATACTGAAACACTTATGAGGATGGCAGCATCCTCAGATTCTGTGACCAAAAACGTTACCCAACAAATACCTTATACATGCAACAGTGATCCTGAATATAAAGACAGCATACATTTCCACATGGCCCGCGATGGCAGCGAGCAGAACATTGATGGATGCCACACTGGAGGAGCTTCCCACAAGTATCGCCACATGGAGGGACATCCTCAGTGCAAGGAAGAAACATGGTGGTCTTCCCACAGGGACAGGTTCTTTGCCCCAGCAGGGGACAATCCCCACAGTCTCCCTTATGACACATTGTATCACACCTGTGATACCCGCAATTGTACATCCGACCACACACCTGTCAAAGAAAACAGAAAATGAGGGGAAAGAATTTTACAAATGCAGGGTGAGGACATCTGGTTGAATTTTACTTTTTATTCTTGGCAGCCTATACCAATAACCAGAGTGACCTCATAGTGAATTTTCTGGGATGTTCTCAGAAACTCTACAAGAGAATACTTCAAGATCAAGGAAAGATGGTGACTCAATCAATAACTTGCCCTAAGCATCCTCCAATCTGGTTGGGGGGCTAGGAAATCAGCCTGTCTAGACAAAGTAAAAATTCATAAAGATGTTCAAAAAAGCATTTCCAGGGTCGCCACTTTTGCCAAATCCTTGTCTTGAGTATGTGTGGGACACTAAGAGATAGGTATGTAACTCATTCTCCCCAGCTTGCCTGCTTCTTAGAGTCCTGAAATTATGACCATGCCACTGCTCAGCTCTCAAGATTCAGTTCTGTGAAGGGTCTATGAGAAGACTCACTTGAAGCAAACCTTTAATCAAAGCACTGATGATACAGAAAATTCTCACATGGGATCATGTGAAGATTTTCTCAAAAGAAACTATGATTAGTGAAACAAGGGTCAGGGGTTATGAAAGATCATAATGACTGGAATCTAGGCAAGAAAAGCCAGCATTAAACCTTCAGCATATCACTGGTATAGGCTGGCTTAAGATGCACTCACCTTATCACACTGCCAGTTTGGTTCAGCACACGGTCTCTGGGCTGTGCGTTGTCCGCAGTTGCATTTCTGTATGCTGGTACGAGGACATGGTGGGCATGCACCTGCATGACAGAGCTCCTCACACTTATGTTGTCCACAGGCAAGTAGATTCTTGCATGACTTCTGGCAGGACCATTCCTTGTTGCAGCAACGCCTTACTGTTGGCCCCATCCCTCCACAGTAACAAGGAGTCCTCACAATCTTGGGGCATGGGGGGCATGGACCTGGTCAAATGAATTTATGGTATGATATTTATGATAAAATGCAGAAAAAACTCACTTTCTTCAATATCTGGGCATTCACAGGTATGACTGAATGAAATATACAATAAAATCATGCATGTCATAAGTGGCACAGTCAGGGTTTGATTGGTCAGACAAGTGTTGGTGGGATGGGGGATAAAGCTGAGGAGCAAGAATCAAAGCTTAGGAAGCTAAAATCTGTACCTCCCCCCAAGATATGCTGTTATAATTCATAAACTTTCTTTCACATTTGAATAGACAAGAACTGATTTGCTGTCAGGGAAAATCCTTAAGATACAGATCTTGGATACATTTCCAGATTCAACTCAAGATAAACTGCAGCACAATCAAATGTTAAGAATAAGCAGTATTACAAATTTGAAAGGCAATCATAGCAGGAATTATTTTTAAATCTTCAAATAATGGTGGATTGAGGTTAGAAGCAGAGCAACATCATAGTGCAGCATAATAGAAGTGCAGCACACTCATAATGATAAAATGTGAAATCTGTGGATGGAAATTACCCGGATGACAGAGCAGGAGACAAAGATGTCCACATTTTGGCTGGAGGGGTCGTTCACACAGTGACCCACAGGAATGGGGAAGAATCCAGGGATGGTTTTCAGGATTTGTTTCTTTGCCACAGAAACAATAATACTCCTGAGGAATCTGCTTCTGAGAGTAGCTTGTCCTGCACTTTGGACTGCAAGAATGGGAAATAAAAAAGTTCACCCCATCACAAATTTAATTAACACATTGTGCCCCGGAACTGTAATTTTAAGCTTTGACGTAGTCTAGTTTTCACATGCCTGGGACTCAATGTGTTAAATGGAAAAAAAATAATACAAGGACTTACCAAAACCATTCAAGAGAAGCTTTGGTTTCTCTTTCTTGCAATGACTCTGACTGAATGAAGACACTGTCCTTGGCCCACTTCTGAATGCAATGCAAGTGAAAGGAGGAGTAGCAGGTCTGGCAACTCCATATCTACAACAGACAAAAGTATGTGATGTAAAAGTTTTTTCAAAGTCATGTACTTCACACCATCTTTTGTGACATGTAAAGAATGGATTTGGGAACGCACAGGTTCAACTCTCTTGACAGATGCAATGCAGATGAGGCAAACATTTGTGCCTGACTTGAAGGCATCTTGGAGGAATTGTCGTGTTTTCCCTAAATCCTCCCCACCAGACTGTGAGTACTTCTCCATGATGGACTCTGGCAATTGAAAAGATATAATCTCAACTTTGAGCAAGTCAACAACCACATGCAATATGATCAAATGGTTTTAAAGTGGTTCCAGAGAAAAATGGCCATGAAAAAGACAATATTAGTCAATAACTATTTAGGTGGAGGCCAAAGTGAACTAAAACATTAGAAAATTGTAGAGAATAAGACAAGGTATTTAAGCAAGTGGAGTCCTAATAATAAAGTCCCCTAACAAAAGAATACAAAATAATGTACAACAAACAGGGCCATCCCCAGTCCAGTAGCAAGCCTGCCTTGAGTAATGTACCATTATAAATGGTACAGGCAACAAAAGTACAAAGTTTTGGGATATGAATACATATAAGCACCTAGCAAAAAGTTCCCAGAAAGTATTTATGACAGGAAAAGTGTGTACATGGCTCAAATGGTGAGATGGTCCCCCATAAAGTAGTCCCCTTGGTTTGCCCTTAATTTTTGCCAGCAACTGTACAAGGCCTGAAAGACATGCTGAAAGCCATTTTTTGCTGGTTCCTCAAGTGCTGTCATACTGCTGACTGGTTCATCTTTTTTCAAAAATCGGTTAAATTTTGTATATTGAGGGAAATTTCAATGTTGTCAATTTGACAGTATCGTAATGGAATTTTTGTTCACTTCATCTACAAAATATTATTACATTTTCCTGAGTCTGGGTTCCTTATGTTTGTGGAACATTTTTGGGACAAATCTTAGACACTGTATTTTTTTTTGGCCTATTATTGCCTGCTAACCCACTGTGCAGGGATTGAAATGTCCAGCCAAATTCTCTTTGCAAAGCACTCCTCCCACGCCAAACATGCCATATGGTGTGAACGGCAGTAAAAGGGTTAATAGATACTCATTGGCCTATAAGGAATTCTCTGAGAAATCTTGAGAAGTATTTCATATTCACTTCATAAATTTACTTGTCATTAGAAGTAGTTCACCAATCAACTACACAGGATCTATAAATAACATGAATTATGCATATATGTCAAGAGTAAAACTATACATACAATAAGCAAGACTCACCTTTAGGTACACCTTCAGATCACACTTGATGAAAACATAGCAACAAGAACAGTTGTATTACATGAAAAACTTTTATCTCAATTTGGTATCAAGTACCTATATTTTAAGAAGAATTTGAATCACTGACCTTTGCACCATGTAATGGCTAATAAAGGACCAGAAGAAGGGGCGAAGAAATAGCAGTACAGGACAAAGACTTTAATCTGTAACTTTTAATGACAACATTTTTTGTTCTTCATCCATTTTCAAAATATGGCTTTTGTCCAGGAATTTCCAACTTTGTACCACTCCACATGGGGCACATGGGAACTCTTCTGGGAACTTTTTCTTAGGTCTTTGTATAGCTAAAGGGGGGAAGAGGAGAAAAGACCATGTCTGAAGAAAGTGTACACTTCATGGGTATAGCTGGTGGTTTCAGCAAAAGAGGCATGACTTCACTGTACCTTTCTATCAAGTTTACTGGTGGTTACAGGAATGAATTTCTACAATTCAAGTGATTTTTGCACTTGTAATAAGACAGATAAATTCTGTAATGGTATAAGCTATTCTGCAAATCTGGACAACAGCCATGTGAGCATTCAAGAAGTGCCACAAATTCTTAGCCTCCCTCTCAGAACCAGAGCTATGTGACTATGAAGAAAAACAGCCTTTCTGGCCAATTCAGGTAGACACTAGTGGTGAATAGGGAAGGAAGGAAAGGACACAAACGCACAGGGTATTCCTCATACCCATGTTAATTACCAAAAACAGGAGATTCCCTTGCAATGCCGAAACTGAAACAACAATGTCAAAATCGAAAGTCACCTGCAGAAATTGAATGGGAAAACCAGGAGGAGACGGGAGTGCTGCTGAAATTGAAATGGTCACTGCCAAATTTGAAAGGACTTTTGCCAAAATTTGTAGGGAAAACCTATGTTAACCAAGTGGCACATTTTCTGATGAGGCTTTTCTTACCTTCAAAACCATCATGCAGGCACACATAATGCAGAGTTTTAGACTGTAAATATAACACTGGATATTTAGTTCAGAAAAAGAGCTATTTTACTTCACAGACAGTTCAATGTGGAGGCAATGGTTTCATGGCATTCTGTATAGTTACGCATCCAGATGATTTCACAAGCCTTAAAAATAAATTAGCCTGGAGCTTTGTTTATCATGAGGCTTTCAATATGATTTATTTAGTGGTCTTTTATTACTTATATTGGGACAAAATAGTGAATGTGACTTACAACTATTGAGTTCCTAACATCACATAGTGAGCCAGGTTTCTTGAAAATATAACCATGATTGTCATTGAAGAATTTCTGTAGTCTGCGATTTACTTTATTTCTGAATGTCCTCTATGTTTCATTGACTACAACTGAATAGTTCTAGTCTAAAAAGGGGCAAGTATGGACAACTGTTGGGTTGTTTGGTAATAGTCCAGACACTATGCCTTGCACTTCAGTTTACCCCATGAGATCTCATAGGATAATTTTCTTCGCATTTGGAGCAATGGAGTATTGAGTTACTTGGTTCTGGGTCAGCTCAGCCAGAGAAATATTTTAGTGCCAGATCATCTTTCACAGTGGAAGTGTTCAAGACAGTATTAGAGTATGTAGTTTTGTAATAAGCAATTTCTGCAGCTCTTCCTAGCAAGCTGATCTCTCATGCAACACTTCTAGTGCAATATATATGATGCTCTCAGACAAATACATATCTGAAGTGTTTAAGATATGGACTGCTTGGACCAATATTTGGCCACTGACAAAGTTATATCCATGTCTTCAACAAGAATGGGCCCCATAACTTCCTTCCTAATGCATCATAATATGCATTATCCACTGATGCCAATCCTGTCCCTCAGTGTGTACTTTTGTCCAGAATCTTACTGATTTAGTCCTAGGTCAGTGATTTTCAAGATAAGAGACATTACTGAGCTAAGTTATAATTGACCTTTTGTGCTTGATTATAGCTAACCTAGGACTGAATGGGTAGACTGCACTGGACAAGTGTGAATATTCCACTTGTGAACCAGGCCTTTGATAGTATAAAACTGAACAACTACTAGTTAAAATTGAATTCATCAGGTTAACTGAAGGATGCCATATACATCATGGAGCCTAAGAGGCTGTTTCCAATTGTGAACTTGTTTGCTGCAACTTTGACTTCGCATGTGTTGGGTAGGATTCAAAAAGCAGATTTAATTAAATACTTAGTTCTGCCATAAATACTGTGACAAGATATACATGTTCCTCACATTCTAGCTAAAGAAGCTAGAATTTTGTAACCTATTAATCATGCAGTGTATTATCCACCATATTGTTTGGTAACATTTTAGCAATTGTGTTGCATGCAGTAAACATGGAATGGGGAGACAAAGAGAATTGCATAGCAGTGATTGCCCTGCACAAAGTGGGACAGAAACCTGCAACCATTTTCAAGACTTTGCAGCCACTTGGAATCAGTTGACAGTTTGTTTACTGAGCTATCAAATGTTACAAGAGCATGAGAGCATGAGACCACCCTAGATCCAGACGTCCACACACTGCCAGGACACTATGAGTCATCAAAGCAGTTAGCAACAGGATTCAGTGAAATCCTCTCCACAAGCAGAAAGTGATGGCCAAGGAAATGGCCATCTTGACTATAAGCATGTCTCAGTTGATTAAATCAGACCAAAGGATGGGTGCCTACCGAAGAAGCACAGGACACATGCTGACTCCATCTCTGAAAGAAATCAGGTCACGATCGAAAGTGTTCCTGCAGAGGTACACACAAAATCTTCTTTACTGATGAGAAAATCTTCACAATTGAAGAAAAATTCAACAGGCAAAATGACCAAGTGCATGCCCATGACTCTCGGGAAGCTGCCGAAGTCATCCATTAGGTGGAGAGAGGTCACCATCCTGCTTCCGTTAGGGTTTGGTGGGGGGTGAGCTATGAGAGAGTCACCAAGCTGCATTTTTGTGAGCAAGGAGTGAAGACATTGGCCAAAGTGTACCAGGAAGACGTCTTAAGGAAGATGGTGAAGCCTCTCAGCCATACAATGTTCAATAGGGGCAACTGGATCTTCCAGCAAGACTACTCCTGCTCGCAAGACTAAGACAAAGCAGGAGTGGCTAACCAACAATTTCCCTGAGTTCATCAAGGCCTCAGATTGGCTATCTGGGAGCCTCGACTTGAACCCACTGGACTACAAACTGTGGGCAGAGTTGGAACGGATGGCCTGCCACAGAAGACATCCAAATATTGAAAGTCTCAAGCGAGCCCTTGCAAAATCAGCAGCCAATATCTCAATGGACGTGATGCATACTGTGATCGATGAGTGGCCTGATCATTTAAAGTCATGTGTGAAGGCCAGGGGTGGATATTTTGAATGATGTTTTTGTAACCTGTTAGTAATTATGTAGGGAAATAAATGCTGTTAGCAAGTACAATGTATATTTTATATTCACATAGTTGTAACAAAAAAACCTTGTAACAGTATTTATGGCAGGACTAGGTAATGCAGAACATTTGAGCAAAGTTCAAATTTTTTTTAGGTCTTTGGGAACCAAGTGAGAGCTAAGAGAGCAGAAAACGCTTCACTCCATATCAAATGATCTTACGCCTACTTGGATTTCAAAAGAGGAGGCATTTAATCACAACTTGTATTTACATTTCATAACTTTGGAATTCTGCCTAGGTCTTCATGAAATCTGCCCCAATGTTACACTAGGGCTAGAAACTGACCAAGGACAGATGTTCCATCACCCTGATTCTTTTCATCAGGGTCTTCATCCTCAGAGCTGGAATCCAGAATATCTCCATGTTTCTCCAAGTACTCCTGGACTGAAGCCTGGATTTTAGCACAAGCTTCTTTGAACTTTGACTCTCCCAATTTCTCCCCATCAGGTTTGGAATAAGACACATGATCTTTTGCTTTACTTGTGCTCCCAGACACAGGTACTTCTTGAATAGGTCTTCTTCCATGGTTCCTTTGACTCATCCTAAAAGACAAATGGAAAATACTTTTTGCAGAGCCAGAAAATTTGTCAGTCCTGATGCAGCCTTCCTCCCAGGCTTTCTGGTGAAGCTAGGAAATGAAATATCACCAAGCCTGGCTGCAGAGGATTGATATTTACTCCTCAGGCCTGCAAATACTGCAGCCCCAGTTAGCAGACTTGGGCTTTACTTTAGTCTCAATTGCTCCTTTTGCCACCTCAGCAATATTATTAATTGCAAGACTAGGAACACAAAGGCAACAGGAAAGGATCAAATTATCTTTTATTCTGGAAACATCTACAACCCCACAGGAAAAGACAGGGAATCAGACCAAAGAAACCCCTCAGGAAAAATCTTTGAATATCTAACATCATTGCATACTAAAATGTAAGAGTCTGCATAAGAAAACCAATGCACCATGTAGGTTACTCAAATTCGGATAGATTTGAGAATTGTACCTGTCTGACCACAAGGATCCATAATTTCAGGCTGTACCCCCCATACTCAGAAGATTCCCAAGAAAATAAAGTGTTGCATCAAACTTGTAGCCAATCCAGCTTTGAAAAACATTGAGATATATGTCAAATGAAGGAATGAAGATGAATATGAAAGCCATACATGCAATAATGCCAAAAATATTTGGGTTATCAGGACATAAAATTGTACATATATGAAACTCCAAGGAAAAAATAGGAACAGTGCAATAGCAATCACAAAAAAAAACTAAAAAAATAAGAAAGATCTAGGATTTGGATCAAAATATCACACACAGATCAATCAGCATAACATAATATTTTAACTTCAAAAAAATAATTATAAGCTTCTGGGAACTGGGGTTTCTGGCTAAATGCAAGTGAGCACATTGATCACATTCAACAAATAATATTTCTTTTGAATCTGTTTGAGATTCATAATATTCTGCTTTCCCTTGCATAAAACTATTACAGCTATATCACCCTTTTTATTGAAACTTGGGCTGCATATGTGAGGATAAAAATACTCTCTGCAAGGAGAAAATGGAGCTGCCATGGAAAAAAATCCCAAGGGCAAACAAAGTAGCTGATGTCAAAGCAACAAATATTCACATCAAATAAGCTAATAAAAAATTTCCAAACCAGAATCAATGCCCAAATTGATAGCACCGAAGATAGGCATGAAAATGCCACTGATGTCATATGGCTTCTCAATAACATGCTCAACTCTGGAAAACAGCAATTGCATTTGGTACAACATCAAGAAAATCTTGAACATGTCAAAGTAAAGAATAAGACATTAAACATTGGAAAAATAAAATAAAAATTATGGCCTCATGTTGAAAGAATATCACATTAAAAAATGAAATTCTTATAGTCCAACACCAAAGAAGACATATGAAATTCATCAGAGAATACATAAGATCCATCATTGCAGATGCGAGCTGAGCATCAAAGAGAAACATAACACATGAAGCAATAGGATACCAATAGTCTCAGATCTCATGCTCTAAGACAAGCACGAGTATAGGTGCATCTTCCTTTCTTTGTGCAGGATTTTCATGAAAGACACCCACATTGAGCACAGTGTTTCTCAGACACAAAGCACAGAGTTGAGAGAGACAGATAGTAGAGAATACTCTCTTTCCATGGAGTCAGACATATCAGACAACAACTGAACTAGTGACATCTCTTGCCTCCTTCCGGGAAGATGGAGACACGGGTGGACTGTGCTCCATCACACTGCTTCCCGAATGAATGAGACTTGTGCCTTCAACACTGGAACACTGAGATTCTGCTGGCACGCTCACCACTCTCCCCTGTCAACAATAATAAACTAGATCTTGCTCTACAAGGAAAGGCTAAAATATCAAGCAATGGTCTACCTGATGCCTGTCATAGTGAACCCGCTTGGATACAAAGGGTCTCCGCTCTGATGAGACTGTGTGAGATGAAGAAGTGTAGGTGGGATTAGCAAATGACAGAAGACCCATTCGACTCAGACTAGTGTTCCTCCCCCTAAATGCACACAAACCAATAAGAAATTATCTGAAGATTTCACAGAAAACACAACACAAAGAAAGTTACACAAAATGTCCCACCTGATCAGGCAACAGAATACACCAGAGACTATGAGGAGGAGGGCGATGACAAGACCAATGGAGATGTAGAGAACAGGCCCAATGAAGGAATCATCCTTCTCGTGTGAGACACTCTTAGAGTGTGGCTTGTTCGGGTCCTTCGCATGTTCCAAGCCAGGAACTCTCTCAGATGGCTCTATATGAAGGCAGAGGTTATGAGTTGACAAAGCGTAGTACAATGTCATGCCTCCTTTGAACAAATTGTGCAGTATTGCATCAATGTGTCTGAGCAAAAAAGGCAATTTGAAAATATGAGAAATTAAGACTGCATGGACAGAAGATGCAGTGACTAATGCTGGATGAAGTAGTTGCTGTTTCCTCTTTCCAATAAATTTCATTTCACAGGACTTCTTACAAAGAGTGGATGTGTAGTTTCAATTATAGCATTGGTGAATTCTTTAAGGGAAAATATTCCTCTGCACATTGATAATCACAGAGAACACTTGGGAGAACTAATGACCCATAAAGGAAGAGATATTTTTTCAGCCAATAATGAATCACCATCATTTCACTTTCAAGCAGTGGAGGCTGGGTTAAACATAACAAGGACGTAAACAAGACTGACCATTTGAGCATGGTTCAGATGCAGGAATACTGGGGCAAGCACAGATATACTGAGGAGGTCGATGAAGGCAGAGATGGGAACAATAACCATTATTCTCTGCACATGGATTCCAGCCTTGTTGGTTAGAAGCTGCCACAGCACGAATCTCCATGAGCCCACGGAGACCAGAGTGGATCACAATGCGGCCCTTTCCGGTAGCCTTATCCACCCGCTCGATGGTCATGCGGTCCCAGTCTGTCCAGTAGAGGTATGGACCCAACTACACCCCAACACCAAAAGGAATACAGCATGTCAATTCATTAATGAGTTCTCCATATCTCTCATCTTTGTCATCTGCATATGGCTTGACATGAATTTTCCCCCTCATGTACAGTGGGACAAAAGGCCATTTTCCTGGCCAAAAATTCAAAAAGTTGAATTTTTTGGCATAATTCTTTACTTTATTTACTTCACGTTTGTAACGTAAATGTACGTAAATTGATTCCAGAAATATATCACTGCGTGAAATAATTTGAAACTCTGATTCTAATCAGAATTAATAAATAGGGACATAATTAATTTAATTGGTTATTGGTATCAGCCTGATATGATTCTCCAATAACTGATATTGAATGGACACCTGATGTAAGCCAAAGATGTATTGCATAAATATCTACCAATATAAAGACAGATAATTATATTTATAATATAATGAAGTTAATTGCCTTAGAAACTTTCCTGAAGCGTAATTATGTTCACATTTCATCTGCATGGCAAATTATCTGATGGTGTGTTGACAATCTGTCTGTCATGTTTCTCTGGGTTTCCAGAGGAGATAGGAAATAGGAAACTTAAAGAATTTAATTTTTTACTGAGTACTTCTCTTGAAAAAATTAATTGTGGTTCCAACTCCTTGCGAGCTCTATGATGGAGCATAGTAAAGAAAATGTATAATTTAATATTTTAAAGTCCACATTGAAGAGCATGGCTTCAGCAAGAACAAAACATTTATTTCTTCTCACCACTGGATATCATACACCTCATATGCCTTCGCTATCAGACTTGGTCCTAAATAAAACTCAGTGGTGGAGGGGTTTATGCATGAATGTGTGGATACAGATATTGGTATCAGTATCAGCTTTTTTGTCAGATATCAGAATAGTATATCAAATATCAGCCAAAATTCAATATTGTGGCTTCTTTGCCAAGGCAAAGAAGCCACGTAATTCACTACTTCACTATGTATTGCTGGAAATACAAAGGGAACACATATAGTGCCCAGGAAGGACCACTTTTAATCCACAAAGAAGCTTAAGTAACTAGTTTTTTATAATCAAGCCCTCAACCTTCAAACTTCCTCTCCTCAAATGTCACTCATACCTACAGCCTGAGGGCATGTTCAGTTGCATCCTGCTCAGGCTAGGAATGGGGGCAGATCATCCCAAGATACAAGCCACTCAAAATGCATTTTCATTTATTTAGGCCAGGGTTATTCACTGCATGGCCTACAAGCTACAAGAGGCCAACAGGATCAACCAATTGTCTATGCAAGCTATTGCAAAATTTTATATCCAACTTCCTGTCAATCAATTCCCCAAACAATTACATCTCCACCTGGCTAGTTCCCTAATGAATTGTCTAACATCTGGTCTGGTGCACAAATATATCACCTAATACAGAACAACTTTTCCCTTTTATGATGTCACCATCTAATATATATAGATGATCGTGACTGACTGACGCTAATTCTAACCATGTTCTAGAGAAGTCAGAAATCTGAAACTTGGTACACATGTACCTTTTGGGATGCAGAGTTTAAAAAAATCCGACTTTGGAGGTACATGGCCTGGGGGTACACATTTTGGGGGGAGAGGTTTTTAAAGATATATATGGTGATGGATAAGGATGGCATCAAGAGGCTTGACAGGATGTCTCAGGTTCGGTGGGGTAGTGGTAGCACACCTGACCGGCAATCAGGAGGCCCAGGTTCAATTCCCAGCCATTCCTTGGCTTTCTTTCGGCCAATTATGCCTTCCAAGTTGCGTTACTCATTCCCCCTCCATAACAATATTTTTGCTTTAGTAAAATGGAGAGACATGGATAGCTGAAACCTGGCATGGACATGCCTACCGAGATGATGAGTTCAGGAAAAATGTAAAATTTTACAACCATCCCGTGTGGGGGTATATTTTTAGGGGCCGACGTTTTTCAAGTAATTTTTTTTGCCCTGGCATATTGAGTCAGTGTGGAAAGATGAAACTTGGTACATTGTTTACCTATTGAATGCCTATTGGGATGCTGTGTGCAGAAAAATTCAGACTTTGGAAGTAAATGTCCCAGGGGCACAAATTTCAAAGTAAGATATTTTCAAATAATTGTTTTGCATCAGTTAAACTGATGAACATGGAAAGCTGAAACTTTGCATGAATGTGACTACTGAGACAAGGAGTTAAAGAAAAATGTGGGAATATGGAAATGGAAAGGTGAAACTTGGCACACATATNCATTCAATAGGTAAACAATGTACCAAGTTTCATCTTTCCACACTGACTCAATATGCCAGGGCAAAAAAAATTACTTGAAAAACGTCGGCCCCTAAAAATATACCCCCACACGGGATGGATTTTGATAAAAAAAAAGGTACTTTTCAGTTAAAACGCCTCAAGGCAAATATATTGCAAAGGGTGTATTCTCTCGAATTTCTGATCCAGCAAAACAGAAGGTGCTAGAAAGGTTAAACTTGGCAAAGAAGAACCTGATGTATAGCTGAGTAAATAAAAAATTCTACTTTTATTATATATAAACGATCGTGAGTAGCTGACTGACATTAGTCGCATGCTGAGTTGAGGAAAAATTCTACTTTGGTGATACATGCCATAGGGGAGCATATTTTCAAATAGTTCTTTTTGCTTCAATCAAACAGAGACACGTGGAAAACTGAAACTTGGCAAGAACGTGATTGGTGAAGCATTGAGCTCAGGAAAAATGTCAAATTTCCAAAATATTGGTGTTTTGGGGGGGGAGGATATTCCTTGGGGATGTTACGTTTTCAAAGAATTTTTCACATCCTAGCAAATCGGGCAGAAATGGAAAAGTAGCAGCTGGCGCACGCATAACGGACGTGATGTTGATTTAATGAAAAATTCCACTTTTGTTGTGCGTCTCCTCAGAGCACAAATTTTTGGTGGGTTGCTTTTCCAAATACATTGTTTAAAACCAGTAAAAAGAGGAAACGTATAAGGCCGAAACTGGGTGGCATGGAGTTCCCTGATTCTACATTTCAGAAGAAAAAAAAAATTTTGTTAAAACCCATCAGGGCACTTTTTTTAAAGTCCCATTTTCCCAAATTTTCTTTATCCAATGAAACAGAGACAGAAAATGTAAACTTCCCTCAGAAGTACCTATTTGATGGCTGAGTACAGGAAAAATCCTACTTTTGAAATATGTTCCATTAGCTTAGATTATAGGAGGGAAGTATTTCAAAATGTATTCCCCACACTTACAAAAAGGGACATACGAAAATATATCAAGGTAGGCACACTAGAAATCATAGAAGTAATGATTTTGATTTAAAAAAATCAAGACTTTTGTCCCCCATATGTCACATATTTAAATGGGGACGTAATTTAAATACGTGTTTGCCATTTCACAAAGAATAAATGAATTAATCACTATCCAAGGTAGTGGAATGCCAAAGGCGTGACCATAGCAAGCTAATTTGCCCGAAGGGCAAACAAACTCGCTAGTACAGAGATATAGAGCATCCCTACCTCACTAGCCTCTGAGGGATGAAAGGATCTAGTATCTGTAGCTTTACTCATCTACTTGATTAACCAAAAGCAAGAGAACATAAATGCATCCTGTTGAGTTTTGAATAGCATCAATTAACATTAGCAAAAAGGCCCTTAGAGAAAATATACTTCCTTTTTTTTGCATATTTAATTGTAGAACTTTGTGCAACATGAGCTTCACAAATGTAAAATAACAGTTTGAATTGAGATTGTTCTTGGGTCTCAAACATTTTGTTATCTCAATGCACAAACTCTGAGTCCTAATGATCAATGTCCATTAGAAACAGACCTGAGTGACACCAAATGGATGCTTGACATTCTGCACAAGTCGCATGCGATTATTTCCATTCAAATCAGCTGTCTCAATGCAGTCAAACTTGGCATCAGCCCAGTAGAGGCGGCCAGCATCATAGTCAATCACAAGGCCATTGGGCCAGCCCAAGTCAGAATTGATCACAGGCCGCCGAGCATCACCATCCAGGAAAGACCGCTCAATTTTAGCTTCTGATCCCCAGTCAGACCAGTAGAGATACCTATAGAGAAAGATGGTATAAATAATTTGAGCACACTGATGTGAGAAAAACAATTTGTCTCTTAACTGGGGATGCATCAATATGTATACAGGTTTTTACTAAAGCAGCCAAGAATGATAACCAGAACTAGCCATTGCACCACAAAGCCCAAATACGATGCTGTGGCATCTAATTGAACCAAAGGACCCTGCCACTGTTTTACATCAGTACAAGAGTCACATACAGTCAGAAATAAACAAGCACTAGATTAGTTGCCTAAGCTCTTCCCATGTTTTTACATGGGAAGAGCTTAGGCATTTGGTAAATCATTAGAAAGAAATGAACTCCTACATTCGGAGAGGTGCATCACAGAACTTCTTGAGCTTCTACTGAAGGTTTAGGTTAGGCTTAGGGTTTGACTGATTCATTTTCACACATTTCACAGCTTGGGTGGGTAGAGAAATATGTAAGGCATGACTCAAAATGTATTTATCCAAGGACTAAAAGTAACATGCTAAATTTGAACATTTTTCTATCACTTAATATTTTACATTGAATGAAGTAAATAATGGCTTGAATATCAAATTTAAAAAGGAAGCCTTTGCATACCTGTTAGTATTTACAAGTTACCAAGAAAAGTATGCCACAGGGTCCACCTGCACCTCACAAGAGTGTGCAGAGGCCAATAATCATCCAAACCAGTGCATTAAATTATGCTTTATTGGCTAATACTGAGTCTATGTGCTCTTCATAGGTGAAATTTTGGTATTCCTTCGTCTTGTGCACACCTGGCTTTGTACCCTGCACACCAATCATCCACACTGTTAGGGGTGATGCTAGAGTTCATAATTGTGAATGGATCAGTTGTGGGTGTCGTACATGTGCATACTGCAACCTACAACATCACTTTAGAAGTGAGAGCTGTTCTCCTGGACTCCCATGCAGAACACACTGCTCAACATAATGGCGAGTGGGTACAGGTAGACACACACACTTGTGGTGCATGTGAGACAACTGTCTGATGCTGGATATTATCTCTTCAGCAGACATCCTAGAGGAAGTTTGTCGACCAGAATAGTTCTCAGTGTATGGGGTCTATGTATGGTAGTGACTCCCATCTGGGAATGAGATATGAATAGATGAGCAACACTATGTGGAATATGAAATATATTCATGGAGAATGCAGCAAAGCCATGGATGATGCAGAATGGATGAAGTGGAAGGTTAACTGCTTCATTGTGAGAACTGGCAGGATACTTCTAAAAAGTCTGGGAATGGGGTCTTCATACCATTGCAACCAGTGTAGGTGCATCGGGTAGGCTGATTCCTGCAATCAGTCCGAAGGCCCATTCCTGTAGCATAATGAATGGCAGAAATATCATCCCAAAAGCAAGTAGATAGACTGGCCATATCTGGATCACAAGCTGCCATTCCTTAGTGACTCAGAACAATGAAAATCCTGCAACTGAACCAGCCTGAACATGCTTAAGCTTATATAGGTAGGTATCATGTATCTTCCTCCCTATCTCAGATGAGATGAAGGTGATAGTGTGGGGAAGTGATAGGGGTGAGGGGAATGTAACCCTATACACAAACCGGTAAACTTCTGGTTCAGGGACCAGTTCAAGCTTGGGAACAGATTCTCCTAAGTTGTGAGAGCTCAACAGTTACCAAAGGAGTTAGGTCTTTTTTGTATGTGAAAATGTGAATGGGGAGTGCCAATGAAAAGTGAGATTGGTGCATCCTGACAAAGGGCTAGACGTTTGGGTATACCAAAGTTGGTGAAGTTTACAGATATCTGAGGCATACCAATGTCCAATTGGAAAGCAAAAATGCAATTGTATCTCTACTACACGTGGGCGAGAAGTTATACTAGACATTCATACTGCTCGCTGTTGCATCAGGCAGGTATCATGTCAGAACATCAACACCAAAACCTCGAAACGACACAACATTGACGACAAAATATCAACAAGACAAAACATCGATGGAATGAAGTGTTGACACACCAATTTACTTTTTCTCTGATTTTTTAGAGGCCACTAATATTACATAACTTCCAAAGGGCCTTGCTGTAGTTATCTATCAATCCAGGATGACCAATGGAAGACAGGTTGAGAATGACACCATGGCTCCAGCAAGCATCTTGTGGCTAATTATTCTTCTATCTGGAAGTTTATTGATTATCTCAAGAATGAACTTAGGATAGACCAGTATATTGCAAGACAAGACCCTCCTCTAAGCTGCAAAATTAATCATCAATGCTCTCTCTGAATGAACTATTTTTTTGGACTATGAGCAACAACCATTGAAAGGGATTGCACATAATTTCAATCTCCAGGTGTAATCCTGATCTACTATAGTGTACTGTGCAATGACAGGCTTCTCTTTTCAAAATGTTCTTCTGTTCACATCATTTACAAAATGTGATACCTTATTCTAATTCTTTATTCTTTTCATTTTGCCTCTCTGGATGTGGCTTGAATTCCTTTTAATTTAATGTGTATGTACCAATAAATAAATTTTTTTGTACTTTTATTAAAAGATGTAACTTTTTTTTCTTCATGAAAAAATCTCAGCTGTACCATATTTATCAAGTGATCTACAAAATCTGCCCACATGCTTGGTTTTTTATTTCAATCTTCTTTGATAAGAAACAAACAGCAATTGAGCTAATATACTGTACATTAAAGGCAGATGAATAGCTCCAAGATGCTTGCTTAGGCCACGATGTCACCCTCAGCCAGTCTTCCATCAATCATCCTGGATTGATAGACAATTGGAGCAAGGCCCTTTGGAAGTTATGTAACATTAGCAATCTCAAATAAAAAATCAGAGAAAAATTAATTGGCACATAGATGTTTCATTTTGTCAATATTTTGTCACATCTATGTTTCGTCTCGTCGATGTTTCGACATGGAACCCGTCAGGCAGAGTGTTCCGCACTGAATGTGGGAGTGGAGGTTCAATCCTCATCAGAAAGTAGTGTTCAGATAATGAAGTTGAGTTTCATGTGCAGTGTTCACAAGATTTGGCAGTGAGCACAAGACGAAGGAATACTGAAAATTTTCAGCTTCATAGCAGCTCTCTTCATATGCAGAAACATAATTACTCAAAGTTGTTGAGTTAGCACTTCTCCCCTTTGAATCTAGAGAAGTGCACACGGATTAAGAGCAAATATGAACCATATATGAAGACACTCACAAACATGGAGTACTTTCTAGGCAACATAGTATATGCAATCCCTGGTAATGGGCCAATGGATCTGTTGAACTTAATCTTTGGCCAAACCAACAATAGCAAAATATAGTCAACCCTCGATATAGTGCCACTCAATATAACGCCACTCTTACTTATCGCTAACTCCTTCCTGAGAATCAATCTTCCCTATAGGCTTACCATAGGTGCTCCCCTGCTATAGCGCCATCCTTGCTAGTCACCATCTGCCAACACCTTCAACTTGCACAGATGTGTCATATTTTACATTAGTCTTACTCGATATTGCACCAAGCAGGCATACTGTACCTGCCACAATCATTGCACCACACATAAAAATTAAGGCTGCCAGCTGCTCCTTTTGATCTCATGATAGATAGCAAGATTGTGAGGGATATCTAAGCATTAGAATGGACCTCCAGAGATTAGAGGGGGGCAATAGGGTCATCAAATCCAGCCTAATACTGTCTCTTCTTTTGGGGAGTGGAAAGGTCTCATTCAATTGTACGCAGCTTCTCCAGCTGACAGTTCATGTTTATTCACTATCCAGTGATAGGGAAAAGAACAGTTTTAAGTGTGAAGGAAAAATTGTAAGTGTACCGTTAGAAGGAGGTTGAAGGTCAGAAGAACTAGGGGCATTTTCATTTGGGGCAATAACGTGAGCAGATGGTGCATAGGAGTTATACTCATTAAAATGAGAAATAATTGGATTTTATCATGGATGGAATAGATAGAATCATTTTTCAAAGCTGTGCAGTTGGTGTATTCTGCATGGATTAAAGTGAAAATGTGTGCAAACTTTATATAAATTAGAAAACATTTCTCAATTTTAAAGCCATGCGTTTTGATTTAGTGCTAAAATTGGTTGAGACCAACAGTAGTAGTATATCAAGAGTTGACTGCAGTCCATAAATTACTTTTCCATTACATAGCTGATGTATTGGTATATCCCTACTCCTCAAGCAACATGTGAATGTAATGCTTATTATGAGACCGAACATGTTAATTATAAACATATTTCTTACTTACCCTTTGACAGGATGAACAGCCAAAGACCGGGGTTCATCCAAACGTCCAAAGATAACAGTCCTGCGGTGATGCCCATCCAGGCGAGATACCTCAATACAGTCACGTCCTGCATCTGCCCAGTACAGATTCCCAGCGATCCAATCCACGGCCAAACCATCTGGGGTGGTGAGATTTGTGGCAACGATGTTCTTCCAAACTGACGGGTCAGCCATGTTCACCCGCCGGATGACATCCAGATGTACATCTCCATAGAATAAAGACTTGGACTTCCAGTGAAAGTCCAGACCAACAGCATTGTGGATGTCCTCAACTGGCAACACAACCCCAGGTGCATCAGGAACGTCAAGAGAGATTTCACCAAGGAGTCCTTGAGCCGCAAAGACAAGTGACTGAGTGTGGAATTCTTGGCAATCTGATGAACTGTTGGCTTTGAAGAGATAGCCAGTTGGACAGGCACATGCAAAGCCAGAAGGACTAGGTGATCGCAAGCACAAGTGCGAGCAGCCTCCATTGTTCTCACACAAATTCTTTCCAACTCTCTGGTTAACCTGCAATGAAAAGCCCAACCTCAACTCAGAGTTCAATAATCATTTTGTACACTTCAAATGCATCTTACATCTTGCAGAGCTAGTCCAGCAATGTAGCTGAGGCCACTAAGTAGAACTGTCTTCTCACTTCCATCCTTTTTCAGAGCCCTCTCCAAGGACTTGTTCTCCCAATCAGTCCAGTAGATATACTGATTCACAATTAGAGGGGAATATGGGAATGGAACTTCCTGGAGAAGAATCCTACGTCCAGTCCTGTTCAGGTTCATGCACTCAATGGCATGTTTCTTGGAGTCAGTCCAAAACAGGAGATCCCCAGCTGGATCATATGTCAGTCCATTTGGCCAGCCCAAGCCTTCTGACACAAGAACATTCCTAGAGAGGCAAGAAATATATATCAGATGTAGTAAACTTGCCATCATTGGTTACACCTTTCAAAAAAGGGTATTCCATGCCTTTCAGATCCATCCATGCCAGCCATCTCAATCCGAGGAATATCACCCCAGTCAGTCCATAAAAGGAGGGCTTTTTCATAAATTATGATAATGGCTCTGGGCTTATGTATGTCCATATGGAAGAGGACTTTCTGGTTCCTTCCATCCAGTTCAGCCACCTCAATCCTTTGCTTACCTGCATCTGTCCAGTAGATCTAAACAAAGGATACGTTCTAAACTATTGAATCTCATAATCTCATACAGGTCCATGGATGGCTAAATTCATGGCAACAGCCATACCTTCCTCCCAATGGAATCAACAGCAAGATCATCCACAGAGCCAAGACCAAGACTCAGGACTTCAGAGGTGTGGAAATCTTTCAGAGAAGCCTTCCCAATGGCTGGCTTTAAGGAGTCAGCCCAGTACATCTCATCTGGATATTGCAATTACAAAAGCCATGACTCTCTGCAGCAGTCAACTTTAAGAAAGGCTTGAATTGCATTACTTACTGGTCACTTGATCAACATCCAACCCCACAGCATTCTTGAGAAGAGGCAGAGGTAACACTACATCCACATGATATGGGACCTCTAGGGATACCTGACGAATGGTTGTACGGTGGGCAACAAGGAGGGAATGTTCTGGCCTTTCCTTGCATGTCCTTCCATCATCCTGTATCAGACCATTCCAAACTTACCACAAAACACATCAGGTTGGGTCATTTTCACACAAGTAGAACTTACAAGAAGTGGGATTCCAGTGGGACAAGCACAGACATAGCCTTTTGGTGGTGGTACTAGCAAACAGAGATGAGAGCAGCCTCCACTTGAGACACATGATGATGGGATGGGCAAACGTTGTCCATGGTAAACCCGAAGGTCTAGAACGGTCTCTGTCTCTGTCCTTCAAGGGTCATGAAATCATTATATAAATTATCAAGCTTCACATACTGAATTGGTATATATTTGGAGAAGCAAAGAGACCCACTTTAATTTGATGGGCTGGGCACTGCTCTTGCTCGCTTTGTATATAGCTTTCTCCTTCAAATCGGTCCAGTAGACATCATTTTCAAAAAGAGCCAGACTGAAGGGATGGGTTAGGCCAGACCCTGCCAGAACAACAGAGTAAATCTCCAAAACATGTACATACAAAGGACAAAACACTTAGATCATACATACCAATGAAAACCTGTCGTTTTGATCCATCCAATTTGGCTGACTCTATGGCTTTAGTTCCAGCATCTGTCCAGAAGATCCTGCCATTGTCATAGTCAATGGCTAAACCATTGGGCCATGTAAGATTTCCTTTGATGAATGGAATTCGATTGGATCCATCCATATAGGCTTTCTCAATCTTGGATGTCCCCCAATCACACCAGTACATGAAACCATCTAGGGGAGGAACGCCCTCAAGCAAAACTGAAACCATACCCATAATTGCAAATTCCATCAGAATGATTATGACCATACCAAAAGGATCAACCACAATGTCACGTGGGTTCTGAAGATTGTCCCAAACTAGTACAGCCCTATGGGTTCCATTGAAGTCAGAAACCTCTATTCTTTTGGTTTCAGCATCAACCCAATAGATTTTCTTAGTGGCCCAGTCAACAGCCAGTCCAGCAGGGGAACCTGAAGGCAATTAAATCAAAAACAAAACTTCAATTTGCATAGAGATCAATTCCTAACAAAGGGGGCAAAAGGAGCAAAAAAGTGAGCAGCTTACGAAGATTGCTGGTAATTATGTCCTTCTGCTCAGTACCATTCCTCAGAGCTCTGCTGATGGAATGACGCTGGATATCAGTCCAAAAGATGAATCCTGTGTTACTGTCCCAGTCCAAACCAAGTGCAGATTGAATTCCATCCAAGGGAAGGATGTAGTCCACCTTCCCCTCCAATGGAAGAACCTGGATACTCTTCTCACTTGTCACCAGCAAGAACTTCTCCTGCACCTCTATGCAGTTCACCCTATATCATAGAAGAAACAATGATACCACAAATTTCACACTTATTATGCTAGCAGTACAATCAAAGGTCACCATGACAGACCCATTCTGATCTAAGAGAGATCCATATGGACAGGTACAGGTGTAGGAGTGTTGATTTGGCAGGCAAAGATGTGAGCACTTTTTCTCAGACTCAATGCAGTGGTTTGGAAATGGAGGTTGTCTCAGTGGATGAACACTGAAAATAAATAAAAATTCAGAACATCATCATCAATAAATGAGCCAGAAAAACACAAGTAGATCTATGAACATAGTTATGTCCAAGTGGATGGCTATGTAATAATTGGGGGTAGGTTTTTTTAATGTCAAACTCCATAATTACAACATTGAAAAAAAAAAAAAGGATTCAGTCAAGAAGAAGCAGGCAGAATGGACTCTCATCTTTCCTTGTTCATATATATGTAACATATACCAAGCACGTACCATATAGTTGCATTTTGCAATATGCCCTTTAAAACAACCTAAGTGTCCAATTGTGATCTGCTCTAAAGGAAGTACTTAATGTTATTCTTCTTCAAAGCAAAGGGAACCACACCTACAGTCTTGCCTCTCATATGTATGATTCTGGTGCAGGAATCTCAAACTCACTTCAGTGTGCCCACTGCATTGCCAAGATCAGACAAAAGTATAAATTAGAAGAATAAATAATTTACTACTACCTTATATTATGTATATTGGGCCTGAAATGCATCTCTCTATCTGTTTGCAGATGGGTTGTGGGATGTAATGAGAGAGTTTGCAGACAGTGAGTTTGAGATCCTTGTTCTATAGCTATAGGCATCCTGTAGGAAGAAGTTGCCAGATGCAATTACAGTAGAACTTGGTTATAACAATGAAGAGCACCAGGTCTCAATGTAGAGCCCATAAGGTACGTGACATTTTACCTTGGTTATAGCATGAACCTCAGTTATAATGAAGTCCATTCAAGGTCCCACTGACAAAATAGACAACATTGACATCCCCAATTCATTATTCTTCATTGGAATTTCCATCATCAGAAGAGTGTGTGAGAGATAGTTTTGGCAAGCCACAACTTCATCTTTCCTGGAATCAGCATTCCTTGAGTCATGTGGGTGTGACTGGAGAGTGAGGGAGGGATAGTCCCCAGTAACTAAAAAGATCAAGTTATCTCCAGTCATCATTTGCATTTCTCACTGACAACATGGCCAGTGAAAAGCAAAAGAGGCAAACCTTTGCAATTAACAAGAAAGTATGCATAGTTCGTTTAACAGAAAGTGGGTGAAGTAAAGTTGACGTCTCTCATGAACATGGATTAGTTCATTTGTTTCCACAATTAGAAAAAATCGTGACAGCTTCATCCGTACTTAGGAGAAGAGCATGCAACAAAACAAGAAACTTCGCAGATATGCTTGAGATGACATTAACAAATCCTTACAAAAGAGGTTCAAAGTCTAAAGAAGTGCAACCATCATTAGTAGGCCAATGCTTAAAGTGCTTAAAGTGAAGCCAGTGCAAGACAACCGATTTTCACTAGAGTTGTATATAGCATCTATTTTTAAAACAAGGAAACTTAATGTCAATAGAGGGAAACTTAGTTATAACTACAATTTTTCCCTGGTCCCTTCAAAAATGCTTTAACAGAATTCGACTGTACCATTCTTTGAAGGGCTATCTCTTCATCAGCACCACATACTGAGTACATTAGTGACCTAAGTTGACTGACATCGCTGTTGCTGAGTGTGCTCAAGCAACTGCTATGTTTGCAGTGGTTACCTAGATGAAATCTCAAACACACTTGCTGCACATGCCTTCAGCAATTTGCATCTTGAACCCACCCATAAGCAAAAAGCCACCATTGATGCTCAATCAAAAAGGAACAAAAGAGAAACATGTCAACTCAATTATGAAGGCACTAAAGCATGCAGCACTTCAGTTCACTTCCCACTCAATAAAGAGCTTAGCCACTTTGTCATTTCAATTAATTGGCCAAATGTTGAACCCTCTGCTTAGAATTTGTCTGAAACTTTGATAGAACTGGGCACAATGAATCTGTCTAGAAATAGACTGACAATACCAATACTGGCTGCAGCATTTGGTACATGCACTTCATATGGAATGGCAAAATTAATGCACTCTATAATAAGGCTGCAATCACTCCTTTCAGTATGTAACATACACTCACCTGTGGATATCCATGGGGAGGGAGATGTCTCGATGAATCACACGCAAGTTTTTGCCTGTGAGTCGATTGACTGAGGTGATGCTCTTGGTCTTCCAGTCAGTCCAGTACACCAGATCTTCAAACAGTGTAATTGCAAATGGATGATAAAGACCTCTTTCCAGCACCTGTAAGAAAATTATCTTTCTGTAGTTGCACTGAAGCATATAAATATGATTTTCAGGAAGAGATAAGGATAACTACCTTCCTCCGACCAGACCCATCAAAATGGCAGGACTCAATCACATGATGCTTAGCATCAGCCCAGTATAGAGTTTCAGATGCATATTCAATCACAAGGCCATTGGGCCATGCTATTCCTTCTGAGATCAATAAGATGCGATTGGTACCATCTTGATCGGCCCGTGCAATGCTTGGCTTTGAGCCCCAGTCTGTCCAAAACATGATACCTCTCCCAGGATGGACCACAATTGCTCGAGGCTTCTCCAGTCCATCCCATACCACTGCAGCCCTTCAAAACAAAGCAGAGTTCATCAAGGTGACCTGAGAGTTGAGATGCACAGTATGAAATTATTAATCAAGATCCATTGATACATCCATATCACTCAATTCTTTAATGAATCTTATTTAGCATAACAATACACTGAGGAGTGGAGCACAAGAAAAAAAATTTGCAGAAGTATCAGTGATTACAAGAGATCTAATCCAGAGTGGCTAATGAGAGGGACAGAGAGAGAGAGAGAGAGAGGTGCAGAGGAAGCAAGAAATGAGAGAAGGGAGTAGTACGCCCATATTGACATTAATGAGGAAGAGCCACACAACAGCTTTTGGCTGTAACTTTTCTATCAGCCTACATCATGCTCAGCTCAATCATACATTGTGGCAATTATAGCTTTAAGCCAAAGACTCACCTGTGAGCTCCATCCAACTGGGAAACCTCAATGCGGCTCATCTCCGAATCAGTCCAGTAAAGAAGATTGTGAATCCAGTCCACAGCAATTCCATTTGGGCTCTTCAACCCCCAATGCATAATAACTAAAAATGAGTTCAATAATTGGCATGGTTTACATCTTTAAACAGGAAAAGAAAATGAAGGGAACAAATACTTCAAGAAAAACAAAGATAAATTAGAATAGAATTCACCTCATTGTACAGCTAGATGGAGAAAGGTGACATTACCTGATATGTGAGATCCATTAAGATAGGCTTGCTTGATGATATCCAGCTTGATATCTGACCAGAAGAGAAGCCCCTTCTCATGGTGATAATCCAGGCCAATTGCATTGTCAAGGCCACCCAGGATTTTGGATGATTCAGCACTATTGGGACTTATCTGGAATGTTTTTCAAAGCACAATGATTTAAAGGGGTGAAAGGCATGTGCGGTCAAAATGGAAAAATGGTGCAAGGAACTCACTTTCTGTATATCCTTACGATTGGTGAAAAAAAGCAACAGGGGAGGACCCAGCGCCTTGCACGATGATCCATCAGGGCTTAGTTCATAACCCTGCGCACAGGAGCATTTGAAGCTGCCAAGACTGTTCTCACATTTCTGACTGCAGATGTGATACTCCTGACATTCATCAATGTCCATGCAACTGCAGAAACAGAAACAGTGTCATAAGTGACAGAGAGATATGAAAATATTCTATTAAGACTTCAAACTTACCTGAACCCATTCTTAGCCAACTTGTATCCCCGTCGGCACTGGCATGTGACTGCTCCATTCCCCTCAATTACACACATATGTTCACACTTGGATTCATCACTGCACATCTCCCTTGCTCCACACTTTTCCTCATCTGATGACATCATCATGGTTAGCATAACAAGCAGCATCAGATCTAACAGGCTCAACTCTAAATAAACACTGTTGATGCTCACCATCACCATCAGGACACTGTTTCTTGCCATCACAGACTTCTTGCTGTGGAATGCATTTGCCCTTGTTGCAAGTGAAATGAAGAGGAGGGCAAGTTGGTTCACATTCCTTCTCATCCTCGCCATCCACACAGTCTCGAGTCCCATCACACCTCCATGTTGCCTGTCAGCAAAATATTGATTCCATCAAAGATTAACGGTTATTGAGGAATTCTGGTAGGAAGTTGGATATTTCAAAATCCTGAAATATCCAACTTTCTACCAGATTCAAGATGTTCCTTTCTCTGCAACATACAGGGTGATAAATAAATTAGTTACAACTAAATATAGAGGGAAGATATAAACATTTATATAGAGGGAAGCACATGCTCCACAAATAAAACAAATCACATCATTGAAAAAAGCACCTGTTCCAAATGGGCCTAAAATGCTCAAAATGCTCTTCATTCTGAAGAATACATCTGTCCAGGAATGAAAGACACATTTTCCATGGCAAGTCTGTGGGAATGGCATTAACTTTAGAATTGACTGCTTCAATGTTAGCATCCTCATATATGCAGTGTTGTTAACACATTCATACCCAGCAACTGCAGAATACTATGGGTTTAAAAATGTAATATTACAGTTCCCGGAGGCAGTGTGTTAAGCATTCTCTAAATAAAAAAATCCAAAAGAGTGAAGTCGGGTGACCTTGAATGCATCCATCCATCAACCAAGAAACTGAGCATCATGGAGCATCAATTAATTCTCATTTGCATGTAAAAAACAAAAATGAGTAGTGGTCATTTGGTCAGGTTTTTGATAGTCAAGATAAGCTGTTGTTATGAGAAATATTTCCAGTCCCTGAAGTCTAGATTAACAAGAGTTGACGGAATAGTAGGGTTGGGCTTGATAAGAAAAAATCTTGGTGAGAAAAAAGCAAGATCTTGTCAAGATGACAAATATGTAACAACCAGGTAAAATGAGGGGAGACAGGGCCATTTCTAGGCATGTTGGTGCCTAGGGCAAGGAGTTCCAATGGCATCCCCCCCCTTACCCCACTGACACCCTGGGCAATCACCCGCTTCGCCCACCTCTAGAAACGGCCCTGAGGGGAGAATATACCTAACAAATAAATCAATATTCCCACATGACAGCATGTTAAAGGTGGGCATTTTATCAAGACTTGGCAAGAAAAAAATTCAAGATCTTGCCAAGCATCTTGTTTGAAACCCAACCCTACTGAATAGTGATAACATAGTTAGGAATCATCCAATGTATATCCCATGACTATGAGAAATTTAGAAGGCCCATGCAAGATGCTTCAATGGCATGTGGACACCTTGTTTTTATGACATACTGAACTCCACAGAATCTTCTAAGCCCTCTGTTATACCAGCTATTGAACAGTAGGGAGACTTAACCCATAAGTGGGAAATTTCTTGGACAAATGGCTGCAGCATAGTGGGGACCTTTTTTGTGAGAGTTATAATTAGTGTTTGGGAATAGAAATTTACAACTCGTTTTTTACTTCAGATTTAACTTTAAAAAAAATAGCACAACATACACATATTTGTCATACCCATTGAGGAAACGTTTCACCATGATGGCTATATACATCATACTCACTTGAGGGGTTAAGCATCTACAGTTTCATGTCAATGCCAATCCAGCCTTTCCTTTCATCACTTCTATGATCATTTCCACTGCACAACTGGGGTCTATCTACCCCACCCTTTCTGTCATGGTCAACTGCAGACACAATTTATGAGAGCCTTTCTCCTATTCTACAGGATGGCAAAAAAACTGCCTATTTTGAAGAACAGTTGCTGAATCAAACATATGATCAGTTTTTAATTATTTTGCCAATTAGTCAGTGAATTCTGAAAAATGTCAAATTAGTGATTGATAATATGCCATGCAATCATTCAGTCAATTGTAATTGTGTCAATAAATAGCAAGTTCTTTTCTTTTATTTCTCAGCAATAAGGCAGAAAATCATAATTGGTATTTTTTGGGGCCACCCTGTATATACAGGAGTTATATTAGTTGGGCTTAAAGAGACATCTTGATGTTCCTCGTTAAACCTCACCAATTGCCTTCTTGTTCTATCTAAAGGCAAAAACGTAAACATATGAGACAGTCAGCTGGTGATGCACATATAGTTCTGCATATTATTATGCTTCGGCAGTTAGTTCTGAAAAGTAATAATTAAATGTGAGTATGCCAATATTGTACTTTTTATATTGTTCTCAAAATAATTTTTTTTTTAAAGGGGTAATCTGAAAAAAGGCAAATTTAATGAGTTAAGTAATGTCAGTATTTACTGAAAGTCAACAGGTGGAAGGAATAAGTGCTGAACACTCTGATACAAGATCAACTTTTCTCAGAGAAAACGCTTATTCTTCCTCAGAGACTCCCTCATCACTGTGTTACTGCTCTGGAACCCTCATGGATGGCAGAGTTTCAAGTTTTTATTAGAGATGCCCCTTGAATTTGAGCAATGCCAGAAATCAAGTTTTGGTATGTATCAAGCCATTGCAATTAGATTAAGTCAAAGTAAAAATATAGGCAAGGCAGTGTAGGAAAACATTTTTTTTTTCCTGCAAACCTGATGGAACAAATTGGAATTTCCTGGGAAGGACATGCAAGTGGACCAAGTGGGCTGCCTGCCCATGCGTCTCTGTTCCCACAAACCTCATTCACAGATTCACAAGGGTTTTCCTAGCCTGAGGTAAGGTAACCTTAGCATCATCATCATCTTTTGATCAGTAGCATTTCTAAGGCCAAAACTGAACCTTCCTCCCTTGGCTTGGTTTCATTAAAAAATCAACCAATGTCTAACAAACACAATGAGGATTTCAATTAGATATTTATGTGAATTTCTTTCAGTTGCCCTTTCCTTGGGATTGACTTATTCTCCTCTAAACTAGCAGCCTGGAATGTGAAACAGCATAGACCACCAATGGCTGGAGATGAGGCTTCTTGAATTTGTGTGCATAGTGACAAACAGCAGTGGAGTAGAATTCATATCCAAGGTAATGCAAGGGAAAGAGAGTAAAATGTATTGATACTGATTCATGAGGCAAACAAAAGGTCATCACCTTGATGCATTTCCCAGAGGAGCAGAAAAAGACCTTTGTAGGGTCATCAATGGATAGACATTCAGCATCAACTGAGGGGCAGTGTAGTTCATCCTCTCCTCCCTTGCAGTCCTCATCTCCATCACAGATCCAATTCTGATTGATGCATTCTCCTGTTTCACACCTGTAAAAAAGCATTCAGAGTTATCAAGGCAATGAGCTGGAAGCTTTTAGAGTTAAGATCAATAGAGCATACAGGAATTCATCAGCTGGGCAATGGGAGGTATTGCAGTCAATTTCATCTGAGCCATCCTGGCAATCCTCATGTCCATTACAACGCAGCTTGTCATCAATGCATACTCCATTCTGGCAGTTAAACTGGTTAGTCTTGCACGTCTCATTCTGCACCTTAGAATGATCTGTCCAAATAAGACAGAAATGTTGAGCTCAGTTCAGTTAATAATTTGATTAAATTACACATCATTATCAGGCTTATTACATATAGCCTAAAGTTTAAGTGAAGTACTGGTATCTTCCTGTAGGCAACTTTTAACTGCTCAATAATCATTGACTGAACAAAAGGGATCTTGCAAAATACTGCATTCCACTTATAATCAACAAAAGCCTCACCACAGCCAACTTCATCAGATGAGTCATTACAGTCAATCTGGCCATCACAATGCCAAGACTGGTCAATGCAGCTTCCTTGAGAGCATCGGAATTGTGTTTCTTTGCAGATTCTGAAAATTAAGCCATACCAAAGCCATGAATGATTCATGTGTGGCAAAGCATGTTATTGTGCAGTGAGAAAAGAAAAATTGTTACTGTATATGGGTGCAGCCAATTTCATCACTTCCATCTGTGCAATCAGATTGTCCATCACATCTCCACCGTTTTTGGATGCAGTAACCACTATCACACTTGAATTCATGATCTGTGCATTCTCCAACAGGATCATCTACAGAACAAGGGAACAAGAACAAGAACAAGACTCCATTGAGAAACATAATCCAAGTGAACTACAGACCTAGGCATTTGTAGGCCTACAAATTACATAAAGTATGGCACTCTTATGTAGATGTCAAAGAAAAAGCATTCTTGAATCCTCTTACCACATGAGATCTCATCAAAGCCATCCTTGCAATCGGAATACCCATCACACTTGAGGTGCAAGGAGATGCATTCCCCTGACCGCTCACACCTCAGTTCATTCTCTTTGCAGGGTCGGGGAGCACAGTCCACCTCATCATCATGCTCTTGGCAATCCACACTCCCATCGCATCTCCATAAGAGCGGAATACAGTCACATGGCATCCCATGATGAACATTAGAGCTTGGACCTTTGTCTATGTTTTCTCCCTCTCTAGTATCAAGTGGATTCTTTCCTGATGTACAAGGAAACTCTCCTCTATCACAGTGACAGTTGTCAGTTCCTGTGGATGAAAATCCTTAAGATTACCACAGAGAATAGGAAGTAAAAAAAGGAATCTTCAAATGAAAACAGGAATCATGGAAAAAACAATTCCTCACCTCTCACATAAGCTATGAAACTGCATAAAAGGAATCCAAGTCTCCATATCTGAAGCTTCACAAAGCAGCTCATGATGAATACCCTGGGATTATCAATCCAGTGAAGAGAAACTCTGACTAGATTCACATATGGCTTTTAAGAGTTAATAGAAATTAAACATTCATCCAAAATAGAATCTGAGCTCCCTAACTCTGATGCTCGCCAGAGTTGGCACAAAACTATAGCCCCTTAGGTGACCATGCTTACCATGAGGCAATAAAATACTGAGCAAACACATGGCCTAACGTTAAGTGATCCCTTGGGGGCTCCCTCATCGATTGGACATCTGGAGAATAAAGAAGTGAAGCCTCTATAGTTTAGTCTTAGGTAGGAATAAAGTTGGTGCATGGACTGCACAACCAGCACTGGCTTAAATCTACAATAAGTACTAGAATTACATTACTCCAGGGGTACATTACGTAGGCAACAGTAAGGTAGTTTAGGCCTCACTATTAAACCTTATGACAAACGAATCCTACAGTAAGCCTTAACCTAGCTAAACTGAGCCTTCATTAAGAAGTGCTGTACTGCCGAAAATAGCGCTCGTTTTGAACAGAGGGATGAGAAATGCGAATAGCCCACGGAGAAAAAAAAAGAAAAGGACATTGTGGCCCTTAGGGGAGTGGGAGCCATGTTTCCAACCGGCCTTCGTCATACTTGGACATGGCTCTGCCCTTCTTCGCATGCTCACTACTCTCACTTTCAGGACTATCAGATCTCTCTATTGAATACGGAAGTGCGAAACAGTCTAATAGCTCCGATGAGTCTCTTTTATATGATAGATGATGACCAGTTTATTCTCCTCTTCCGATGGGTGGGCCCATCCAAAGCAGGTGGATGACTTCGTGTCTTTTCCGTACTCTATTGCAAAGGGTTTCCTGAATGGACGGTGACCACCTGTTTCGTATTTTCAGTATTTCTGCCCCTGGAACTTATTTATTTCGTAATTTCGCCAAAAAAAAGTATTTTTCCCCGGAATTTAATCATAGATTTCATTTGAAATGACATATAGGCCCATAGATTGCCTCAGTATCACTCCCTCGATCCATTGCTGAACAGCCTCCAAACAATGTATTGATTTTCCTGTGTGTGAGTTCGAAGAGGAGTAATGGTGAATATTGTCATCCAGGTATTTTCTGCAACAGGCTCGTGAAAATCTGAAAATGCCATAGGTTCCAGATGTTCCTCATCATACACATGTGTTCCTTACTACTGTGTCCTGGTAACGTTGGTCATCCTAGTTTAATTTTAGACCTTGACCTATTGTGTTTCGGGATTGAATTTTACCCACCTACTCTCCTTTCCTGGAACTTATCAACTATGTTTAATAAACATTTAGTAATCACAAAAATCAATAGTGATGAAGGGGCATTTGTTATGATGGATCAAGCCCATGGAGCAATAGTGGTACTTGAACTAGGGAACTGCTACTTCGTAACTCAAGAATGGTATAGAGCAATTGTTGACAGAGAAAATTACATCTGAAGCTAGAAGAAATGAGAGGAATGATGGAGCATTCTCATTCATAGTAATAGATAATCCAAATTCACTGTCTAGCAAATTTACTATAGTATTGGTTGATGTTTATCCTGTGGAGGCATACCTGCATTCTCTTATAAGAGAAGCCCATCTGCTGGATAGAGAGAGATCTCTTTTTTGAGCTGGAGAATGAAACTTATCGGGGTTTGAAACCCAGCTAGTGTGATAGCAAACAAGTGAGACTCTGAATCAAATATTCAGGCCATACACACAGATATCACCACAAATAGGTTGAGATACTCTGTACCTCATGTCTTTAAGATAGGATGTAATAAGCCTAACAAGCGGCCTGCATGTCTGTTCATTGAATCCAAATTTCATGCTCCTATAACTGAGACTGACTAATGTAAATAGGCTGAATCGTGTTTGTAGTCTTGGCAGCCATACTATAAGAAGAGCCAATGTTGTCCTTAAGGAATTTGTTGAGTGCCAATATCATTTCTCCCAGGTCTTTCATAATTATTGAAGTACAAGCTAAGCATAGCACCATGGAGAAAGTGATTGAACAGCAGCTGGCAAAGAATCTCAAAGTTGTGGAAGACTTTGTAGATGCAGAAATTGAAAGGATTGATAAGATGGATGGAGAAGAATTGGATGCAATAAGAAATCAGCGTCTGGAAGCACTGAAGAAGCAGGCTGAGCAAAAGCAACACTGGAAACAACAGGTATGACCTCAAGTCAGACAAATTTATTTTTTACATGCAAAGATATTCATCCCAGTCTCTCCATGCCAGGGTCATGGTGGATACTCTGAGCTCCCAGAAGAGAAGGAGTTCTTCAATGTAACGAAACAGTCAGAGAATGTGATCTGTCACTTCTATCGAGACAGTGCCTTCCGCTGTAAGATCGTTGACAAACATCTCAATATCCTGGCTCCAAAGCATATTGAAGCCAGATTCATCAAACTGAATGCTGACAAGACACCTTTTCTTGCTGGTGAGGCATATCCACAAGAGACATTATGGCCCGAATGCTGAAACCTCCTTTAGTTAACGGTCCTCTAAGAATACATGAACTCATGGGAGAAAAAGAGCTCTTTAGCTTAAAGGCCCTTTTATCTCCCTTAAATGAGGTTTGTGCATTCAGGCCTACTTTTTTGCAATTTTATACAACAATTAAGTATTCCAGCATTCTCTGGATTGCAGTCTGATGATTTTCACATTTTCCACACCCTTTTCAAATAATTGCAGGACTGAAAAATGAGTTCTGCTATGCCAGAAAGGGCCACTGCTTAAAAATAAAAAGCTATTAATCCTTTTGCTCATGAGTAATATATTGCCTGTGAGGAATTGTAAATGTGATGTTTTGATTATGTGAGCAGCTTTAACAGTCTAGTTTTAACACATGTCTGAAATCCTTGTGTGTAATCTAATTGTTGCAAGTGAATAAAATGCCCTATTACTTTTTCATTTTTCATAGAAGAGCCCTGGATCAACCACATTCATAGAAGACTGCATATATTACGTACTGAATTGACCAAAATATAAACATGAGAGAAGTACTAAACCCTAATCAGTGAAAGTTTACATTTTAACTTGAATATCTTTGTTGCATGTATGGAATAAACTGTTTTGAATTGCCTTACTTTGCAGAGAGACTGAAGATTAGAGTAATCCCGACAATTCTCCTGGTCAAGAATGGGAAGACCAAAGATTACATTGTGGGCTTCACAGATCTGGGAAACCATGATGAATTCTCCACAGAGATGCTAGAATGGAGGATTGCCCAGGCAGATGTTATTGAATACAATGGAGATCTATTGACACCCCCAGATGCCTCAAAGTCAGAAAGGGCCAGGCCCTCATTGTTGACTGGAAAGAAGAAGACAATAAGGGAGAAGGGAGGCAATAGCGATGAATCTGATGATGATGATTGGTGAAAAATGTTGTGCAACTTTCATTGTGAAGTGCCTCATTCCACTCTCTTTTTTTGCATTTTTTTTATTTTTACCATGATACTACATGCAAGTCTTGCTCTTCAGAGATTCTCTTATATATTCTTATGCATGATTATGCATATGATTCTCTTATGCATGCTAAGATCTAATGGACTGACTAGTATAAGAATGAATAAGAGGTCTTCATACTAAGTTCTGATGGTGGTTTAAATATTGTAACACGAATGTGGTGGTGTTCCTCAAAAAACTATCTGAAATCAAAAGCAGAAAGCAGTATGGCTTCTGTCAAGAAACAGCATTGAAGCAAAATGTATTTGTGTTTTTCCTGCTGTGCAGCTTCATTTGAACTATCCTTTTTTGGCATTACTTTCACCTAGTAATCCTGAGAAATCTACAGTTGGCCAGTTGTCATGTGAATTGAACATGGTTCACCAAAATTATGTGAATAATTGTTTAAGGAACTCAAAGGATATTCTTTTCAAATGGTGGATACAAAAGTAAATGGGGTTAATTCCTATTTACTGGCTTGTTCATCCTACTGGGACTCTCAGTCAGATAGCCATGACCCATATTGCCTCATAACCCTGAAAAGAACTGAATTGGCTTACATATGAATTGGAGCTCCTTATGGCGCAAAAATAAGTAACTGGATACGACTGGCCGTTGCTATTTTAAAGGCGAGTTTAGTGACACATGGAGGACAGAACTGGGTCTGTCCATGGTGTCGGATGTGACATCCGGAGTAATATTTTGAGTATACAAAATGAATCTAACTGTATTATGGATGACAAATCAGCATATAAAGGCTGTAACAATTTGCTTTGGGTAGTGACTGAAAATTCCATAATTCAAAGTCTTGCACTCTCTCTTTTGTTAAAGGTGTACCTATGTGCAAAGAAAAGTGACAGACATGACATTTCGTGAACCTCAAGTTTAAGTCACTTGCTCTAATGTTCACATATCTGTCATTGAGCGGATCCTAATAATTTAATTTCATGTTCATTCTACGGATGGAATGAACGCCTGGAATTAGTGTAAGACACCCCAAGATGACAACACTTGAAACAGAAAATAAGCTTATTTTGTGACAGTGTTGGATGTGACATGTTCTGAAAATGTATTTTGAAACGAGAAGTCTGTACATATATTTTTTACTTTATTTTAAAGATATCATTCAAATGTGAACAATTTACATCTATTCTTCACACCTGAGCTAATTTGAAATTATCAGTATGCATGGAAAGCCCATCCTGGAATCTCTTCCAGTAGTCTAATTCAGTCTCTCCAGATTTGCATTTTCATCACATTTTTGAGTATCATGAGAGTGGTATGAATAATATATCATGATCATGACTAATTCTTTCATTTTCACTGTAATATTCTCTCGCATTCATGTCTTCTAGGAAAAGAGATTATGAACTTCTGTAGCGAAAGCAATATTTGCATATTTGAGAAAATTTCCGGCTAAAATTCTAGGACCACTTGGCGTGGACAGACCCAACTACCACCAGTGGCACAACCAGTCCTAAAGTTTTTTTTTTGGGGGGGGGGTTCGAAGTTCACGTGACCTGCCCTTCAAATGTCTTCCATTGCAAGGTGTTATCAAATCATCAGGAGAGATATACTCAACAAAAACGCGAAATGGCGCTAACAAAGAAAATGAAACGAAGGAAAATGTTATGAAATGGTGGGAACGGAATTTGAACCCTAGGTGAAAGCACATTCGATATCTGAAAAAGCTTAAAATTAACTAAATTAACTTCGGGATTCAACCCAAATATCACTGCGCAGATGTGCAACTGGAAATTCATTAGCATGTACGATTCACGCCTTTTATTTGAATTGTCGTCCTTCCGTTTTCAGGAAAAAATTCAATAGCGTCACATGTGCAGGACGTTTCCTTAACAGTTTCACTTTACTAAAGTGAGTTGCTACATGTAACTGGCGTAACCTTCACCTTTCACCTCCTATCTTTGTGCCTTTCCAGCCTCGCTCTCGGGTCGTTTGCTCATGATACCTTTCTGGATCCCCCACCCTTGGGGGGAGAGGGGGATGGAGAAGTAGAGAGATACCATCACGAGCAGGAGTTGGGGGGGGGGGGTTCAGACCCCCTGACCCCCCCCCCCCCCCCTTTGGTTGCGCCCCTGACTACCACAAATCTTGATAGAAATGAGAAATGAGGGAGGCTCATGACCAGTCCTCGGGTATGTAGGTAGGACGTGACATCGGAACCCAGCTCATTCAACACCGTAAACTTGAGCCCTCTGCCTATTCTCATTTCGTCTGGAGCACGAAGGAGGAAGGTGGGTCGAGTCCGGCTAACTTACCCTATTCTGTTTATTTCTGATTCTTTTTTGGCAATGTGACGGATTTGTCAGATGCATAAAATGAGGTACATTGAAAATACTTCCTCTTCGTGTTCCTAATAATACGCTGGAGGGAACCTAGTCCTGCTTCGTTGTAATTGCAGTTTTTCCCATGCCTCTACCACCTGAAAACATGCAGCCTTGAATTAGGGCTGGCTTTGATCAATGCGAGAGTATTCATTGGTGCAAGTATTGCATGCTGTTCGGGACATCGGATACCTGGTAGTGAAAAATTACGGTAATCATTCTGAATCAGACCAAGCGGGTGTCGAGTTCAGGTCTGAAGAAAGTGGAAACGTACATGGCCCCTGGATCGAGGAGTGTCTTCCATTCTGAGGTGAGAAATTACGGAGAGCCTATAAATACCCAAATGAAGTGCGACGTTCGAACGTGGATGAATCAGGAACCTGAGTGGAAAGTCACGAAAGCGTCAAATTTCCTGCTCGGAGTGTCTCCGACTGCGTGAGACTCATCGTTGCCTAACAGCCACCCTTAAAGAGGAAGCCCAAGTGGACAACGGCATGCCTCGGTCCGGACGTGGCACCAACGTCAGAGATGGCCTCCAAAAAAGAATGGCGGACTTGCGAGCTCCGTCCTTTGGATCGTCTCCCTCTCATGTCGTTACGTCGAGACCCGGCCCTCCACGTCACGCTTGTCGTTTCTATATCTCCCCTGCCCCTCCCACGAAGTCCGTCCCTGTAAGTTCGCTTCGCGATAACGATTTTTCTTCAGTCCTCGCTTGGATCAATCAATCAGACAATCGGATCACACGCAAGAGAAATTATAAAGAATGAAGAGGAATCTGTATACAACATTTGCTCCTTTTTTTTTCCAACATCCAGTTAATTGAACTTCAAAGCAAATCGAAGTTGACTTGCTTACTTACTCTTGGGTAATGCTGAGGGACTGATAGGATGAACATATGTGTACATATACCTAGTCTGATGAGCTAACAATTAACACGTTGGCGACAATGCGTCCTGATGCCAGGATGCAGATTTTTTTTCAATGAATACCCTCTGGAACTGTTGAGAACGTTCCAGAAGATTATGATTTCGTAATTACTGATAAAAATTCCAAAGAATTCAGCATTTTAAAAAAACTCGGCAAAAAAATGTTTTCTGGGACCATGCGTCCTGATGACANTAATTATTGATAAAAATTCCAAAGAATTCAGCATTTTAAAAAAACTCGGCAAAAAAATGTTTTCTGGGACCATGCGTCCTGATGACAGGACGCATTTTTTGACAAAAAAAATGCGCGTGGTCCCACGCGGCGGACAAGCAAAAATAAGCTGGTCGTCAACGTGTTAAAGAGCCACTTGGTTTCTGTAAAACTTGGACAGATCTCCAATTATTGGATTCGGTTACATCCTTGTTACATCGGAGTCCGATATCGTCGTATCATGCTGGACAGGACACAGACAATGATGAACGGGGGAGCTTCTTTAAAAGCAAGTCCTACGAGGCTCTTAAAGAGTCGGCGGAGTGGGTGGGGAACCTGTATCCAGGGCGAAAGAAACCCGAGACCATAATCGTGAAAAAATGCAGTCAGAAACCGGACCCACACTGAAAAAATAATGGTTTGGACTAGAACCCTGAGATGCTTGCACGCTTTCAGAGCGGGTTTCGGTTATCGAGAGGCCATTTGAGATGGTTTTAGGCTCACAACAAATACTATTTGGCATAATGACACATAACAACTCGGTAGCTCTTGAACCATTAAGGATGGGGCTCGGCACGAGTTTAAGTTTTGTGATCCCTAGAACCATTTTTTCACGATCTTTGCTTAATAGTTACTCGTGGGAGTAATCATATGCATATGCATCAGATCATAGCATTGATTTCAACCGTATCAAAGCCTCAGATCCTGGTAACTCCCGAAGTTAACCAGTTCCAGCTTGTGTAGGCTTGGTTTCAAGAAAATGGTTCTACGAAAGTTTCACCAAAAATGGTTCCAATTCGAACCTTCCATTTTTTAGAGTAGAACCGTTTTTCACTAAATTTTCGTATTAATTACATATTGGAGTGATCTTGCGAATGTCCTAGGTCGTAGCGTTCATGTTCTGCTCTGTCAACGCCCTGAGATCGTCTGATCGTGGTAGCTCCAGGAATCAGTTTCATCTCTTCCACGAAAATGGTTCTATAAAGGTTTCACTCTAGAACCTTTATTTTTTACAGTGTGGAGCCTCATTTAGTGCACATGACGCATGTGGAGCACCTGATGGACTGTGAATACAAGAACCTTTGTCAACCGTTCCACGACCCAGAAAACCCCAATAATGCAGATAATCACATCCACAAGTACCACCCGCACTCGCCGCAGTCGTGCCACCACGCGGGCACATCGGAACCTACGAAGGAACACCGAATCTGAAGCCACACGGAGTGCGACCACCAGGAGGCGCCAGGGCTCCGCGACTTCGATGTGGAGTTCTGCCACTGCTGCGGGGAGATCTTCGATGAGAATCACCACGTGAGGGGCCTTCACAGGAATGAGATTGACGGAGCTCTTGACATCTTGTACATGGGAAAGGATCTTACAGGCGATTAGTTTAACCCTGCTCTGGTACCATGAAAAAAGTTACGTTGACAGTACCATGGGGTAAAATTGACCCCATGGTAAAAAAGTACTATATTACCAGAATAAAAACACTGTTTATTACAATATTTTGTTTTTCTCCAAATAATATTATACAACAAACGTTTGTACTCAAATATCGACAAACAAACGAAAAAATACGTGAAAGGCAAAGTCACTAATCGTGATAGTTTAAAAAAAAATATGGGTCAAAGAGGAGTGGGGTCACAGAGACCCCATGGTACCACAGCAGGGTTAATTTCACTGATTGTCCCACACATTTAGTTGGATAAGCGTGAATATTTCAATTTTGCTAGCACTGCTACCTTTTACTTTTACTTCAACCTTACCTTGTCTGTACTCCTAGATGTTTCATCTCCAAATCTACCTGCTTCAGCAGTTGAGGCATCTTCAGTAACAGATTTAGGTAGGAAACTTAAAAAATAATATCCTTCCCATCAAAGAGAATTAAAAACATTGTTTTTGGGATAATAGGCAACCAGTGGTTTTCTGACTTCAGAAAAAATAAAGTACTCACAATGTCCTCAATGATTTCTTTCACTGCAGACACAGTGAGAATGAAGATGAGTGGCACAAGAGTAGTGTATCTTCCTGTGGGGGATACATCTGGGATTTGCTAAATGACAATGAAAAAAGGGGAACTAAATCAGAAGACCAAATAGACATCAAGAGAAGAATGCTGCACAATTCAATCCAGAAACCCTACTAAAAAAAAACAAAACAAATAGGGTTGGGTTTCAAACAAGATGCTTGGCAAGATATTGAATTTTGTTTCTTGCCAAGTCATGATAAGATGTCCTCTACCTTTAATGCCCAGTCAATGTCGATTAACTTTTGAATATTGATTTCTTTGTTAGGTTTTTTCTACCATCAGTTTACTTGCTTGTGACAATGTTGTCATCATGACAAGATCTTGCTTTTTTCTTGCCAAGATTTTTTCTTATCAAGCCCAACCCTACCAATGATCATGAGAATGTCAATCACATATACTCTTATGCGTTGGCATATATGCATAGACTGGAAAAGGCTAACTTCATGAATGCTTTAAGGATGAAAGGAAAGACTCACCTGCAACAAGGCAATGAAAAGGAAGAAACAATTGGAGTATCTTCGAAACTGCTCCAGTAGGAAGCAAGGGAAGAAGGAGATGGGTCCATACTTGGCTGTGGAAACTCTATTCGAGCAATACCGAGTGGGCTGAGGGCGATTTACATAAATGAGGCGGACTTTCATAGCTTCTGGAGGTTCTGTAACGCTTGCTGTCCCCTCCTCCTCCTCTGGAAATATGAAAAAAGAAGCTATCATAGAAAGACTGCATCCTGTAACATTTGCACCCCCTTTTTTCTCTTTCATTTTTTCCCCAAATAGTATCACCATAAATGAAAATATCTTAGGATGCAACAACATTTGTACCAGCACTGGCCAATCAATCATACTTTCAGTATCAGTGGCATTGATGTATTATATATTTTTTGCATCCTGATACTCAATGTGTAGGGCACCTCTCACTTTAGACATTTAATCCTGTAATAAATTATCAATTGAGATGGATTTCATACATAAGCCATCATGAGATACATAATGGTTTATAATAAAAAAAATGGACTCAGAGAGTCAGAAGTATCCAAATCTAGAAGGGATGGAACTAAGTATCAAAAGTTACTTGAGTTTCAAATAGTTTCTCTCATCATTCACATATCTTTCGTTCCATACCTAAGCAGGAATACATTTACCACTAATCCTTTGTGACAGCCAGACTAACAGTTAGCATCAGTGAAATTACCACCTTCAGCTATACAAAGCATCTGCATTGGGCTCAAAACGACTATCAGATAGAGTACTGCCATCAGCTAACTTGGTACTGTAATATTGCAGGATCAGAGAATAAAACATTTAGTTGCACTGGTGCATCTCCAGAAGCATTCAATAGATAACTACCTCTAAAGATGTCTCTTTCTCAAATTTTGTCCAACATCCTAATTGCAATCATTAAACCAATTAACACTTTAAGCCAATTAACACTAAAATGAACGATTTAATGCACTATGCCCAATATGTCAGATCTAAGGTTTTGTTACCATTAACTCCTTCAATGGGGAGCACATATTAATCTACACTGTGTTAATTTTCCCAAAATGGAAGCACAGATGTCACTTCATCAAAATGTCATTTTAAAAATTGGAAATGCAAATGCAGAGTGTTTATATTTGAATGCAACATAGGGAAAAATTTTCTGTCTGTTTGCAAAGTTCAGCTCACTGGGTTGCATATCTGTAAGAATAAAAACAATCATTAGTGTGTTGATTGGTGTTTCCTTGTAGATATGCAACCTGTCTTGTAGCCTTAGCTAAACTCCACATACAGGTAGAAAAACATTTCCTATGTTGCATTTAATACAAACACCCTGTATATCCCCAAGGTTAGGTGGACTATAAACCGTGGTAATTCTGCCATCTGTTGGATGGGTGGTGGAATTCAGGCAAGAAAATTGACATCATTAATTCATAATTGCAGAAAATACTGGGCCATGCTCTCAGCTGATCAGATCAGCTGTTCACTGTGTTGTGTTGACTGAACCAAGTTTATCTTGTTTCACATGTTTTGAGTCGTGTTTCTGGTGGAAATTACAAGTAATACTGAATAAAAATGTCAGAAAGGGCTGATAAAACAAGACAGAACTTTGATGAAGAAGAAATAGCCATATTTGAGGAAGGAAGTGAAGTGAAGCAAGGTGATGACAACTACATTATCCTAACAAGAAGAACTACTAAAATTTCTTAACTTTCCCACCAAACTCATTGAGGGTAAGTGTTCTAAGTTCATCTTAGTGTCTTGTGTCCATTATGTATCAAAACTGCCCAAAATTTTCATGCAGATTTCAATAGAAGTGGAAAAAAAAACATTTTTAACAAGTTGCCAACATGCTATTTGCAAAAAATCCTCCCCAGCAAAGAAATGGCAGGGGTTGGAGCATTCCCCACTCGAGAGGTTAATGAAACTTTTGCTACTTTTGCATAAAAAATGGCTCTAAATAAAAGTACGTTTCTTATCTGAGGTAAGCTCTTGTCATAAAATTATTACAGTTTCCATTATGCAACTCTTACTGCTTATCAATCAACTCTATATTCATGTGGGGTGGCCAAAAATAAACACAGCTCTATAAATATTAAGGGAAAGTTGTAAAAAGACTGAAGTAGCACTTTTACACATGACCATAGAAAGGAATCCATTGAGGGTGGAGGAAGCCTGAAGTAAAGATGCTACAAATGTAGTAGGGGGACTATATGGGAATTTCAAAGGATTCAACTTCAGTATATGGGGCATGACATAGTTCATAGTACACCCCCCCCACCCCAAGTTCCAAATGCAGTTCTAACTTTTGAAAAATGAAATTGCATGGACTCAGGACAAAATTTCAAGAGTGAAATAGAATTATATGATGTTCTAAATATTCTTAAATATGATTCACCTAGGGGCATGTAAATGGCACTTAGGTGTTAACCCCTTGAACACACCAGGTATTGGACACTTTCCTGCCCTCACATGCCAGAATTTTGTATTAAATAAAATAATATTTCGTTTCTGCTCAAGTTCTTTACTTAATGCTATTAACTCTGATTTTACTTCCTCTTGTGATACTTTCCCCCTGTGAATGTCATGTGTATCAGTTGCATGGTTCCTCCATCATGCATACAGGCACATCATGTGTGTTCAAGGGGTTAAAAGAGAAGTATCTTGGTTCTGTCCTAATCAAAATTTCCTTGAAGTCCTTTTTGATGTCTTATTTTTCTCAAAATATCAAGCTGCTGTTAAGTAAAAACATCCTATAGTGAATTCTGCAAAAATCCCTTTGCATATTGTATTAGGGGCAGTCTCATAGATTTTGAATTTTCACCTTTGTATGCAGTAAATGAGTTCAAGCCCATCCATTCCTCAAATGCACTCTTAAATTTCTTGTGCAAGCTTCATTCTGATTCTTTGACACTAAGATGTATTGAAGCGCTTTGAGAAGCTGCAGGTAAGATGATGGGCAATAATCATCACTGATGATGAATCTACCCAAAACTGAACTGACCAGTCATTACCTTAATACCATAATTTCCTACTCCTGCAATAAGAGGATTGTCAAGCGATGCTTCATCCAACAATGTTCAACTGGTCTCTCTAAGGAAGGAAAAAAATAACTTCAAAGACAACCCTTAATCTGGGTTTCCTCTGACAGCAATGACACAAGCTAACCTTGAATTGATGCACCTTCTTATCAAAGAATTTCCCAATAAGCAACTAGAGGTCAGACATAGGATTGAGGCAGATACATAATATTCTGCATGAGGACCTTCACATCCCATATGTTTGCACACTGGGTGCTCCATACCCTAAGCAAGAACCAGGATGTTTCAGGGCTTGAGTTTTGTCACTTCACACTCAATAAGTTCAAGGAGGAAATGTCCCTAAAAGTGAGTGAAGTCTGGAGAGACATGGAAGTTTGATCCTACTTCTATGACTTTCTGACCAACAGGCAAAGTGAGGTTCAGTTCTATGAAGATGACCACAGCTACCACACAAGAAGCTTCAGGAACAGCATACAACCACAGCCAAGAGATATACAAGTGCATTCTAGCAGTCTTTGATGAGTTCTGCAAGAACATCCCAAAGACTGGCCTCTGGGGCAAACAGTTTCCATAAAGTGCCCACACACATAACTACTGCCACAGTGACACATCTGTGGGATAGAAGAAACTCAATCCTTCTTCCACCAGCCATACTCTCCTGACTTGGCAATCTACAGCTTTTTTTTTTCTTCCCAAAGATCAAAAGGGAGCCAAGGGAGAAAAGATTTGAGGATGAGGAAACATTTGAGAGCATCTTACATAAAGCCATTTCAGCCATATCCAAAGCATATCAATTGCTGGATTAGTTTTTAGCAATGCAAAAGTGGTTTGAGCACATGAAAAAGGGCATAGAAAGAGGGAATTAATTTTTTTTAATGTGACCACTTGTTACCTTTGGACAGAATAGTGCACCAAGCCTAAAAACCCTGACTGACCCACATGTGGATAACATAAAGGTACCATTTAGAGAATATCCCAACTCTGTTGTTTTTTAAAAATCCTTTATATAAAAGAATGCCAATGAATATTCAAAGTGCAAACAAGTCCTTTAAGATAATAACTTCTGTTTCAATCTCAGTCTTTCCTATGGTGCTGTATAACATGCTGGTGTGTCACCATGCAAGTTTCCATTTTATCTTTGGGATGGTACAAAACATGCACGGTGACACACTGGCATGTCAACATGCAATCAACATAATAAACCATGTTAGGGCAAGGCAATTGATTAACAAACATGGGAGATGAGTTTAGGAAAGCACCTTCTTGTCATATCACACAATAGTATCTCCTATTAGAGGTAGGTGAGTGGCATGGTTGATATGGCTCTTGGCTTGGGAACCAGTGGGATACCAGAGGGCAAGGGAGGCCATGTGAGGAAGAGGAACATGAGGGAATCCTACTGCCTCTGCTGTTCAAGTGAGAGTGAATAGAAGTCCCTGTGACCCCTTTTAATGCATCTTTGTGATGTCACTCTGGACACACATATTCACGAAGGGGTTGATATAGGGTAGAGAAACCTGCTCATATATAGGTACCTATTTGTGGATGATTACACTTTTTTACCATCCTATAAAAACTATGGCATAAATTCCTGTCCTTGGCTGCTTGAATCAATTGATGAGAGTATTCTGGATTAATTTCCAGCATGGGTGTTTTTGGATGGTGGAAAACTCTGATCATCTGCAAATAGGAGCCTGTCCATGAACTGATGCCTCTACCCTATATGGACCTATGACAACATGCAAAAAAATTTGCAGTGTCAAATGATCATTTGAGCATTGTTGAAAAGCAACACAATTTCAAGAACCTGGCAACTCTAGTGCATTTTAAAGTTTGTATTTGAGGGGGCTATTAACAAGGGCCAACTTAAAGAAATTAGAGATATTAACATTAAGCATATTTTCATCAAATGGATAATTGTATTTTTAATCAACAGATTAACAGAAGTACACCTATTAAGGGTTTTGAAAGCAAATTCAGACCCAGTTCAGATAAGAATATGGGGATAGGGAGGGAGGTCATTCAGGGGGAGGGAGGTTTGGAACTGACTGAAATTCATTCACAATATCAATTAAATATTGTGATGGCATTATTGCAAGAATCCTAAAATGTTTCATTCCCTCCCCATAGAAGAAGCATTTGAGACATGAATCTTACAGACAAAAACTTACAGTTAGAGTAAGATCAGGTTCACTAAGTTCCATGACATTTATGAAAAACACTTCATATTTAACTATACTTCAACTCTCATGGATTAATTCTTCAAAATCATGTCATTGATAAAAACTTCATTTCCAAGTAATATATTAACTACTTTTGCTTCCTACCATCTAATCTGAAAAGCAATATTGCCCTACATACCAGGGGGGGCTGAACTGCAGCTCACAAGCCCATGTGGCTCCAGGGCAGTAGTTCAAGTGTGGCACACAGTGAAATGCTCTTGACTCTAGAGTCCACACATGCATTCTCTGGAGTCTAGAAAATGCATGTGTAAAGTGGCTTGTTGCTCTTGTGGCTCTTGGCCATATGAAGATTTTGTTATTGAACTCCTGAGGTCAGGAAGTTTGGCCAACTGATATGTACAGGGTGTAACAAGTCAGTACTCATGGGTAATTGGAAATATTCAAAATTATTTCATTAGATGTTCAAATTTGAGAAATTCCTCTCAAGTTCCTCTGTCTTCTACCAGCAATGTGCAACAAAACCAATTCCACCTTTTCCTGCAGTGTGAAATCACCCATCATCTTTAATAACAATCACCTGGAAATGTAAAATTCCAATTATCTATTACAGACTTTTGAAACACTCAGTCCAATCCCAGGGGGGATTGTGACCCACAGTTCCAGATATGTTGCATTGAATAGTGGCTTATTCAAATAAAATCAAATATACTGTGTTGGAGAAAGGCATTAATTTCCATTGATGATTATTATTTTTTAAACACTTACTGCATAAACTTGCATAGCAGAGGATTGATTACACATCTGAGAAGTCTTTTCTCATTTAGATGCCAAAATCCCAAAACCCTCAAACCCCATATGAATATTACTCTTCAAATAATACCACCTGGGATATGATTACATGTCTCTAGCTATAGGTCTGACAAGATGGAAATCCAAAGGGTAGGAAAGACCCATCCAACTTTTCCTTAAATCCTGTCAAGATTCCACATATATTGCACACTGAATCAAGATGACAGAGCTTTCCAACAATATGGAATTCATCAAGATCACAGGGTAGAACTTCAAGAAATGTAAGGAAAGAGAAAGGACTTTCCACCCAATAAGCCTGGAGAAGTAATCAATATTTTTTTAAATTATAAATTAGACATCACAAGCGAGGGACTCACCCTCATCACCATTAAAAGTGTGATAATGACTACACATTATCAATACCTTCAATTGGGTTGTGTCTAAAACAGACAGCAGAAGTTAGACTTCTTTTGCCATGCAAAAGCAAAGCAAACAACTATAAAAGCATGCCATCTAATTATAAGCTAAAGGACTTTAACCCAGATATGCCTGGTGTTCTATATGTAGGGCAGCATGCAGAGATGTGCCTCCATATAGAACATGTGTCCTCCATGTAAAGTGCCAGGCATATCTGGGTTAAAGTATGTGATTATTTTACTTGCCTCCGACCTTTACCTGGTTCTTCAGCAGTAGGTTAACTCCCTGTACTGTAGTACAAAATGTGGCCAGATATGAATAGGTGGATAAATCAATAAAAGGAACCGTGAAGAGAGCTACCTGGTCCAGATGGGACTTTTGATGGAGGTTCCTCTCCTTCACCTTCTGGTATTCGATGATATCGAACTTTGACAGATGAAAACATTTCCGTTGACAAGTCACATGTATCAGATCCAGGTTCAACTCCATTGAGGGATTGTCCCTGAGATTGACTGATCACAGTGGGATTCAAGGAAGTGAGGGGGATGGGATCTGCCATTTCTTGCACCTACTGAAGGCCCTCCTCATGGTATTTTCAGATCCTTGGGGAGGTTCACTGACTGAACTCAATATAAAACTAACAAAAACATCTGAAATCAGGCAATAATGTAACTTAATAAATGTGCTAGTGCGTGTGAAAAACGCATGCGTTCCAGGTCACGGATACCAATACTGGTATCAAAACAGAAAACCCAATAAATAGGTCTATCATATTTGGTGGCCAAGACCGCAACTCCCAAACACTGCAAATATCGAATTACAGTAAAACGTTCCTGATACCGATACACAATAATAGTAAAATACATTGACAAGGTACTTCTCAACCACTGCAAAGCGCCGAAAGGCAATAAAGGTGAGATTGAAAACGAAAGATCAAAGGAAGGCCACGGAAATGAGAGTGCGAGAAATGACGGACAGGCGATGTTCTGTGTGCGAAAAAGGATCTGAGACTTTCTCACCTTCTCTTCTCCCGAGAAGAGTTCTCCATACTCGACGCAGGCATCTATTCATGATGATATGAAGGGACGGGGAAGCAATAACGACGAGATCACAGATCCTGGTTGTGGATAGGAATTCCGATTGAAAAAGAAGGCACAGGGGAACGATTGAACTGGGCAACAGATGGTTTCTATTCTTCTTCCTCCTTGCACAGTGCTTAGTTGGGGGAGAGGCGAAGCGGTGGCGGGGCAACGGGGAGAATCGAGGGCTGCGCATTAGAGGGGGCGAGCGGGCGAGCGGCATCGTCTCAGCATGACGATGACGGTCGATATCTCCATCACTTCCCCTTTTCGTCCCCCCGCCCACCAACCACCAACCAGATGTACACTATCACTACCATCCCCTATCTTCTCTCACCTGTATTCCCCTTCTTTCCCAAAACAATCACCTGTATAAGTCTCAATATTGCTCCTGAAGAATATGGAGAAGGGTTGGAGTTCTTGCAACTAAGACAAGCCATTCCGTAATGCTGCGACTGACAACATGCAGGGCCGGGTGAAGCAAGTATAGCATCGAATCAGCAGGGGTTGAATGCATTTATAATGTTTAAAAACGAGAGACATAAATGAACATACAGTAGCATGTACCTGTCGAAACTTTCCCACCATTCATGATAGATTCTTGCTCGTGAAATACTAAGACATGCAGCCACATTTTCTATTAATGCCAAAATACAGGTATTCTTATGTTATCCCTAACTGATAGTAGAGTGAGGGACCGAACAATAAATTAATTCAATGCTCAAATGGTGCTCCGTCTCTCACAGTGATTGCACGTCTGCCAGAGCAAATGGTCCCACCGATAGCCTCTTAATTTTTAAGATATAGTGAGTTGGACATGATGGGAAAATAGACTTCAGGGTCACAGCCTCGAATATAATTAAGCCGTTTAAATTTCCTGCCCGAAGGTAGAATGCTTTGCCGCTATAGGGTTCGAATTAACTATTTCAATCATTTGAGAAGTCCTCATGTAAAATATGGAACATGAGGGAAAGTATCTTGAGCTAGAACATATCCCATCGAAAAACAGACAGATTGACTGGGTTTGGTGGAAAAAGCAGTGTCAACCCCCTAGCGCCTGACAACAGTGTCAGTAAAGTGTTCATCGGTGGGGAAAACGAGTTTTTGAAATTGCTCGAGTTTTCTCACCCTCACCACTAATGGATGATAGGGTCATGGGGCTCCGATAATCGACTCAGACAAACCATGGCGTGGAGAGTTCATAGGAAGCATCTACTCGTGAGGATTTCGTATATCGAAGAGGAATTGCTTAATAAAAATATACCCCGTACCTGCTTGAAAGAAATAGGCTCATGGGCCTTCACGTTTCCCAATTCGAGAGAGCGAGCCGGCCGATCTCTTCTCCGTTCAAACCGGTTTTGCATTATGAAACGAATAGAGCAACACAATGATATGACTAGCACAAAGTATGTATTACCCTTCCCATGAATACTATATGTGGATCTCTCGAAATAGGCATATGCCCCAGTTCATAGACGGGTGCTTATTTGTGGACGAGTTTGTTTTCTACCATCCTGAAATACCTTCGCCGGAAATTCATATACTTGACTGCGCGATGTTTTGCGCGTATATTGGCCCAAGTTCGGCGTAGGTTTCTTAGGAGAGCAGAAAATGCGTAATAGCCCACAAATAATCTACGTACTGACGCATCTACCCCAACATGAACAGAGCGATATCCGCGCCGTTTTCCGGTTGGCTGAATTTCCTCTTTTCTGAGGCGAAATCCAGGAAAAACCAGCATGAAGGATTCATGCTATTGCATAAGAGATTTTCTATTTCGAATCAATCCAGCCTGTCTCGGTAGAGGGAAGAATACCTTGCCTGTCAGTCGTCGATTGGCATGTCCAAGCAGATGAGTCACTCAGTCTGCGAATTGCCGCTTTTGTTTCACCCAAGCAAATCTTACCTTTCTGCGTCTTTGATCCCTCCAAGTATCACAAGCGAGAGGGTTGTGGGGCAACATGTAAGTAGCAGCATATTTTCCTGACATTAGCTCTTTTTCAAGAATGTTTTTCTTTCGTCATTCAAGGAAAAGTAATAAACCCTTTTTTTATTATTCCGAACAGCGAGCTCTGCCTGCGAACAGTACTATCCGCAATATCTCGTCTACAAGAACGCCAAGTAGCTTCCAATGTGTGACAGGGATTTTCGGTTTTTATGCCGGTCATGTCCCAGACACAAACTTAAGTTCCCCATGTCGACTGATATGTAGGCAGCTGCTTATGCATGCAGGATGAAAGGGAAATTATGGCCTTCAGCCGGAGCCTGGACGTCAAAGAATCCAGAGACAGGAGAGAGTGGTCGCAAGTTACATCTTCGAGGCAAGAACCATGACCAAAAAACTCAGTAGAATATAGAATTTCGATTCCATGAATTTTGATGCATGCTTGGAAATTTGTGAAAATGTATTCCTTTGGTGAAAACAGCCGAAAGAGGAGGGGAAGTGATTGAAACTAAGAGCACACCTTTCTTTACGTACCTGCTTTTTTCATTTTTCTTCATGATACATCCTATTCTCCATAACGATTCTGTCTGAGCCTGATGGACAGGCCTGAATTCCAAAGAATCGCACTGGCCCTTATTTTCCTCTACGCAGTTTACAATTTTTTCGTCACATAATCTAGTTCGTTCCTTGCGTCTCACAAGACTATCCAGAGTGGCATAGTGTATCTCACAGACTGTGTGAAGATCAGTTTACTGTGCTCTCAAAAACGGCGAAATCTTTCAACCATGTTCTTCAGCACAAAATGTACACCCTCCGTGTGCATTGTCCTGTACAGTAGTACAGGGCAATCCAAAAAGATGTATCCAAAAATATTTTTTGTACAAACCAAAGCTTGGTACCGGATAGGGACTTGAAGCTTGGTATTATGCTTACTTTTTACTTAAAGTTTTTTCGTGCAATGTAACACCTCAGCACGACCACCTGCACGTTCATGTCACAACCTGATGCCACGGGGTAGTTCAGTCCAAGTTTTAGCTAGCATGTCGGGGGTGATAGTGACAACTGTTGCGATTATTTTCTCTTTCAAATTGGCCAAATCAGTAGGTCTAGGAGCATATACTCAGTCCTTTACATATTCCCACAAGAAAAGTATACTGGTGTTAGATCTGCAGAGTTAGGTGCCCACACCAGTCGTTGCTAAAGGTCTCATCAAGGTGATTACGGACATCAATGGATCGATGTGGAGAAGCACCATTCTGCTGAAAAATAGTGTTATCCATGCCGTCCTGATCAAGCAGTATGTCCAAATACGGTCCCGAACGAACCGTTTGTTCGGCAAAGAAGAACTGCCCATAAATATTGTACTATCATGCTTGATGAAAGAGGCATGGATAACACAATTTTTTTTTTTTTTAGCAGGATGGTGCTCATCCACAATGGCCCATTTACGTCCGTAATGGAGTAGTACTATTTATCCTTAAAATTGGAGAGCATATTAGTACAGATCTAACAATAAAAAAACATTGAACTTTTTTTGCTCCACCCTGTATGTCTCTTGAACTGTCTCAGCCAGTGGCGTAGCAAGGTTTTCGTCAATGGGAGGGGCAAGGGGGGGCTAAGCGGAACGTTGGGGGGGCTAACTTCGCCTCGTCGGGGTGGGGCGGACGCATTTCGATCAAACTTGGAGGGGCTGAAGCCCCCCCCCCCCCCCCTCGCTACGCCAGCTATTTCTTTCTTCTCCTTTCTCCTCTTCTAGTGTCACACCATCACTTGCAAATAGGCAGGCCTATCTGCAGTTATGGTGCCCCATTCATTGAGTTCATAGGCTAGCCTATGAACTCAATGACTAAGACAGACAGAGAAGCCATGCAGGGTGCATGGATGAAAGGATCATGACATTCTTTATAAGGAAAATTAAATTGGGAGAATTAATAGATAAACATACAACCCTTTGAGCAATGCAATGGTAGAATCCTTTCTTCTCAGAATGTTTGACCCTAATAGCTCCACCTCATCCTACCTAATCACAATATCATCTCTAAAACCCAATCAAGAACAAGCCAAAAATAAAACATAACTATTATTGGACAACATCCCTGCTGGCGCAGTGGCCGAGGTAGTTCATACTGTCATGGTACCAGATCCACACATCAGCCTACTTCTTCTAGTCAGTGCACTTGACTGCTGAATTTCACCCTATACACTAAAAGAAGGATATTCAAGATGAGAAGCAATTTTGAAGTCCCAGATTTCATGGTGCGGAATGAGATACTCATTTCACAGATGAGAATGCAAATTATTCATTTAACAGGACTGCTGGTTCCTCCTAAAATATGGCAAGAGATTCAAGGGGGATGCTTTCATATTATATATAATCTTTTCCACCTCTGTTCTCCTCCCAGTATATAATGCGTATTCATAAAGTTTCTTACATTTTGCAGTTATTACATACTTACTAGGAAGGTAACATCTGGGTTTTTTACTTAGTCCCCATCTATATTCAAACATTTTTCCTTACTCTTCCTCAAGCTTACCATGCTTACTCACTAGAAGCTATTGTCTTTTTGACTCAAAGCAGTATGATTACTGGATGGTAGCCCTGCAAACAGCCATTGAGTCTCAGCATTTTCCCTTAATGTTTTGGAGACAGGAAAAAGTC